GGTATGGCCGGGCGGCCTTGGCGATGGTGTGGCCGGGTGGCGGTCTCGGCGGCGGCGGTCTCGGCAACGGTGCCCCAGCTCTCAGCCGCAATCTTTCAGGCAGCCACGGATTGATGGAGATCTCAGCAGTGCCAGCCGGAGGTGAAGGAATCCATTTAACCCACTGGGACTTGTAAGTTAATTTCTATAAAGCTGAATTATGAATTATAATATTTCAGTTTAATTTTTGCTGAAAAGTGCCATTCTTTTAAAGAAATTTTGACACTCACTCCTTACATTAAATTCTAGTATTTCAGTGCTATTCTGCTATGAACTACCTTCATGGACCAGAATCCTATGGGGAGTTATGAATACATTCCTACTGTAGTTACATGGCTACACAGTAAACTTGCCTGCTTACTCACTCACGGGGAAGCAGGTGCTGCAATTGATTTGGGTCTGCTTCCATGATGTTCAGGAAGTGGCTGGCTTCCATTCCTACCCCTTCCGATGAGTGATCCTCATTGTGGCAAGCAGAAGTGGGGTCCCTATCACAATTCTCCCTTGCACTGGACATCATTCAAGCAGGGGAAAGGGGATAGAAATATGCTCCATCCTGAATGACAGCGGAACAGATTTCTGTTGGTCACAGCAACTCCCTCCCCTGTAAGTAGGGGCTGGGGGACTTTCACAGTTCCTACATGAATCCTAAACTAGGGAATACATACAGATCATAAATACCAAATAAGTTACGAATATATAACTCAAGGTTACACTTTCATAACTTCATAACAGCGGCTTCATGTGCATTCACTCACTGACAGGAAATTGGCTATATTTGACATGCTGTATTTGATATGATGATGCCAAGGATACCCATAAACCAAGCCATGTTGGTAATTAAACTCAACTAGATGAAATGGAATCATGGGCAAATGAAGACAGGCACAGTAAGTTAAATGAACAAGGATGGGTGTTAGGCTGACAAGTGGGACTCAGCAACCAGAAAGACAAATGTTATTTAAATTATATTGAAACAACCTAATATGGATGATTTTTCCAGTGGTTTGTTCTGTTACATTAATGGCTCTAGCCCTGAGGAAAACAGTAAAATTATTCGCCTAGTTCTGCACATAGTATTTTTTCTACATAAAAATCTTAGAAAATATATATTTAATATAGCGTTTATACTTATACTCCATCCAGACATACACATGAGGCAAAGGTGTGGAGAATAGGAATGCTGGAGGAATCTGATACGCATCCATTCTGATGCCATGATCTATTCTTCCTAGACGAATAGTGGTCTGAAACTGGGTTTCACAGTTTCTCAATCTTTCAACACCATACGCTCAAAATCGTATACATTTGGAAATTACTATTTTGAGAATAATTGTGTCACAGAATATATATTGAAATATTCATGTGGATTAAAAAAAGACTGATAGGGAAATAAGATGGAATGAACTTTGGGAAGATACATATGAAATTGATTTTAACCAGAAATACAATGATTTGCCTTTTATCTAGGGGATTCACCATTAGCCACTATTCCATCTACTGTCTCCATTCCTCTTTTGCTCTGAAATGTTCCAAAATATCTCAGCTTTCACTCATTGCCTACCAACTACTCTTTGCCATCTGCTCCATTGTTTGCTCTTCCTTATCTTCATCTGCTTGGAGGAGCTAAATTCAGGATTGCTGGTGGCAGCCTATATCCACTATAATCATTTCCTTACGGAGCTAAACAATGTACATATCATGGACAAAGTAGGCAGAATAAAAGTAGGTATGCAAATGGGATTGTAGTGGCAGACCCAGGCTTCATGTAGATGCCAGAATTGTTGCCAATCCCATGAGCTGCACTAGCAAATTCAAAGTGCAAAAACTATTGCCACTTTGATCAGTGAACAACTACACCATGACCCAGCTTTAGATTATTAGTGAACTGCATTTAGCATTCCACCTGCCCCTGGACTAGAAAATGCAAATGTCTCCTTCATGAAGAATTATCAAGTTGAGAAAGCTTTCAGCAATAATAAGAATAATTGATTCTTCAACCTTTTTGCAAGCAGCAGGAGATACAACAATCCTGAAGTATGTAATAAAATCTGACGGCTTGAATGGAACCAAGCAATAATAAAGCATGAACAATGGCTGGTCAGAAACAAGAAGTAATTAAATAGACATATGACATTTTTATTATGCATCATAGAATCGTTATTCTTGTTAATTATATCACCTATTCTAGCCTCATATTCATAATTACATAATTACACAAAACAGATGGATTGCAGAATGCTCCCAGATGGTGAGAAGGTAAACAAGTTAATAATATATAAGTGTTTAAAATATAATTATAAAATTATAGTTTTTTGCTCTCAAGGTAATTTGTACACAGTGCATTAAAATAATTGAAAGAGCCTGTGTTTCAAGCATATTTTTCCCCAATGTATATATTAGATATGCAAACAGCCACCCAGGACAACTTCTACAGCAGAAAATATTATTTTGGTGAAAGACCTCCAGCTACTATTACTATTTTCTTTACCGAAGAGTTCACCGGTGTTGTGTTACATGCCAACACCTTTAATTCTCTTCCAAATCACATGAGTGTTTCTCCAAATCAGCTTCTCCTTTTGGTCTTGCCCAAGATTGTGTCCAACTGTGATGTGCCCACGTTTCCCACAATAGAAAAAAAAACATTCACTAATTAATTAATTTAGAATGCTAGAAATATCTGTTACATTGCAAGAAAGAGGGATTATCTTCATCTTTGGGAAGTAGAGAAAAACTCAAACATTTGTAGTTTCAAAAAAGCATCCCAAATATTACAACAGGTTTCAAAAACATTGTTAATACTCCTTGACAATGAAAAAGGTAAAGAAGTATAGTAGCTTGTAACTGAGCCAGCTGCACAGATGGAAGAAAAATGGAAAAAAACTGACACAAAATTGAAATAGCAATGTGATCAGAATTTGAATAGAGAAAAACTACGAAAACTAGTTGCTTTTATGTAAAATAGGAAGCTGTTTTCCATTTCTTAGGATCCATAACTAACAACATAGAATTTTAATGTATTATAAAGATTGATATCCCAGCTTTTATGCTTCTTGCCCTTTGGGAACATGCCCATTTGACTCTGTGTATAAGTATTCAAAACGTGCAAGTTAAACTTTAAAGCCACTTTAAAGTTTTAAATATTCAAAGAAATGGCTAAAGAGATTGTGAGTTGCCTATCACCTATCATATCAGACTTGCAAGAAACCCCCAAAGCACTAAAACATGTAAGGAAGATGATGAAAGCTTATGAGAGCACAGAAATTAACGCCTCCCCCCCCCCCAAACAATCCCCTAACCACAGAAATGGGGATGGAAAGATTCAGATAGCCTTGGAACTTCCTGTGAGTTCCCTGAGAGATTCCTAGTTTTAAAGTTGGGAACGACTGGAAGACAACAACATATATCCTGGATTTGAACTGGATACTTCTTTTTAACCTAGGCAGGATGAAATTATTTTATTACTCATAGACTCATCAAGTACTGGCAAAATTTGGGGAATTTGTTCTTGAAAAATGTAATGGTTCGGTCCTATATAAAAATGTAGAAATGAAGAGATAACAAGAAGGATGAGAAAGGCATAAGCAAGTGCAGGGGCAACTTTGTTTTAAAGTGTGTAGTTGATTGTGGTGAACCAAAAGTCCCTAGCGATGAAGTATAGGATCAATCCATTCAGTTTAAGCTCTTAGTTGAAATTTGAAAAGTCAAAAATTTATAGAGCAGCTATGGCTGGGGCAATACTGCATTCATTATAAAACATATAGAGTGCTAACTATGTATGCCTTTCCAAGCAATTTGCATATACATAAAAAGCTACTTGTTACCAGTATATTATATAGAAATGCAGAAATACACAGACAAATAATTTTACTTCTTCAGAATAAAAATAGTATGTCTAATTGTCATCACTGTTATACCTGTGTTTGCTTTACACTGTTGCTGTCTTGTTACCCGAGTCCTCTAGGGGAGATGGGGCGGGATATAAATAAAGTTATTATTTATGATTATTATGCCTGTGAAATTAACACGTAGAAAGAATATTGCTGGAGATCACAAATGTGACTGTACTTTATGATCCAAAGTAAAAAAAAAACCAAACAAAAACAAAACAAAATTGTAAACCTGTGCAGAAATAGATTTCCATAGTTTAACTGCCTCTATTATGCATGTAGGAGGTAGGTACAGAGGGAAAAGCAATCAACGTCAGCATCATCATAATCCTCCCTACCACCATCTCCTTACTTTTATCCAGTAACTAAATTGAGAAACTTTATTTTATTGATCTACATCAAAAGTGACAAATAACACACCTATTCTACACATCCTGCATTACCATGGGGCCAGATGGATGCTTACAGCCACCCATCTGGCCTCATTCCCCTCCGCATTTATTACGGTGGCAGGATTAACAGGGGTTTAGAGAAAGTCATAGAAGGGAGTTAGCAATGGGAGAAGACTGTGTTCCCTGTGGGAGGAGCATCTGATTGGTCACTTTGGAAAACAAGTGGGTTAGATGAACTTCTGCTCTGACTCAATTCTTTTATTGATCAAAGTCCAAGCCCTGCTCTTTTGCTATAGCAGAGCATCTGTTTTTCAGAGGGGGAGGGGGGAGGAATCATAAGCATTTGACTAATGATTTTGTCTTATTGGCATAAATTGAACTGCTGGATGAAATGTTCTGATAAAAAATACCCATACTGCAAATCTGGTCATTTTTAATACTTAAATAATGATTGGTCCAATTCTGAATAATTTAAGGGCTACTGGTTCTAATCCCCACATCAAAATGCACGCTCAGAAAATGATATTGGCAAGCCTGACACTGCAAGAGCATGACTATCAGGTTCAAGGTAATTAAGAAGCAGCCCACCAACATTAAGACAGTAATGTCATCCCATCTGCCAAATCCTACATTTAGCTAGAGCTATGCCTTTTGCTCGCTTGCTGCTTCTGTTACCCACCTGATCCTTAGAGACCTCTTTTGATGGAGCGTTTATGCCAAGTTTTTCCAAAGGATAGACAATCTGTCGTCTTGGTCGCACGGGAACCATGTAATGAAGGGCAGATGTCAGGGAATGGGCAGAGGGATTCTGGAACTGAAGGACAAGCTATATTTTAGCACAGAGAATGTCAGAAAAGTGCATCACAGATGTCTGTGCTAGTGCTTTGTAAATATAAGAATCCTTTATCCCCTTGACTGGATCCAAGAGAAATATCATCAAAAATATAAACACTCTATGAGCAGAGGAATGGATTGTAGATAATTCCCAGCACTAATGAAGATAATTATGAGAGTAATTATATGACTATCTCAGTGGGAATGACAGATAAACAAGTGGTTTGGTTCCTCGGATTTTGCAGCACCAATAGATTCCCAAGAGAATATTTCCTGTCACTGAGATAATGAATCATTCTTTTCCAACCTCATTAAGCAATGCTGCAGTCTTACTGCTCAGCTCTGCTTCTTTGGCAAAAGAAGGGTTAAACATGTATACAAATAATGCACATAAAAAGATGTTTTTCATCCAAAAAATCACATTAATGCAATAGCATGATTATGAAAGAAAAATCCTTGTGTTCTCATAATTACAACTGATAATTAAAACGGTTTTATTGTACTACACCAAATTTAGTTACAATCTCCATTTAGACAGTTGGGAAGCAGTAAGAAATGAAGAACAGTGACAAAAATCAAATAATATAAACTTGCCAAAAGCCTCTATTCCAAATTAAAATTCAAATAACATGACACAAAGCATTTTACTTAATGTAGAAAAAAAACTAGTATTGCTGGTATTTTCTTCTATCCTGCACATCCATATTTCAACTACATGTCAATGAGTATTGCCATGGCAATATTTCAGTTCATGAAATACAACCTGCATATAAATAACTGAGATCTTTAAAAAGGTCTGTAACTATGACTTCATGTAAGTGACCCAAAGAACCGTCTACAATATTCTGAGCTCACGGTGTGTGGAAGGATTCCTGCCTTCCACACAAGGTTACGTTTTCATATTACTTTAAATAAAAGTTTAATACCATGTGCCCGAGCAAGAATGAGGTGAGATTAGAACGAGGGATTTCAGCTCACACACTATTTTGTCAGTTACTTTTAATATCTAGTCACATGTTTTAAAAGGAAATGGTATCAGTGCATTTTTTGAAAAAAATGTTTAAAAACGGAGCTATATATACATTCATATAATATATATGAGATATGTGAAGACAATATTTGGAGGAGGTTTAAATGAAGCTGTGGGTGTTTTAAGATGAAGTTTGCATCTTGTTTAATCAGAACTTCAAGAATGTCTTCTGATATTTTTGGAATGGGAATCATCCATGATGAATGTCATTGAACAAATTTAGCAAATTGGGAGGGGGTGTTATAAAGTAATCCCTCTTGAACAGCGGTTCTCAACCTGTGGGTCGCGACTTGAGGGGGTTGAATGACCCTTTCACAGGTATCACCTAAGACCATTGGAAAACAATATTTTCAATGGTCTTAGGAACTGAGACACCAGTAGCATTTTCCTGCCCCCTTCTTTTCCCATAGGCCTCTTCTTTTCTGAAGGGAAGTGGTGACATTACTCAGGCAAGCCCCCTCCTCCATTTTAGGAGGAGGAGATGGGAGTGACAGAGGTGAGGTTTGCTTTGGTGCCAAGAGGGAAGAGGAAGGAAGGATGAGGTGGTGGAGGGGAGAAGGGAGAAGGGAGAAGGTGAAAGAGGGTGGGCCTAGGGAGGGTGGACCTGGGGGAGAGGGCAGGCTTAAAGAGGGGTGAAGTGGCTCCTCCATGGCCGAATCCCACAGAAAAAGAGAAGTAACAATGTAAATACATCCTGCATATCAGATATTTAAATTACAATTCATAACAGTAGCAAAATTACAGTTACGAAGTAGCAATGAAAATAATTTTATGGCTGGGGGACACAACAACATGAGGAAATTATTATAGGGTCGTGGCATTAGGAAGATTGAGAACCACTGCCCCTGAGCCTATTAGGGCCAGGGAAGTTTCCTGATTTTAGCTTATTTAAGGGCCATTTGATTTCATTTATGCTGAAAGGCAAGGGTCTACACCTTTTGAAGATCTTTCACAAGATTCCCTCTCAGATTTTTTAAAAGATCTGAAAGTAGCAGATCCATTGCGGTTTACTGTCTGTCCCCCGCCACGTTTGTGTCATTTGGCAGCTTTGTTCTTTCTAAGAGGCATTTTTTCACGACAATTTTGAAAAAGCTGGCATGGTTGTTTACTTTCATGAGATGTCTGCCACATTATATGGTCAGCGTTGCCCCCACTTCTATGATTTTAGGAACTATTATTTAAATGCCAACTATTATTTAAATAAGAACACAGGAACTAAGAACAGTAACTAGTTAAAATTGATAAAATTGAGCCCCTATATTTTGTCCATCCTATATACTGAATTTATGAGCATTTTATTTTATCTCTTTCTAAATTTAAGTGCTTACTCATACAACCTGAATAATGTTTTATTAATCATGTTACAGTTATTTGTGTATGTTACATATTTCTGTGGTATAATACCACATATTCCAATAAAAATAAAAAATACATGGTTTATTGTTTACCTTCCCTTCTTCAGGCTGTGGATAAATAGGGTAGTAGAGACAGGATTTGAAGGCAAGCCGAAGTATCTCCTTCATAAAATGTTTTGCATAGTGATGAAAGATAGGATTTAGAGCAAAATGGTAAAGATGTGCATGTTCTTCTTGCTGATAATGGCTGAAATAAATAAAGTCTTCAATGTTGTAGTGCGAGCGAATATATTCAATATCCTGGAAAACAAAGCAATTCAATAGAGTAATTAAGAAAGAGCTGTTTTCCTGCTGAAACACAGATATTGCATTTCCTTTGTTTTGAATAACTACTTCCACAAAGGAAACCTTCCAGTGGTCTCCTTGACAAGCCCCACTTCAGTGTATCTTAAGCAGGAGAATCTCCTAGTTTCCTGTATTCCAGTACAAGTTATAACACTTTGTGAATAAAACTTAAAAATCAAAACACATTGTAGCACTATTTTCTTCATTTACAAAGTGTATTTTAAATGCCTACTATATATACTTGACTCTAAATGGAGGAAAGTTATGCCCCTTCCACACAGCTGTATAAAATCCACATTGAAGTGGATTAAATAGCAGTGTGGACTCAGATAACCCAGTTCAAAGTGGATATTGTGGATTATCCGCCTTGATATTCTGGGTTACATAGCTGTGTGGAAGGGCCGTTAGTCATTTATCCTGAAAACCTGGGTTGACTTAACCATGGGTCAATGCTGGTTTCCCTTCGGGGAGATGGTGGTGGAGTATAAATAAAGATGATATTATTATTCCATAGGAGTTAAAAGGTAACTGATCTGGGTGTCACAAATAATGTCACAACAGTCATCCTTTCACATTAGTGAGTTTTGCAGATTTGATTGTTTTCTCTAGGTCCTCCAGAGCAATTCTGGCAGAAGTTAACTACAAAGTTGCCCTGGAAGACTTTTCTTTAAAAAGTGCGTTTTGTATTTGTGGTTTTTGTACTTTCACAGGGCCCTGTACCACTAAATCCAGCAAAAGTCTACTGTATTTGTAATTTGTTTCTTCTTTAAACACAGATACATTTTTGTTTAGGGAAACGTTTACCACTAGCAGCAGGCTAAAACCTTGTTATTCAGGCAGATTTTTAAAGAAGGGGTTTTTTAAGATTAAGTCAAGGGTGATGTAGTTTTAGCTCATCTTTCAGGATTTTAACAGTTTGTTTTTAATACAATTAATATTTAATTTTATTTTAATGTTTGTATATTTTTAGATTTTAAATTGTATTGCATTAGTTTTATTGCAAGTAGCTTTGAGTTTCTGTTGCAGAGAGAAAGTGTGGGATAATAATAATAATAATAATAATAATAATAATAATAATAATAATAATAATAATTTATTGTGGAATTCTTAATAAGGAACAATGATTGCAATTAGGAATACATACCACTTCATTCCTAATAACTGCTATTCCAACAATTTGATCCAAGACTTCTGCTACAAATGCCTTCACTGGTGTCCCATCCTGAAAAATAAGTGATAATTCACTTAATGCTGTACCATAATTTCCATTTCAATTCCCTTTACAGACAGTATACTTGATCATTTAAAAGGCCAAAAGGGGATTTTAGATTTTTCATTAAAATATAATGTGTACTGATTTAGTTTCCTAGCAAGTTTCAAGCTTCAGAGCCTTACATGCATGAATTAATCAATTTAAATTTGCATCATCTCAAAGCATACATTAAAATAGAAACAATATGAATTCATGCAGTATCTTACTGGATCTCTTCGTGCTTCTATGTATTTATCTACATCATCCAAAATACTCTTGTTCAATTCTAAGGTTTTCACTAGCAAATCAACAGAAGGGATATCATCAGATCTTGCTGCTCTTACAAGAAAAGACCTATTAAAAGAAATATAAACCAGATTCATTTTGATAGTGAATAGTGGCATCAAGTAATTGTCTCAAAAACAATCCATAGTTTGTATTCATAGTGCCATCATTATAATCTCTAGAGAAAATTGATATGGCATTCATGAAGTGATATTTTAAAATCCATTCTTGCCATAATAAGTACTTGGGTTAGGTAATAGAAAGTGTTGCCATTTTATGTAAATAATGCTACAATGTTTTTTCTAGCTGAGTTGAAATATCATCCATCAGGCATATCTGTGATAAGTTTATTAGCTTGATACTAGTAAAACTGAATTCGTTTCCAAAAGTGAACCAGGGGTTACAATTTGGAACAGGAATATAGAATCATCCCTCTGCGTATCTTGAAAAGGGTTGTATAAATATATAAAAGTTGTGAACATATTATGTATTATGATCGGTTCTGGATTAACTATTATTATAATAGCTAGCATGGTGAAATGCTTTTAAACAAGGATTCCAGAGGCCAAGGTTCAAATCTCCACTAGGCTTTGAAAACCCCTTTGGCAGATCACTCTCTCTTTGCCTCAGAAAAAGGCAAAAGTAAACCCCCTCTGAACAAATCTTGCCCATGATAGGTTTGATTTAGGGTTGGTGTAATTCAAAAACTACTTGAAAGTGTGCAGCAACAAATAAAGGCCCCATCTACATTACCATACAATCCAGTTTCTGAATGCAGGTTATTTGCCTTAAATTGGATTATATGGCAGTGAAGATTAATATCCAGTTTAAATAATAATAATAATAATAATAATAATAATAATAATAATAATAATAATAATAATATACTTTATTTATATTCCGCCCTATCTCCCTGAGGTACAGTACACATATATGGCAAACATTCATTGCCATTAGACAAGTAACAATGACAGACAGTACGTAAACAGAGGTAAATCAGATYATCTGCATTCAGAAACTGGATTYTYTYGACAATGTAGATGGGGTCAAAGACAAAACTGTAATGTAAGACCATCTGGTTCTAAGATGTGAACATTAGATATCAGGTCAAATTAATGAATGATCAGTTGGTCCTTTCAAAAATGAAAATGACATTTAACTCTGAAGTTTACTGTGTATGGACCTACAGCAATCAATCCATGAACATCTGATTGTACTATACTAGCAAAACTAAATCTAATGTGATCAATAAAATATTTTATCTTTAGCATAGCAGTCTGTCACTTAGAATAAAACAATTTTTTTCCACAGAAAGTGTTTATTTTGGATAATGACTTAACATTTTCAGATGGGAGCTACTGACTGTGATATTTTAAAAAATATTATGGAAAAAAGGACATTAAGTTTGAAACATGACTTATTTTCTTATAAAGTCAGTTCTTAGGTGTTTTCTTCTTCTTCCTCAGAATGCCAGCAACCATAAAGATCTGCTTCTACACCCTAGGAATATTCACAAAATACAGAGGAACCTCTGTAGATGCAATTGATTGTACAAAGTAGTTTGATAATTGATAAAATAATGCCTGAAGGATGGGCACCTGCTTTAAAAAACAGACTCATTATGAAAATGATAAACTGGGAGAAAGATACTCTAAGCTGAAACATATTCACTGAGCCCTCAGTAAGAAAGTAATTCTTCCAGAAGCCTATTTCATTTGACTGTCAAGAAGGAAGGGCACCATTACTATTATGCTTTACAGTCAAAATTGAAGAGAAGTATCCATTAAGCATTTCAGGCTACATCTTGTCATGTTATTACTTTGCATCCTTCTCTGTTAAGTATCAGGCCTAGTGTTGCATTTGCCACTCTCTGGCTTTTGTGTGAGGACTTTTTCTCTTTCCAACACCTTCGCTAATCAGTCTTTCATTTAGAGCCTTTGCCTTTATCTCTTTGACTTTGCACTTTCATGCCTCCTCCATCTTTCTACGTTGGCTTCTGATGGGTTGGCTTTTTATTCATTTTCAGCAACTCTCTTTCTATTCATATGCCTTTTGAAATCTCCTAGTGTAAAAACAGTGCATTGATCTTTGCTTTTTATATTTTTCTTCATCAGGAAAGGATTATTAAGGGACCAAGACTAGCTTTTATGTTACTCTTTTTTTCCACCTCCTTCCACCACAATTACTGGTTAGTTTTCAACTCATGCTCACATTTCCACAGAAATAACATTGTCACTTCCGATTTTTTTAGGTGAAAGCAGAGAATGTGTTTTTTACAAGCATGCCCACTTTTGGCCATAAGGCCTCTCTTGTTTTCTCATGTAAAAGCGCACCTTGCTTAGAGCGCACAATCCTTCTGCAGAGTGTGGTCTAAGACCTAAGATTTTGCATGTAGAGTGGGATCTCCATATCCAAGGGAGCTTGGCTACAGGATGCCCACAGATATTAAAAGATGCAGATGCTCACATCTCTTATATAAAGGGACTTTATAGTATATAAAGCTTGAGCACCATCTAATGTCTCCGATCCTATCCCCCCTGTGCACATCATGCACACAAGGCTTCTCCGCCATGCCTCACATCCCATTCTTCTCTCATTCTCTGCTCCGTGTGGACACTGAAGGCTTTTCAGAAACACCAAGGACAATGTCCATGTTGCAGTCTGAGGGAATATGAGAGGTACAGAGGAGTTAATAGTCAGTTTAGGCAGTTAAATCTCCATATCTCTTTATCAAAACTACGCGTCTTTAGAACATTCTAGTGGAGGCTCTGTGAAGGTGAAGTACCTCAAAGAATCACACTTATTGAAAAGCTTACAGTGTCCACATGGAGCAGAGTGAGAGAATAGGAAGAGAGTATCATGGAGGCACTTCACGTCTAGCAGAGTAATGCCCTTTTTCTGAGTATCTCTTCAAGATCAATACAGAAATCTAGTTGATAAAATTTGAGATGGGCATAAAAAATACTGATGTGTCGGTCACCATTAGTTCTTCTGCCTATTTACTGAAAGCACACAAAGAAGGTCTGAATATGTTTCTGGTATTTCCTCACATATAATCCAGAGATCAATGCCTGTGAATTGAACATTGGGAAGGGTTTGACGTAGATACACTCTCTGCCATTGTGAACCCACACTGAGCAAAAATTGAGTTGAGGAAAGGTGGAGAATTAGAGGTTTGCCTGTTCCTTCTTCCCTTTGTACTTGGTGTAGTTTGATGTTGGTCTGAAAGAAGAATGTTACAAAGCTGTTGTGGGAGTTTCCTAACTCTTCATCCTTTTAGCAGAAAGAAAGCAAGAGTCTCTAAAATTAATATCTGCAGTGTTTTAATTTAATCTCATTGAATACTCATCATGAAAATATGTTCATGAAATAAGATTGCTTATAAGCTTCTCTCCACAACTGCATCAGAAATGATCAGTGAATACATAGCATATATAGGGCATAAAGTATCAGAAAGTTTCCAGTATGCTGCAGAATTTTCAGAAACAAAAACAAAAAGCTTGTCATTTTTTTTACGTAAATGTATAAAGCTGTAATTGAACATTTCTTGGTTATAATTAGTGTCATCTCCTACTAGGTAACAAACACATCTAAACAATTGATTGTACATTAAAACATTCAAATGAACTGCAGTTCTTCAATGAAGTGTTTGTAAACCAAATTATTTTACTTACTTCAGCAGTCCAGAGCGGTGAAACACATAGAGCTCCTGATTCAGTGTGCAATTACTAAAGGGAATGATCCTGACAAAGTTCTGAATTAAGTGAAATTCAGGCACCATATGTGGTACTGAAATAATGCAGAAATCTCTATCCTGAAAAGAAGAAATAGTATTAGTTCATAAAAATCACATATAAGTTGTCTAAGAAAAGTTGTTTAAGAAATAGATTAAGGAAAAATGTGACAAAAAATGCATGATCAGATTGAAGTGGGGTCCCCCCCACCACCACCACATATCCTCCTCTTTAATAAGTTTTCTGAGGCTCTAAAAAGGTTCTGATATTGCAAAGGCATCTTGCTTAAAACAGGACACTGTTTTTATGAACGAATCCATTCTACAAGCACTTTTAGAAAGCGTTTTTAGCTTTGTATACCTACTAGGACATAATTCCTCCCAACTCGTACACTGCCTCTCTTTTTCCATGTCCCTGTTTTAAATGTCCCCCTCCCCGCCCAGAAAAATTGAAACTGAATGAGTTTGAGAATGTGACAAGACTTGGACTTTGCTGTGAATTACTTCTGCCTTTTCCAAGTTCACAAGCACTGTCCCAACAATTTACTTTAAAAGTTAATAAAAAAATACATCTTGCAATTACAAGCCTTTCCCTATTCTGTATATTCTGCAAGAGGGATGTACTTTTGGTTGACAAATCTTGTTTAGCGATGCACATACACCCACGAGCTGGAGGTTTTGTAAAAAAAGACTTATAAACAGGAAGGAAATGTTTAATTCAGAAGGGCAATCCCTATAAGTGTCTGGAATTGCCTATGAAGTTATACGGTTATTTGAATTTCTTTTTTATAGGAAGTGAATGGGCAGAAATGGGAAGTTTTCTTTGGATATTGATATTCTCTGTTCTTGCTATAGAAATTGAAACGGCAATAGCAAAATGCAGGAGAGAGAAGGAACATCCAAAATATATGACTAATCGGACATCACTGCCCCAAAGTAACTGCAGCAGTGCTTTTACAGTGTCACACAAGTGAAAACACTTTGAACACCAATTCAATGAGCTTTCAGCAACCTAAAGATAGGTGTCCCCCATTTGTGCTTCAACACAAATTGCAAACTGGTTTGCAATTCATTTAGAATGATCCACTTCCGTTTGTGGCTCGTGAGCTTCAACCATGCACTATAAGCCTCGTGTGATAATGTCCTTACTAGAATCCACTATACAATGCTGTAATGTTCAGAGGGAAGGAAAAGAAGGTAGGAACCATACCATCTTCCATAAGCAGTCCTCTGTATCTGTTCTAAACTATGAAAAATTAAATTTGATAGTCATGTTCACTCTTTATAAGAAAAACACAGCAGGGAATAGTGGCAATGGGATAATGACTATGAGATAACATTAATACCGGACTGTAGTTTCGTATTTGCTTAATAACTTATTCTCTGCTCTAGACATCAGTCCAACATGAAATTTTCCCATTGACATTCCATTGAATGTGAAATCCCCATTGAATGTGCATGGGGCTCTTTCAAAAATCTCTGCTTTTTTATATAGGGGTTATCAAGACTACTTCCTGTTGTATTTGGCCCTTGGTAAATGATTAAACAAGGAGGGTACATGTAGATTTGAGAACACACATTTCAATTTAGCAAGAATTTTATGCAAGTCATAAAAGATTACAGGAATACCCCCCCCCCCTCTCTATAACACTAATCTTGACTGTAAGCAGTACAGGTGAAGATGTAACAAACCACAGAAACTTCAAAACAGCGGGCATCTATGGAGTGGATAAATACTTGTTGCCTCCACACAGAAGACTACATCTACTTGAAAACAGCCAACCCATAGCTGTCATTTGAGGGACAATCCACCCCCAGAATTTATGGGGGTGTATATGTGTATTCTGGGAATGGTAGCGGGACTTGAAGGATAAAAAATCCCCCAGCAGGGTGCATGTGGCCCATGAGCTTCCATAACTCTGCATCTGCTTTAAAGTTTTAGCCTTTCTTTGTTATTAGTAATTGCTGTCAAGTTGATTTTGAGTTATGGTGACTTATGAATAAGAGATGTACGAGTCACTCTGTTATCAACAACTCCACTCATTAATTTGTTGCTCTTCTTTAGCTGTATTCTTTTTTTAAAAAAATATTAGCTGTACATGATATATGCTTCAATGTGTTCTTGGCCTTATTCTTGCAGTGAGAATGGAGGCTCTCCATTTTCCGTTTCCACTTATGTAGGTATTTGGCTATCAGATGGCATCTCCTTGGCTGCCGGAAAAATGTTTACCTTCTTACTCATTAGCAATGAGTATTACATGTTGATCTCATCTACCAAATATGGACTATTTGATAGCTTACCAGTTTTCACATCTAACAATTTTATGTTATTCATCATGGAATGAGGACAGCTGTTTTCAAAATTTAACAGAGATGAATAAGTAAGTGAATGAATGAATGGGGAATTCAAAATGGAAATCAGAAACTTTGGGATTATTGGCTCTGAACAATCAAAGAATTATTCATTTCCATATATATAGTGAGGTTTTTAATGTTGATGGTATTGAAATTAGTGTGTGGTTTACAACTGACGACATCATAGTATTGAAGAAATACCATATATCTATATATCTACCTATATCTCAATAATGTATTTGTGTATCTTTCTGAATTCTGCCATAGAACACCCCAAACGAACATGAAAAATATCAACAAGCATAATTTTTTTTGGTAAATTGTTTTTTGCTTGTTAATTGCCTTCTACTTACTGGGAAAAGGTTGAAAACAACATTGAGAAAATCCAGTGACCTGCAAATAAAATCACATCATTAAAGAAAAATCATGGCATTTTATTGTATAGTATTCAAGGACACACTCTCATAGAATCCTAGAATCATAGAATCAAAGAGTTGGAAGAGACCTCATGGGCCATCCAGTCCAACCCCCTGCCAAGAAGCAGGAATATTGCATTCAAATCACCCCTGACAGATGGCCATCCAGCCTCTGTTTAAAAGCTTCCAAAGAAGGAGCCTCCACCACATCCTCCGGGGCAGAGAGTTCCACTGCTGAACGGCTCTCACAGTCAGGAAGTTCTTCCTCATGTTCAGATGGAATCTCCTCTCTTGTAGTTTGAAGCCATTGTTCCGCGTCCTAGTCTCCAAGGAAGCAGAAAACAAGCTTGCTCCCTCCTCCCTGTGGCTTGCTCTCACATATTTATACATGGCTATCATATCTCCTCTCAGCCTTCTCTTCTTCAGGCTAAACATGCCCAGTTCCCTAAGCCGCTCCTCATAGGGCTTGTTCTCCAGACCCTTGATCATTTTAGTCGCCCTCCTCTGGACACATTCCCGCTTGTCAATATCTCTCTTGAATTGTGGTGCCCAGAATTGGACACAATATTCCAGATGTGGTCTAACCAAAGCAGAATAGAGGGGTAGCATTACTTTCCTAGATCTAGACACTATGCTCCTATTGATGCAGGCCAAAATCCCATTGGCTTTTTTTGCCGCCACATCACATTGTTGGCTCATGTTTAACTTGTTGTCCACGAGGACTCCAAGATCTTTTTCACACGTACTGCTCCTGAGCCAGGCATTGTCCCCCATTCTGTATCTTTGCATTTCGTTTTTTCTGCCAAAGTGGAGTATCTTGCATTTGTCACTGTTGAACTTCATTTTGTTAGTTTTGGCCCATCTCTCTAATCTGTCAAGATCGTTTTGAATTCTGCTCCTGTCCTCTGGACTATTGGCTATCCCTCCCAATTTGGTGTCGTCTGCAAACTTGATGATCATGCCTTCTAGCCCTTCATCTAAGTCATTAATAAAGATGTTGAACAGGACCGGGCCCAGGACGGAACCCTGCGGCACTCCACTTGTCACTTCTTTCCAAGATGAAGAGGAAGCATTAGTGAGCACTCTCTGTGTTCGTCCACTTAACCAATTACAGATCCACCTCACTGTAGTTTTGCCTAGCCCACATTGGACTAGTTTCCTTGCCAGAAGGTCATGGGGGACCTTGTCGAAGGCCTTACTGAAATCCAGGTACGCTACATCCACGGCATTCCCCGCATCTACCCAGCTTGTAGCTCTATCGAAGAAAGAGATCAGATTAGTCTGGCATGACTTGTTTTTGATAAATCCATGTTGACTATTAGCGATGACTGCATTTGTTTCTAAGTGTTTGCAGACCGCTTCCTTAACAATCTTTTCCAGAATCTTGCCCGGTATCGACGTGAGGCTGACCGGACGGTAGTTGTTTGGGTCATCCTTTTTTCCCTTCTTGAAGATTGGGACCAAAACACAAAACAAAAGACAATCCTCCCTCAGAATTCATCAATAGCAAGAACATACAATATAAGAGAACCTGTATTTCTTGTGTGCAGTACAATGCAGCAACAAGATTATGTCAATGGTTAATAGGTTTTCCAGGAATGTATGTGGTTACCAGGTAATATGACTAAATTATTTGAATTCATAGTGGAGGCTAGGCTATTTATTTAAGCAGAAGATGAATGATGAAAATATAAAACACAAATATTTCAGTGAAAAACTCAGAAAAACACTGATAGAGAAAAGAGAGGGCCCCTTTATTTTGGGTAAGTTCTAACTTAAAGCAAGAAAGAAAAACACCGAAGTAGGAGGCAGAGACAACAGCAAGTTTTCAGAGATCAGTATAAAGGATACCCCATGATGTAAAAATTGTTTTTCAGCACCATACAGAGATTGTAGTAGTAGTTCACCAGATATCAGTAACAATTTCGGATTTGATTTGATATATTTAGGTTTGGGCATTTATTTATATTGACTTTTATTATACAGCTTTAAGTTAAGTAATTTTGAGATGAAAGATGGAAATATTTTAAATAAACCAATGAAACAAACCCAGTGAATATTAGCAAGCCTCCCTGCTGCATTGAGGATGAAATAAAATTGCCCATCTAGGTTCTTTAGTGTACTTGCCTTGTTTCATATTTCTCATCAATACAAAAGAGCTGAATACAGAAAGCATTTACTGCTCCTTTATACACTGGGTGAAAAGCTTCTCTATCGAGACTGATAGTGGATAGTGTCTCCGTGGCTTTCGAAATCTTGCTTGCGTCTTTGTCTAATGGCAATTCTACTGAAGACTGAATTTGCAATCCCTCTTTCTGCAGTAAAAAGCAATGAGAGAAATATCCTTCTAAACATTGACTGATTTTATAAAGCATTTCCCATCACTATAAAAAAAGCACATATAGCTATTCTGGGGTGCATCTTATTCCATCAACCTTACACTAGATGGTAAGTAATGTTTACTTGTTTTAAATATGTAGCAAACCAGTCCTTCTGCAATTGTGAGCACCTCTGCTAATTCTGCTAATGAGGAACAACTATCCCAAAGGCCCCAACTACATTGACATGTACATTGCAGTTTCAGAATGCAGATTAACTACATTGAACTGGATTTTATGAGTCCACAGTGACACATAATGCAGTTCAATCTGGATTCTGAAATTGCATTATATGGCAATGTAGATGGGGCAAAAATCTTACTATGCTCGACTATGACCTTGTTGGAGCATTTTGAACACAAATATACTTGCTTGATTTAAACCTGCGTGGTTATGTTGAATTTAAAAACTGTTGTACTAAACTATACATTACATGAGAGTTGGGAAAAATGTGGTCCATGAGCTGCATTTTTGTGGTCTCTGACACAACCTGCTAATCCTCCAAAACAATCCATTTTTAGATTAGCATAATTTTGAGTTAATTTTCATCAAATAATGGTTTTAAAAGGCTAAGAAAGCTGTATCCAGCATGACAATTTAGCATAATCACTTATTCGGAAGCCTCCAATATCCTTTCCTGAATACTGGCTTAGAGCTGAAAACTGGCCCAAAATGTTGACCAAAGGCAATGTGACATCATTTCCAGCATACAAGCAAGTACTGGTGCTGCAAGGATGTGTGTATGAAAATTAAACTCTTCCCCCACAGTTGCCAACCTCTGCATTATTATAAATTAGAGCTTTCCAAACTATGTGTCACGACACGTTACTGTATTGGCTGCACTGTGTAGATGTGTTGCATGAACGTAATGAGAAACCTCTTAGTCTATGTAAAATAAGCAATAAATCATATATATTTAAAATGTAAATGAAAGTTTTTTATGAGATATGTTGTATGCCCATGTTTTGAGAATTTGGGTATGTGTCCATCTCTTATGTTGGTTTAACATATGCTGAATTACTGTGTCACAAAATGATGCATGTATAAAAATAGTGTGTCACCAACATGGAATGTTTAAAAAGTTCTTCTCTATATCTTTCTTCTTTTTTTAAGTTTAAAAAGACAGGATATCTCTAACAAAGGATGAGTGCTAGTGAAAGACAAAACATCTGACCTGGACATTATAATCAACCTAGATAAGGCATAAAGTTCTGTCCCCTTACCTACACAGAGTGAAATTTAAAAAAAACATTTTAGGCTGGGTGAACAGAGGACAGAAATGAATTGTTGAAAATCTGCACACAGATAGAAAAATGACCATCTGAACATTTCCCTGATAAAATAACTTTTTTAAATTAGCAAGCAGGACCACCACTATAATATTAATGTCCAAATAAGAGAGAGAAGAGGACAATAGTGACTACTAGGTGGAGAAGAGAAAGAGCCATATGGGCCCTGCTATAATACTGCCCAGTTAAAATCACCGGCCACAAAACCAACCCAACATCTGAGTGAACCTTCGCTGGTTCTTGTAAATTAATGTGGATGTTTGATGTTTTATATCTAGGTTTTAGGTTAAATATAATTTTAGATCATTTACATTTTATTTAATCTATACATGTCATATTATATATCATTTTTCACATGTGGGGTTATTTTGGGGTATTATGCTGACTTTTGTTACTGTACTGGGGCATTGAATGTTTGCCTTTTTCGTTTGTTGGAATCCGCCCCGAGACCCCTCGGGGAGAAACGGAGGAATATAAATAAAGTTGTTGTTGTTGTTGTTGTTATTTGAAACACAACAAGATGAGTCCACAGCAGGCAAGATCACTCTGCTGGCTGTTGTATTGGTTCAGGCGTCAGACACTTCCCAAGTGTCTAGGACTGTGTGATGTATTGGCAAATTATGCGTGCAGATCCCAGTAAGGTGGCCTTCTGCAGCTGGCAGATGGTAATTTTGTCAGTGCCGATTGTGTTTAAGTGCAGGCCAAGGTCTTTAGGCACTGCACCCAGTGTGCCGATCACCACTGGGACCACCTTTACTGGCTTGTGCCAGAGTCTTTGCAGTTCGATCTTTAAATCCACATATTGTGCCAGCTTTTCCAGTTGTTTCTCTGCAATCCTGCTGTCACTTGGTATTGCAACATTGATGATCCAATGCTTTTTTTTTAACACGATCATGAGGTCAGGAGTATTGTGCTCCAAAACTCTGTCAGTCTGAATTCGGAAGTCCCAGAGTAGTCTGACATGTTCATTTTCTGTAACTTTTTCAGGCTTGTGATCCCACCAGTTCTTTGTCGCAGACGGATGTTATTTGGGGCACAAGTTCCAATGAATCATCTGAGCAATGGTGTTATGCCTCTGCTAGTAGTCTGTCTGTGCGATCTTCTTGCAGCAGCTGAGGATATGATCTATTGTTTCATCTGCTTCCTTGCAGAGTCTACATTTGGGATCTGGCTTTGATGACATTTGTTCTAATGGCTTGTTCTTGGGCTGCCAGAATCAGGCCCTCCGTCTCCTTTTTCAAAGTTCCACTTGTGAGCCACAGCCATGTTTTTCTTTGTCAATTTGACTCTCAATTTTTCCTAGGAACTGTCCATGGAGAGCCTTCTTTTGCCAGCTTTCTCTTCTGCACTGGATTGTGTTTTAATGGTATTCACTCTTTGTCTTTTGCACTTTAAGCAGTTTACTACTATTTACATCCCTCAACGTTGGTTCTTGACTGCCTTTCAAATAATCTGCCAGTGCATGTTTCTCTTCTTCTATTATTTGTTTCACTTGCAGAAACCATCTGCCTCCTGATTTTCTGGGCAGGTAAAGTCTGTCGACATCACTACGTGGGTGTAATGAGTAGTGGATTGTCATCAGTTTTCTTGTTTTTCTGTCCAGATCATCCAGCTCTGCTTGTGTCCAGTTCACAATTCCAGCAGTGTATCTAATGACGGCCCAGGTTTTGATAGCCTTGATCATATTTCCGGCATTTAATTTGCTCTTCAAAACTTTTCTGACTCTTTGGATATATTCTTTGCTGACCACATTTTTCACATGCCCATGCTTGATATTGTCCAACTGTAGTATGCCCAGATATTTATAGGCTTCAGCTGATTGCATTTTATGGTTTGTCCGTTTGACATCTCTATGCCCTCGCTGTGAGTAATTTTCCCTTTCTTTAATGCCACTGTGGCACATTTGTCTAGGCCAAACTCCATACTGATGTCAGTGCTGAAGATTCTGACTGTGTTGGTCAGTGACTGGATTTCAGTTTCTGATTTTTCGTAAAGCTTTAGGTCATCCATGTACAGCAAGTGGGAAAATTTTTTTGGTGAATTTCTTGCTGTTTGGTAGCTCAGGTTTGTTTCCTGTAGAATTACAGACAGTTATTGTTGTTGTTGTTGTTGTTAGTCAGGTTGGGCAATCAGAACATTTCTATAACTGCAGACCTTATGATTACAGCAAGGAGGCATATCTTAAGTATTTTTGTTCTTTCCCAAGACACCAGCCTCAAGACCTAGATGCCTATAGAACAGGGTATGGATTTCGAAGTTGCAGCAAAAGGCAGCAATTGCAATTTCCTCCAGATATATTCTTTCAGATTCCCCAGAAATTCAACTTTAATTGTTTTTAAAAGATGAAAATTAAGTATTCAGGCCTTTAAGAATCTGAGACATGTGCTATTCTTCTGATTATTTGTTTTGGAAGCAACCAGCCTGTACAGAAGTGATTATAATAATATGATTATAACTGTATTTATGTTTGCATTGGTTGCCCTAAGGCTGGAGCGGCCTAGCTGTGAGGAGTGTGTTACCATGGAAACGATGCTGCAGAGGAGTGGGAGGAGCTTAGAGAAGGGTGTTTTTGAAAAGCGACAGTTAAGAGTCAGTCAGGTTGGAGACTCTGAGAAGGGAAGAGTCAGGTTGGAGACTCTGAGAAGGGAAGAGTCAGGTTGGAGACTCTGAGAAGGGAAGAGTCAGGTTGGAGACTCTGAGAAGGGAAGAGTCAAGAGAGAGACTCTGAGAAGGGAAGAGTCAGGAGAGAAACAGTGTTCGTGAATAGTCAGAGATTTCTTCAGTTAGGAAAGCTGAAGAGGAAAACCTTATTAGTTTCTTTAGTTAGAAAGAACTAACAAAGGCTTGTTTAGATCCCTAGTTAAAAGAACTAGAGATCTGGTGTTTGATCATAGAAGAATCAAACGGGGAGACTATTCACCACAGTAAAACATTGTTTATGGAAGTGCTCCACCACAGCAAGAGTTTCATAAGTTGTAACATCGAAAGTCTGAACTGTATCACAACCAAGTTACATGTATCGTTCTCTAAGTATTTGCCAAGCTTAACATCAAACTGCAACCATACGCTTTGTTTCAAATAAACTTGTTCTCTTTGGTTTTTAAAACTGCCTCACCTCCATTTATTCTACGCTCGGTGTACCCAATCTACCATAATTACCTCACAACACAAATAGGGTGGCATCCAGTGATATAAATACAAGAGCCTTTTACAATTTGGTGCCGGCTTGTAGTGGACTCCTTTGCACAGCCCTATAGTGTTTCATCAGTTTTCGCCAAACAATTATACCATTATACTGACATATGTACACGTACACTCTTTCTGGAGAAATAATTTCCCAGTTTATTTTAGAATTACTGTTTAATGCAATTGCTATCCTATTTTAAAAAGAAGAAGAATGTGTGCTTTTACCCCACACATTAAGATAGTAGCAAGGATAAAATACAGTGATCTTCCTAACACAAGGCTTACGATCCAATTTCCCCTCATGAATGTGTAAACATTTTAAAAAGTGACCTGCCAACTTATAGAAATAAAGTGAATTCTTATTATACCCACATTGAAAGAAGCAAGGCTGTGGCAGACAGAGAATAGGCATGTGGAAAATCTAAAACCTGTGAACATCCTAGTGTTGTTATAACCAGCTTCCTATAAAAAGTAAGCCTGCAATGCAATTTGTCAAACCTTCAAGGTTCCTGTTTCCTATCTCCTAGGTATGCAAGAAAACTGTTGTTAGCGTGTTCACCAATACAGAACAAAACATACTATTTTGTACACAAATGATGGCTATATTATGTACTTTATAAGTGAGATAGGGAATAAAATGAAACAGAGAGATATGATGACTTTGAAGCACATACCATCTGTCTGAACTTGAAATCTGAAGACTTTACCTCAAGCTAGATCACTTGTATTAATGCTACATGAATTGAAAAGATTAGTGGGAAATCATCACTTAAAATTAGATGGGGCTGTGAAAGTGAATTAAGCTTTTCTTTCTACAAAATTCTGCCACTACAGAAAAGAAAGATGCCAAACATGACTCCAGCAATCGACTGGCACTACATTTGAAGGCAGGCCAGTCTGTTTCAGGGTTTAATCTGATTATCGCCCCATATGCTCAAGGCATGACTCAGAAATAAATCTGGTGCCATCAAAATAATATTAAAATATGCACAAAATTCAGAAGACCTCAAGGCAACAAATTACACATGTATAATGATGCAACATGATTACAACTCAATATACAAAGAATATCATTATCTAGACACATATGAAGAAATCCAACATGTTGGTACAGAGTTCAGGGAAACTGGCACAAACGGTAAACTGAATACATTTGTGAATATATGAAAAGGTACATTGAAAAAAAATGCAAAATGGAAGAAAAAGAAACATTTGTAAGCTGTCTAAAATAGGGCATGTTTCTGGAAAAGGAAGAAAACCCTTGAAGATATATGTGACAACAAGTAAGTGGATGAAGAAAGTATGAAGCAACTGTTGAACCACATAGTAGAAGTAAAGCAACAAGCATTAAAAACTTTGAATGCGAAGATCATACACCAACACAACTGGACAGGTATTATTGGGTTCTATGGGATTTGTGATGAAAGCGCACAATGGACAAATTATCACTTGACTTTTCTCCGATATGCTAAGAATCAGACTTATTGGGATCATGAAGGAAATCAAAATAATCATACCTAGACTTACAGTTTCTGACCAAGCCAAAAACTGTAGTTACCAAGGAATAGTACAGACAAAGCACACTAGTAATCTAAACTGTGGAGAGATGAACGACCCCCTAGTCTTCACCCCACAAGGTTTGAGCTAGGACTGAGTGACATCCATGGAGCAACTGTGGGATAATTCAAACTTGACACTGCAGCTCTAAAGTCAGGAGGCAGATTAGGCCTCGTCAAAATTGTAATGGCAAGTGAAAGCATATGAGAAATAGTGCACATATTACTGTAATTAAGACACAAAATCGAACCAAAAACAATCATAGAAAATAATTACAACATTTTTAAATCTTCAAAGAACTGATGAGAACACCAGTTTTGTTCTAGGATTCAGAAAATGAAGACACTGCATTCTGTTGATCAGTTTTCCTTTTCAAATTGATTTGGTTGTTTTAAAAACATAATTAGGCATAAAATACGTTATTTTAGAATTCTGCTAAGAAGAAAAATTAAATAAACAATAAAAAATTAAAGGGGTGAAAGCAGAAAAACAGAATTACTATGATGATTTTTGACTCAGTTTGAACACAAAGATTGGATCCTACCTAGAATAATTTAGATGGGAGTGAGTGTCCAGAAAATTCATACCCTTCCATTGATCCTTTCAGATCATACGATTTTAATTTATAACATTTTAGTGCTATCAAATTTTATGACATAATTATAAATTTGATATAGGAATGAAAAACAACCAGTTTCTGAATAAACTAAGCATGTATTCTTAGGCTTTATTAATACTCTAATTTTAATTTACCCCTTATTAAGTGTAGCACATAATCCTAAAATTCTAAGTAAAGAGACAAATAAGAAAATACATAACTATGGAACAATGTGAGAAAAATATCAGAAAAATAATGAGAACACCATCCCCCAGCTTGAGTACCTTGCATTACCAGGTTAATTGATGTTACTTCACTTAAGCCAATGTGTGGTTCACCTAGTCTTGACTGGAAATACTAAAGTAATTCTGGAACAAAACTGACTGAAATAAATGAATTCTATTACCTAGGATAGTATCTTTCTGTGAAAGTAATCACATGAGTCTGATTTAATGAAGTTGGTTATATCATTCAAAAAGTAAAAACTTAGGAATGTTTGGGGAAGTCCACTTGTTTAAAGATTACAATGTAGCTTACTGAAATATCATTATATTAAATAAAAAAATTGCTACTGAATTATATTATAGTTTCTGACCAAAACTATAATATAATTCAGTTGAACTATCAATACCAATTAAAGTCTTTGAAATGTAATGGAAAGCAGACAGTTCATCCCTGTCTTAGATTCAGATATTTTTCTCCAGCAGTGCACTGAAGGGTCTCCCTTTGCTACAAATTAGTGATGACTGAAGTTTAGAAGTCCAGCATAAGATCACCAAGTACATAATAATTTAATACCAGTGCCTTACCACGTCTGACGATTTACTCTGAACACTTCCTTTTATAGATATTATGCCAGTATGAGAAGGCTGAGAAATAGTGCTTTCAATTTTGCCATCTCTCTATAGAAAAATAAAATAAAATAATATGGAATTATCTGATAAACACCATCTGCACAGTTCCATTATGTTTTGCAATTAGAAGAAACATGTTTCACATAATATGCTATGATGGGCAGATAGCTATAAATCAGTATAAATAGTGGTATGATCCAGAGGGGAAAAAATTCAAGCCTTTTGCAAAAAGGCATTTATTTCTCTGTAGTAATAGTTTGAAAAGTCAGCAACATGTCATCAAGTTACACATTTCTTTTTCAAACCAGCAATTTCTTTTTCATATTTACCTGGATATCTTTATCCTGGCTACCTGTACTCTCTTCTTTTTCACTTGCGAGACTACTGGATTCTTCACCTAAATGAAAAGGCAAAAGGAGAATGAACTGAATAAATCAATAATGGAGTCATTTAACAAAAAAAACAAAAACAAAAACAGTTCAGGGTTTGTTTTTTTCTTACAAGCTGGTGAGTTTTTGAATTCCATATATATGAGTCCACCTATCCTTCATACACAAACATATATATACACACAGTTATGAAATCTGTTTGCATGAAAGACTAGCAGTGTGGAAGTCTGGCCTGGTAGGGGAATCAGTTTAATATACTTATATATATATAAAAAAAACTATAGACATCTGTACAATATTTTTATTATAGAGATGAAGCATAAAATAGAAAGAGCAAGAATACATTTGAGCAAATCTGACATCTTTAGGAAAGACTAACTTTGAATATATGTAGACCAAAAGTACAGGCCCAGTAAAGGAGAAAATAGTCACTAGGACAAAAGATACAAAGAGAAGGAATTTCTAAAGAAGTCCAAGTCTAGTGTAAAAGAGGAATAAATCATCTTTAAATTCTAACAAACATATTTATAAATTTTCATGCAATATAGCTCAGAATTTCTAACTTACATATACAACACACACAGTACACCATGGGACTGTAGTGACTGGAGCCAGAGGGAAATTAGTCAGAAATGCACTGATAGAAAAAGGAACTCTGTATGCATCCAGACGGCCCTTTAACCTGGGCCATTTATGGGAAACCTCCTTTAAAAATAAAAGAACTCATACAGTCTCAATTAGTGTGGTGCCGGAGTTCTCCTGATGTGTAGGAATGACATACCAGGAGAGAGGGAGCAGGAGCGATTTTCCTCCTCTCTCCTTCTCCTGGCGTATCATTCCTATGTGCCAGGAGAGCTCCAGCACCATGCGAATGGAGGCCAGGTAAGTTATTTTATTTTTGAAAGGGCTGGGGGGAGGTGTTGGGGGGGTTGGTGTCCTTGCTATTTTTCCGGGCTAATTTATCCCAGAAAACCGTGGGACTACTTCTGGACTGCCTCCTCAAAAGTCCAGAACTTTTGAGGGAACGGTCCAAACAGCAGAAGTAGCAGAAGAAGGTGTGGAATAAACTCACTAACAATTAAATTCGGGACAAACCAGGGTTTTCCTGGTTTGTGACAAATTAATTCATGTACCTCTGGGATGTCATCTGGATGGCCCCCTTTTAATTGCACAAATTCCTGCGTTAAAGGGGCTGTCTGGATGTGCCCTCAGAGTAGCACAAGTGCATATACAAAATCCATGAACATCAAGAGGTTTCTATGGTCAGAGTACAACAGCCAAGTTTCCATGTACAACTTTCAATATGAGTTGATATTTAAATTAAAATGCTATGTCTTCTAACTCCTGCATTCATGCATTAGAATAATAATGGTTTTTGAAACAAGGTTTGCATTCATACTTTCTGCCTCTTTAACAAATGCAGACGTTCCCTATAAGGCCAAATTATCCTACACTTAAGTTATTACTAATACAGTTTGTGGGTATTTATCCTTTATGTAAATTATATAAATTAATTATAGCTTTGAATTTGTGTGCTTTCACCTGTGTCAACTGGCATTGGGGGTGGCTTAAGAATGTCATCTGGGTGTGGTTTACACAGTCCATGAAAGGGGCCCAAGTCAAAGCAGTCATGAAGCAATTGTACATTCACTTCAGAGCATACACTCATGAAGCCCACTGCAAATCCATCATCCTGAAAAATCAAAACAAAAAGATTATTGTCTTTTAAAAGCTAACAAGTGACAGCACTGATCCTTACATGGAACATAGCTCATGTAATGCTGCCTATAATAATAAAGAGTTGTTTGAAAGAGCGTCTCTAATTCCACCACAACTCTGAAACTGTGAAACAGACACATGTGAACTTGTTATTCATAGTAAAGAGGATCTGTATCATGTGCACGTTGGTATTACTTGCTTTTTAAAATGCATAAATGTAATAATACATATATTGATTGTCCTCAATGTAAATATGTCTCTAAATTGCAGTATCATATAGAACCACATCAACAGGTTAGGTTTTATGTGCCACTTATGTCATGAGCTGGATTGGATTCTCAGTTTCATCAAAAATAATGTAATACTCTGGCAATTGTAAAAGCTGTAAAAGCTGAGATGTGAAGCAAAATATGTAGTCCCCATTCTGTCCCACTCTGTTTTAAAGAACTAGTACACTATTGCATTCCAAAGTGTATAATGAAACAGTTAAATCAGTTTAGAGATTATGTGTGTGACTGCAGTCAGTGGTATTGTTATTAAAGGATTAAAATGTCAGCACTCAGTTGTAGGCACTATCCAAGCATGTGTTACGCCTTAACTTTTACCACTTTGATTTACCATATTTCACCATATAATGGTCACATTTGTATGCCTATTATTATTATTAATTATTATTATTATTATTTGCAAAAAAGAAGGACATAATTATTAGGTGAAGGAAAAATATTGGTCCTAATATTTGCCATTTTGGAGGCTTTCAAAAAATCTCAGTTGTCTTTAAGAGACAAAGCAGGAGAAGGAAGAGCCCCAGTCAGCTTCGGTTTCTGTTTTTCTTTTTCACCCCCCCCCCCCCTTATCTCAGACAGATGAGGAGGGATTAATGATTAATGCAATGATTACGCAAAGAAAGGCAAGAATCAAATTTTGGGACCCAAAAAGGGGGATGAAAGTATTACACGGTAGCAGCTATTATGTGGTGAAATGTGGGTAATTGTTATCTGCTGCCTTCTGCTGGCTGGGTGGTGGCTTTTTGTATTTTATAATTGATTTTTCTCCCCCTGTCTTGCGATCAGGAAGAAGGAAATAAAATGTGTATGTGTGAGAGAGGGCAATTGATGCTACTTTATTTACAAGCTGCAATCTACAGTCCAATCAATTATCCACGTTACCAGTTACCTAGGGCTAAGTCCCATTATACTTAATGGTACGTATTAATGATTGGGTATGTCCTGTTAATTGACTCTATGCCCATGTGAGAAACCTTCTGCACAAATAACATGCCCTTGGGCCTATTTCTGGGGAAAAAAAAGAAGGCAGCTCTTTTCCAGAGGTAAGACAATATAAAGAGGCATTATTTCATTCTGTCACTGGTATTATTAAATCGCATTGGTAGCAAAGTCAGGGTTTTTGCCTACTTTTATATAACTAAAGCACCTCTGGGCTGGTAAATTGCCAAACATAAATAAATAAATGGAAGAGAAAATAGAACAATATACCTAGCCATCTCTGTGATTGTGGGGGCTTATCAGAAAAGGGCCTTTTGCATTTAGTGATCAAGTTGTTGTTTTCAACATTCTGCTCTAACAATGAAAACATTGTAAAACAGTACTTGTTATTCTCACCATGATGACGACAGCACTCAGACCTATAAGTGTAATGGGGAGAATCCTCAACTTTTTTGTCAGCTTAAGAGCTATCTCCTAAATTACACTGAGCTTCAGAAAGGACAACATATCTCAAGGGGATACCTTGGCCTCATCCATCTGTGAGCTTCAGGGAGATTGTTTAGTGGTTGTGATGCTAAGGAACTAGGAAGGTTTTATCCCCCAATGTCCCAGGGACTAATATCTGTGCACATTGGTTAAAATAGTTTCTTTCTTTTCAGAAAATGTGTTTCAGGTCAACAGCCAATATAGGAGCTAGAAAAAGGCACTGGTTCAGGGACCACCAATCTCATTAAAACTAGATTAGAACACTTCTGCTGCCAAGTGCCAAAACGAACCAAAGTCTCTAGCTCTTAAGGAGAGCACTGGAGATGGTGGCATGAGTGATGGGCAGTAAAGATACCCCAAGTGTTTCAATTGTTTAGGAGCAAAACAAATCCTGCTTCCAAGCTCTGGAGCCAGCTGGTAATGTAGTGTGATTTCACAATTGTGCTTGCCTTCCACGGCTTTTTGAGGCCCAGTACAATTGCAGGGAACCTCTCCACTTCTGCACCACTTTCTAGGTCTAGATTAGGAGCTAGTGGGGGAGAGAAAATGGAAAGCTTCACTCAGTTTGTTAGGATCTGTATTCAATTGCTACTCCAATTTAAGGGAATGCCTATCGAATTTCCGAAGGTTATATAAAATTGTCTTAAATTCTCATTAATCTAGTGGGAGTCTTCCCAGCCTTACCTAAGAAAACCAGGGATCAAATTAAAGATATTTTACCTGCAAATCTTATGTTCTGCTTCTGAACTATGGCCAATTCTAGCTGTCTGGCAGGTGACTGGCCCTTTTTCATAAACATATTGTATTCATAGATTGCTTACTTTCAAAGAAAAGAAATAATCTTTCTTTTCTGTCTCTTCTCTATTTTTTACAAAGGAAAAAAATACAGACACACCCCACTCAGAAAAAGATGGTTTCCGTAAACTAACCAGACTGTGAATTGATTTTGCCACCTGAAGGCATCCTCAAATAGGCATGGTGAACAAGCAAACATAAAAGGGTCCCCTTCACAAGGCTGCCTGTCTGTGACCCATGAAATTCACAGCCACTGAAATGCAGCTGAGTACTGCTTCAAATCATGCTCATAATATTCGAGTTGTCTGAAGATGCAGAAAGGCAAATGTAGTGATTCAACTACAGCTTACTGCTGGAAGATTATAATTGCAACTAATGCCCAATTACACTTCTCTGGATTGGTTTTGTTCATTATTATGTTACAACTATGCTATAAATATGAAGTGTTTCCTATTTGTGTATCCAACATGTTTTTCCTATTTGCTCCAATGCATATCCCCACCAATTCAATGGATCTTATTTAATAGCCTGTTGAATTAGTAAAACAATATGAAACATACTCGTTTGGATTTGTACAGTAATCTCTGCAGATGCACTCAAAAGTTAGTCTCACTTTGTTCAATTGTGATTGCTTTCAGGTGGGTGCTCATGGGATTATGACCTAATCTCATAAATTAGTCACACTCGAGTTACTGGAATGTCCTACCTAGTAAGAATATATAGAATTGCATCTACTATATGTTAAAAAACTTTTTGAAGCCCTACATAGATTTTACCTATGTATTCAATATTCTTCTTCTCTTTATGCCGGCCACATGACGTTGGAGGCATCTACGGACAATGCCGGCTTTTCGGCTTAGAAATCGAGATGAGTATGGCCCTCCAAGGTAATTTATCTGGCCCTCGCTCAGGGTCAACCTAAGGCCCTCGCTCAGGGTCAACCCTGAAATGACTTGAAAGCACACAACAACAACAACAATCCTATCTCATCAGCCAAAAACAGGCCCACACTTCTCACTGAAATACTAATGTTTATATTTGTTAAAATTGTTCTTCATTTTAATTCTTGTATTGTTTTAAAGTGTTTTTTGCACTACAAAAATGTGCAGTGTGCATAGGAATTCATTCATGCTTTTTTTCCAAATTATAATCCAGCCCTCCAACAGTTTGAGGCACTATGATCTGGCCCTCTGTTTAAAAAGTTTGAGGACCCCTGATGTAATATAGATGTATACATTAAAATATCATCAGATTATAGACATTACACTTCAGAGTCAAGAGTATCTAATTAGCACATGAGTTCTAGGGTTTTCAATTCTTTGCCAAATTCTTTGCTTTAGGAATATTGGTGCATCAATTACAATGTGTGTGTGTGTGTGTGCACGTGCCTACCAGTATTCATACTTGCTAACTGAAACAAGTTTACTTTTAAAATCAGTTACATATCTATGCCACTTTTCCTCCAGTGAGGACTGTATATATGGTTTTCTTCCTCCTGTTTATGGTGAATAATGTACATATATGTATGGGAGGAAATTAACCTCGAAATTGTTCAGGTTTATTATTTGAATAAAACAAACTTTGACTTATATCACCAACAATAATTAAAATAGGGAAGTGGGAGCTTCAGCTGATATTCCAGCAGTGCTCCTTCCTAGATTTGGAGGACCTGAAAATGGTAGTGCGTGCACTGGTAACCTCAAAGTTGGACTTCTGCAATGCGGTTTATATTGGGCTACCTTTGTACCAAGTTCAGAAACTCCAGCTGATCCAGAATATGGCAGCCAGACTGGTTACAGGAATATCTAGAAGTGAACATATTACGCCTATCCTAGGGTCACTCCACTGGCTGCTAATTAGTTTCCCGGCAAAGTACAAAGTGTTGGTTTTGACCTTTAAAGTCCTACACGGTTTGGGTCCAGATTACCTAAAGGATCACCTTCTACCGTATAATCCGCCCTGAACACTTCGGTCTTCTGGAGGGCATCTGTTCCAACCAGCCAGAATCTGACAGCCGACCGTCACCCAGAGGACCTTTTCATCGGCCACCCCAAGACTGTGGAACGACCTGCTGGAAGAGCTCCAACAGTTAAATGAGCTGTCGGGATTTTAAAACCATCTAAATGCTTATCTCTTCCAGCAGGCCTACCCAGACACTTTTTGTGGAATTTTTACAATGTTTATGTGTTTTAATTATTCTGTAATCCGCCTTGAGCCCATGAGGAGTGGCGGGTAAGAAGAAATAATAATAATAATAATAATAATAATAATAATAATAATAATGTTGTTGTTATTATTATTATTATTATTATTATTATTATTATATGTGCTGATTATTTTTAAGCCCACATTTGTCCATTTGTCTTGAATTTGTAGGAAAGTGGGAATGAATCTTAAGTGTAAATATCAAGCTAGTCAAAACCAGTTAATAAATATAAAGTCTAGCAGAAAGAAAACAGAAATCAACAGAGTGAACATTCATACAGAATTCTGACATTTTGGGGTGAGGGATATCCTGAAGATGGGGCTGCCATGCAAAAGTTCACAGGGCAATCCCATTTTTGGGAGGCAGGTGAGTGTGCATGGCACAGAGTGTGAGAATGCGGCTGCTGGGTGAATATTTACACAGTAGGCCCATATTTGGGGGGCAGGAACAGCAATGGTAGTGATCGGTCATCTTCTGTATACCTCCAGAGGATGGGTTTCTGTATGAATGAGCAGTCATGAATTCTTCATGCTCACCATGAACCTGGACCCCCACCCCCCAATACAATATTTGTGTTTTGACCACTTCCTGTGCCCCCAAACCTCGTGAATGTGGAAGGCTGACTGAATTGTGCATATTCAGCATTAGAATCTTCTTGAAATGAAACTGCAGGGAAAATAACATGGATATAGGGAATGAATGTCAATTCAGATTAATTCCTAGCATATACTAATTATCCTCCATCTGTTAAAATTACTGTGATCTACTTCTAGAGAAATATGGTTACAATCAGGATGCAACATTCACGGAATGCCAAAGTAGGCAAGCATGATACTAGGCATGTCAAATATGACCACATCTCTTTTCCCTGCAAAAACCCCTCAACACTAAGAAGAGATAGCACAAGATGAGGAGGGGGTTATTGTTAGAACTTCTGTATGTTTTTTTTTTTACTTTCTTCCTTTGTTTGTTGTGATCCTTACATTAAATGCCCTTGTTCCTTCTACTGCTGCTGTGATTATTATTATTATTATTATTATTATTATTATTATTATTATTGCTGTGTAATTGAGATTTCAAGTTTTGCATTACATCTAGTTTAATCTTTAGTACATACAAATGTAATGGGGAGAAGAGTTCCTTGATGCTTTAGCATCTTATAAACTGTATTGACAAATAGTATTACACAAAAATAGCCTTCCAAGTGGTTAGTTTTCCTCTTGGTCCTAAAACAATATTTGTTCTAAAGAACTGGATTGACACAGCTGGCATCAACACTTCAATAAAAACAAAAACATATATAGCGTTTTCACCCGTGGATCATTTGTTTGCTTAGCTGAACAAAGCTGGAGCCCTGCAGTTGCCTGGCTCCTATGTCATTTTAGGCTCAAGGCTCAGCAGAAGCTGATTAAACAATCCATCTGCCATATGTGCAAAGCGAAGTTGCCAGCTTCATTCTTTGCAGGGCAAACTGACATCTATTGTGGCCCTCATGGCAAAGCTTTTCCAATCTACAGCCATGTTGATAAACCTACCAAAGACTAAAATGGATTTTCTTGGGCTTGTACTAATAATTGTTGGACAAGTGCACAACTGATATCATAAATATATAAACAAGTGCTTTATTGTGTCAAATGGTTGATGAAGCCAAGTTCTAAACAAACGACAGTGGTGCCATTTAAACAAAGGAACTTTGCCCAAATATTCTGTACTAGTGTCTCTCAACCATTTGGAGATTAATGATCCTTTTCTGGGTTTTGGATAGGTACACCATGGCCCATGTGTCTCATCGCTCTACAATATAGTGATTTTACTGCCCTAAATTTAGGAAATAATTCATGAATGAAACTGATGCACAACCTTTAAAGAGTTGTTTTAAAAATCTATACAAACATACTGGGCAATTTCTATGCTAGCAGCATTCATAGACATGCTGTGCAAATCTTTGTTTCCAGATCTACACATATGGGTTAGAACCTCTTAATCTCTACCCCAATGTACTGCTCTTTTTCCATCTCCTTCCCATTTCCTTTCTTGTTGCTTTTTTCACTGTGATGCCTGTTTTGCCCTTTTGCCCCTGCTTATTTTTTTTCCTTCTGGTATCATAGATGTTATGATCCCCCTTGGGAATTCTTCATTAGCTATGGAGCCAGATTGATTTTTTCCAGAAGGAAAAGGAGGAGACCTAACAAAGCCCCATATAAGCAGCCAGGTCCCTCTTCTGCTAGGAAAGTGTCTGAATACCAGGAGGTATCCCATCCTCAGATGAAACACGTGGCTAAGGTCAAGATCTTGGTATTAGCCCATCAGAGTGTCACAACCAAATAGAAACTAGGTGGGGCTGTCATCCTTCAGTGTTATGAATTGTGCAGTAGGTCTGGCCAAGCAATAGAATCAGCCTAAAACTCTCACCTGTTGCAGTTTCAGACTCTATGACTCTCAGCTTGCTTACTACTAAATCCTTAGATCTTGTTGGTGATCTAATGACCTGGCTCTTGACCTCAGGATGTTACTGGCTCACACTCTACCTCTTTCACCTAAAACTTTCCTGACCTTTCCTGGCTTTCCTAAACTACTGCTTACACACCTCTAAACACTGATCAGCAGGATTCTATTGTACATAAAATCCAGGTGAAGGTAAGCTAGAACAATTTCGCTCCCTTTATTGATTGAAAAATTCAAGAACTATGCAGAGAAAAGTGGTACATTAATCTACCTTGAGGCTATGACTGAATCTATTACACAGTTGGTATTGCAAAAGCAAAATAAACTTTTTTGCAACTGTTAAGGTATTACAACCAACATGCATTCCAAACCTGAAAGACTCTGATCTCTTCTAAAGTTAACAAAATGCTCTTGCTTCTGTCTGCCCTTGACAACCAATGGGAAGGCACCAAAGCCTCACTAGTAGGTCTGAAGATAGAATTGCTAGCTATACCAGAAAAGCCAATAATTTATCTTTTTTAACAAATCTATAGCAAATTAGACAAAACCATAAAATGCCACAATTCACTTTTCTCATTTCCTCCCAAGGAATGAAAAACCAACAACATTCCGACTTTTTGACAGGCTCTACTCTTATGTACCAGATTCTGCAGGATCTGTCCATAATTAAGCATAGTTAACATGATATGACAAAGTCTTGATGTTTGCACTATATAACTACTACCCTAATAATCATGACATTATGATATTCCGTTGCTTTAGATTCAATCAATGCTAAGTTTATTCATCTCCTATTTTTCCTTCCCATCTCTACAGTAAAATATTATTTGCTAAACATTAGCTTAAGTGTTATCATGCTCACAATGGCTATATTTTCCACACTTCTAGAATTGACATGGCACCTTATATCCTGACTGACTTTTTTTTTTCCTTCTTAGCTCCAAAGTAAGCAACATTGATTTCAAATAATGTCAAACATGGCATTTCTGCATGGCAGGGGGTTGGACTAGATTACCCATGTGGTCTCTTTCAACTCTATTATTCTATGATTCTATGATCCCTGGCATTCATATATTGTCCAATCTATTACTTCTTCTCTACTCCTTTGATTCTGTTTCTGAAAAGATGGCCATTTTTCAATGTTACAAAAATATTTCTGTGAGATGTGCCAAGAGAGCAGAATGGGTCATTTCAATATTAAATACTGTGTTTTGGTAAATACTGTATTTTGACAAAGCCTGATAGGGCATTGAAATGCAGTAGTCTATGAAAAGTATGCCAAAATCCCATGATCTGCCCTCAACAAGATGTCCTCTACTTGATCTCTTCCCTTAGGAGAAGCAGGATGATGTGGTTTAAGCTGTACAAGGGATCATAATTTGCATCTAGAGGAACAGTTTCCCATTACACCACCCAAGTACTGTACCCAGCACTCAACAGATGAAATAACAGATGAAATAATGAAACAGATGAAATAATTTTATTATTCATTGCTTTTATGGTTTTTAAATGTATTGTAATGTTTTTGCTTTTTATTGATGTATGTATTTTTACATATGACATCTAATTGTTACCGACTTGTACACCTCCCTGAGTCACCCTTAGGCTGATATGGGAGGGATAATGTTGTAAATAAATAAATAAATGACAAGGTACACCATGGAGGGAAGGATATTATAGGCAAAGATTAAGTACTTTGGCCACATAATGAGAAGACAGGAAAGCTTGGAGAAGACAATGATTCTGGGGAAAATGGAAGGAAAAAGGAAGAGGAGCCAACCAAGGCCAAGATGGATGGATGGTATCCTTGAAGTGACTGGCTTAACTTTGAAGGAGCTGGGGGTGGCCACAGCCGACAGGGAGCTCTGGAGTGGGATGGTTCATGAGGTCACAAAGTGTTTGAAGCAACTGAACAAATAAACAACAAAAACTGCCAAATGCCTGTCCAGACCATTGATGTCTGCAACTGAGAATTTTCTACAGTGTCTAAATTTCATCCGTTACCTTTCACCCAGCAGATTCAGTGACTATACAAAAGACAACAGCAATTATCCCCTTAACAGTTTAATACAAGGCTCACCTCACAAACCACAGCAATATTCTCTTCATCTTGGGCTTCTATTAATTCAGCAAGGAAGTAGTCTCCGTACGTTTCTCTCAGAGTATCATTGTGGCGTGCAAAGATAGGGGTGAGATCATCATGGTCTTCTACCCTACAGAGGAGATTATTTCTTTAAGCAAATGTGGAAATACACTAGGCACTAATACTTTATTGAGTTTTTAATTACTTAATTTATATTCCACTTTTTTCCTAAATGAGACTTAAAGCATAAAGTAAAACAGAGCATTTACTAGAGTACAGATGTTTTTTTTTAAAAAAAACATTAAACCAGTTGTTCACTTTAAAACACGACTTCTAAAATATAAAAAAGAAAGCACTACACTTTAAGCAGACATTGCACACAATAATCAGCATACTGAAGTGAATATCACTTCATGAACCCACACGCTCCCTTTGTTAATCCGGAGAGGCCCTGCTCGCGATCCCACCTGTGTCGCAGGTGCGTTTGGTGGGGACGAGGGACAGGGCCTTCTCTGTGGTTGCCCCCTGACTTTGGAACACCCTCCCCAAAGACATTAGACTAGCACCCACATTGGCAGTCTTTAGGAAGAACTTGAAGACCTGGCTATTCCGATGTGCCTTTCCTGAATAGGATAACCCCCAGTACTATGTCCCAGAAGCACTTTATTAGAGTTTAATGACTCTCTGCACATTGCACTTGCCCAGAATTCCAACATACCACCTCTCACACCCAGCACTTTTTAATCTGTACCCATCATTGGCCCGGCCCTGGTTTTATTGTGTAATAGTGTAATGTTTTGTTATTGCTTATGTTTTTTAATTTGCTTTGTATCGTATTGTTATTGTCTGTTGTTGTTGTGTTGAGACCTTGGTGGTCAAGACTTGGACAGGCTTGTATGAAAAAATATGGGCTTTCAGATAGCACTCCTGAAATGTAACACAGATTTAATCAAGGCCTGTGGTACTGTGGCCAGACTGGCTTATCACAAAATGGCCATATCACGAGTACTACATTTAATTGAGCAAACACACTCCTGGCAGCCACTGAAACCTGAGCCTCTAGATTTGGGGAGGAGTCCAAGAGTATGCTCTAACTACACACCTGGGATTTCTGGAGTGTTATGCCATCTATCCAAAGTTAAATCCCTATTTCTGAATTAATCATCCAACATACCAAGAGCTTTAATTTTTTGCCTTCATCAAGTCTTTTAGTATAACACATGAAATAACCAAATTCCATGTGTAATACCAAAAACAAGCATTATTTCGATTAGGTATACCTGTGATACACCTGTGATTTCAATGCAGGTATACCTGTGATACACCTGTGATTTCGATGCAGGTATACCTGTGATACACCTAGGGATAAAAATCTGAATTTTCCGATTCCTGGTAGATGTCATGCACACTTGGGATTTTTTACCCCTCCTTCAATGATCTTGCACAGCTTTTTAACAAAAGTTTTGCAATTTGCCCAGAGAACTGTGGAGCTTTCCAGAAACTATGCAGCTTTCAGCACAGAAACTAAAACTCTTCAGCGTTCTTCCCAGAAAAATAATTGTGCAACCTTTAAACTCTGGCTGCAGCTTCAGAGTTTCTTTCCTTATTGCATAATTTTTGTTTAGTGCAACACTGAAACCAGCAAAAGTGGTGCATAAAAAGATTGCAAACACAGGTTTTTACAGCTATTTCTTAAGTTCTGGTACATTAAAATGATAACAACAAATGATACAAATGTCAGCTTTTCTGGTAAATGAGATTTTGAGCAAGCTGTGATCCTGCACTAGAAGTGGTGCATTTTAATTGTTAATAATACTTCAATTCAATTTTATACTTCTAAGTTTATTTATGTGTGCGTGTGTGTGTATGTATATGAATGTATGCAACTGCACACCATTTTGATTAATAAGCAAAGCTATTGTAGTATGCTGCTCTTGGATGGAACACATTTGGATAATCCACCTGCTTAGATTTATTTCTGTTACTTATTTAGAAATGATATCTCTCATTTCAAAATATTTACCACAACTTCTCAGCAGAATAAGGTGAATGTACCCTGAAGTGAAGTCGGTACCAAATCCACCAATCTTGATTGAAACCTTTTGTAATCAAATAATCACATCATTTTCCATATGAAAATTTGACCAGAGAGGAGAGAAAGAAAATCTATGTAGTGAGGTTTTGGACTCTATGAGAAGTACAACTGAAGATAAGAGGGCAATTAAATGTAAGAAATAAATTCTGTCTTGGTTCGGGTTTTTTTCCTTTCTGTAACGCAAAGTCCTTCCACACAGCCATATAACCCAGAATATCAAGGCAGATAATCCACAATATCTGGTTTGAACTGGATTATCTGAGTCGACACTGCCATATAATCCAGTTCAATGTGGATTTTATACAGCTGTATGGAAGGGGCCACAGAGAAAGATATAGAATATATAGAATAGATCAATGCAAGCACAAGACTGTGTTTCAAGGCCTACGGCGACCTCTAGTGGGCAATGGACACTTGTAGGTTTTCCACCTTATTCTCTGTTCATTTACCACTTGCCACTGAGTATTTAAAAACAATTTAATTCAACAATACAGGGTCAAGAGAATGAGATGGCTTCCTCGGTAAGCAGATTTGGGTGACATGAAGGGGCAGGAAGTGACAACTTATTCTTTACAGTTAGCAGCTATATTTGCAGATTCTGCATCCACAATTTCTACCATCCATGGTGTGAAGATAGATAGATAGATAGATAGATAGATAGATAGATAGAAATTCAAAAAGTAAAGACACAGGGCACCAATTTACAATTTCATTCTATATAATAGAACTTGAACATACACATATGTTGCTATCCATGGAGGGTCTTGGAACAAAATCCTAACAGATACCATGGGTCCATTGTATGTTATAACTGTATTCTTGCTAGTAAGGAAGGTTGAGCAGTGGCATATGCAGCCCATGTTCCCCACCAATTGCATATAACGCATGAGAATGAGAAGATTCTCAATCTGTTACTTACATATAATAATGCAGACTAATATTCTAAGTAGACTTTTATCAAATGTTAGGAAATACTAAAAATTAACAACAATAATTTAAGAAACCATCAGCCAGGCAAAGAGCATACCAATTTTTGACAAATGGAAACAGTAACTAATCAGCAAATTGGAAAGAAAGAAAAATTGTATGCGGAAATCCAAAGATAGCAAAAAAAAAAAAAAAGCAACATAAGGAGGTATGTTTATCAACATGTACAAACCAACACATAAAACAAACACGTACAGATGATGGATAATTCTTACCTGGCATGGCGCACATAGAGCTGAGGGCGATACTGGTGCCTGTGAGCCACATACAGGCTATATTCTATTTGCAAAGTTGGACCTTTATTCTCCATTGGTACAAAAGCAGTTGCTAAATCTAAACCTGAAAAAAACAAAAACAAAGGTCTGAAAGTGACTCGTGTTTTGTATTGAATCTCTCCAGTGACTACTTAAGAGGCTTAAGTAAATACTTATTTTGGTTTCTGTGACAAATCTTGCTGTTTGATTAACACTGTATTTGAAGAGTAATATATAGGGGCGGTGTGCATGGTAAATATAATCTAATCTCAAAACTGAGTTCCTATGTTTAAAATTACATATTCATGTCCAAAAATGAGATAAATTATTCACTTGTTTTGAAATATGTGTATAAATTTCATGTTCAGATAAGTTAAATCTGTCATTGCCCTTTGTTGGTATATTTTCCTTTATATCATAACACTCCATCACTTTCCTATTATTTTTTGTACTTCCAATACTATTGATTAATATTATGCATATTCAATCCAGTTTTAGAATAAATATTTTCTACAGTTCTCTTTAGAGGAATATCATTTTACAACATGGAAAACAGACTTTAAGACTGCAATTCTATACCTGTCAACTACAAAATAAACCTCACTAAGGGTGTGTGTACGCTATCAGATCAATGCAGTTTGACACCACTTTAACTGCCATGGCTCAATACTATGGAATCATGGGAGTCATAGTTTGGTGAGGCACCAACTTTCTTTGACAGAGAAAACTAAAGACCTGGTAAAATACAGTTGTATGGTCCCATCTACCCTGCCATATAAAATCCAGATTATCTAATTTGAACTGGATTATATGGCAGTGTAGACTCATAATCCAGTTTAAAGCAGATCATGTGGATTATCTGCTTTGATAATCTGGATTATATGATAGTGTAGAAGGAGCCAAAGTGACTAGAAGGGTGAGTTACATGTTGGCAAATTTGCACTTAAGGCATTTCCAGGCAGTTCCAATAATTTGGGAGAGATCAGGTTAAAAAAGGGGGGTGGCCAGATTCTTCCATGACTGTGCGGCCCTGCAGTCATGTAAAGTTTCGGATGTCCCTCTTTTCCTGTGAAGACTGTTTCCCGCCCCTGCCGGATTTAAAAAGCTTGAAACACCTGATCAGCTCTTTGGGCTCCCATTGAGACATAGCTGATTTCCAGCTGATTTCAAGAGAGCCATTAGAGATCTCCGAAAGTGTTTATTTTAAACATTATAATATTAAATAGATCATGAATAATCAATTGGGCAAAGAGGAAAATCCAGCAGCATTTTTTTTAAATCCCACTGTTATGCGTTGATATTTATATGTTCACATAGGAATATATCCATATTTGTATTAGAATATTTGCATGTGTGCATATATGCATCAGCACATAGTTGAGTGATTTTTAAAAAACTTCCGTTGGATGTCGCCCGTCCACCCCCCATTTTATCCTGAGACCCAGAAGGGCTGTGAGGATGATGTGGGAAAAAAGCCTGGGACCGACAAGTCTGTGTGGGGACCTCCTCTGAGGTCCCGGGTTTTTTATCTCACATATTAATCCCGCGTTTTGGCGGGATCTCACTTTAGCTATGGATTCAAGAGGTAGCTTTCAACAAGCCTCTATCCTTCAATGTCAATTCTTCGTATGTAACAAGGTGATATCCACTTTGGCTTACTTTCTAGGACTACTAAGCTGGAAATATTTTTTCTCAGTAGACCATAGAAGCCCTAGAATAATGAGATACATCAATCTGCTCGTTCTAGTGTTATGGTCAAGAACCAACTAGATCATGGGTTTGCTAATAATTCTTGTACCATATTCTATACTCCAGAATGTGTTTTGGCTATAATTCCCAGAAATCCCAGCCAGTTAACCAGTTGTTAGGATTTCTGGGAGTTGAAGGTCAAAACATCTGAGGACCCACAGGTAAAGAACCATTGCTCTAGAGAGAATGCCAGAAAAGATCATATATAAATATTCACTTCAAGTTTGTGGAAGTAAAAAAGTTATTTCAGGATTTTCAAGACATGCAATTGCATGCAGAAATATCTACTAAACATTAATATCTTAGGGTATAATTACTAAACAGCAATAAAACATTTATTTTATTAAGAACCACAAATAAATGTATAAAATCTTTACCCAAATCCTCTTGAGATGGCACGAAGAGAAGTATGAAATGCAGCTCTGGTACGGTTTTAAAGACAGTCCTGAACAAATAAAACTATAATCATTTTTTATTTTAGCTTCCAAAAATATCACATTAGCACCCAAATATCATAACCATTTCTTAATCTTCCTAGTCAGTTATATAATACTGAAGTAGGACTGGAATACATTTTAATAATATGATAATAATATAAGTAGAAGCATCTATATCATGTCAAAGCATTAGAGGATTGAAGGGTGTTTTCAAAAAAACAGTCAGGAAACATATTGCCTTGATGACTTAAAGATTCTGCCTGAAGTAGACTCATTTACAAATCAGATAGACTAATCTTTTAGAAATCTTTTGATTTCTTGTTAAACTATGGAATGAACTACATAATAGAAGAACTTCTAAGTAGGCAGAGCAGATTGACACAACACCAGGCATAATCTATTGTATTCATGGAAGCTATGCCACATGACAAAACATAGTACAGGTTAAGTATCCCTTAACCAAAATGTTTGGAATAGGAAATAGTTCGGATTCTAGATTTTTCCAGATTTTGAAATACCTGTATTTACATATATGTCCATAATGAGATATCTTAGAGATGGAACCCATGTCTAAACATAAAATCTATTTATGAATTATATGCACCTTATATACACAGGCTGAAGATAATTTTGTCCAAAAATTAATAATTTTGTGAATGAAAGTAAGTCTGTGTACATATAAAATCATAAAGACGTCACTATCTCAACCCACCTATGTGGACAATTTCAGATATTTTGGAACATTGGATGCTCGACCTATATTTATATATAAAACATTTCTGTAATTTCGATAATTCAGAGTCATATTTACATAACTAACCTTGCACAAAGTATTCTACAAAGGTAAGACTGATATATTCTTCCCTATAATAAAATATACTTTTATAATAGAAAAGGATATCTGTAACAATTCCATTAAGAGCTAATTCCGACATTCCATTTTGTGTTCGATAAAACTGACTTTTGTCTATGATAACTTTTGTTAGAATGTTCTTTTTTCAGCTGGTCTCAAAGGCACTACTATATGTCTTTTTAATGTTTGGGAGATTCAAGCCAGGCTGCCTAATGTATGAGTCTGTGTTGGTGTTTATAAAATTGGATAGCCAAGCAGAGTAATAATATTTATTTATTTGATCAGTCATATGACCATTTAAAAAAAAAGCATTTGACATTTTAACAAAATTCCAATACATCTGTTTGCTGGAATCTCCATTTACTTTACAGTACATATTTTGTAACATATCAACTTACTTCATAATTTCATGGAAACAATCAACGACATATTCATCAGTTGTCACAAACAGATGCAAGAACAATGTATTTAAAGGCTGTGAATAAAAGACACAAATAAATTCAACATACTACTTAATTCAATTGTTGCATAAAATTATAACCATTAATTTAGTTTTAGAACTTTCAAAAAGTACACAAAATATTGGGGGAGAAGTGACTAAGTAAAATATTATTTTTAATAATTCTTTAAGGACCATCGGAAGCAAGAAGGAAGTCAGCAAACATTTTTTCTTGTTGTTTTCTTACTTCTTCAATTTTTTATATACCCTTTCTTCTTCTTCTTCTTCTTCTTCTTCTTCTTCTTCTTCTTATTTTTACTATTCTTACTTTTTTACTATCTTCTTACCTTTTTTTCTTTTTTTAGCTTTCCAACTTTCTATACAAAGAAATGTTCTCCCACTTTCATTGTATAATCTATAACCTATTTTCAATATGACAAAACTTTAATAAAACATATAAAAAATATTGGGAGAGAAGTGGACTATATCATTATTTCCTCAAATCTAATGCTCATTTTTGAGGTAAATGACCTTACCAAAATTGGGGTTCACATTAGATTATATGGTAAACTTAGTGCTGAGCCAAAGCAAAAGGGGATGCTGCTTGAAGGGCTGCACCTGGAGCTCTTCTTTGAGGGACGCCATCTCTGATTAAATGGCCAGGACTCGATGTTACGCATTCCTAGGATTTGTGGTTTGGTGAGACACCAGCAATTTTTGGCAGAAAAGGCTCAAAACCTTGTCAAACTACAGCTCTCAATATTCCATAGCACTGAACCAAGGCAATTAAAGTGGATTCATTATACAGCATAGATACACCCCAAGTTTTCTTTTTCCTCAGCTTTGGTGTTCTAACACAATTGTTTATAACAAAGTAATTTTAAGCAGTCAGCAAAAGTAATGTGCACCTTTTTTGACCAAATTACAAAGAGCACACTTTTCACCGCTGTGCATTATATTTGGCAGCAAATACTTTTTTTGGTTCAAGCTTTTGAAAATTGATGTGCACATTACATTTGATGGTGCATTAGACTCAAGTAAATACGAGTAACTTCCACAAAATTAATAAGGAAAATTAGTACAAAAACAAAACAGGCATAGCTCCTAAAAGACTGTACAAAGGCTTACTGTTCAGCACTGAGGACAGCTCATATCTACAATGAGCTGCTGGATAAGGGAGGTTCCTTAAAGTGGAATTAGACATTGGTAACAAACAATTGATTCCCTTGTCTATTTTTCTGTATAAAACAATGGCAGACATTTTTGGAAAAGCTATAGCAGTTTAACAATTAACTACTAACTTTTAAAAATAAGTTCCCTTGGCAGTCCATTTTCCCAGCCACACAAGAGAAAACAGTTGAGAAGTTTCAGGAAATGAGTTATGTATCATTTCATTACTTCTCACAAGCTAAAGACAATTTAAACATCTAGTTAATCAACAAATGTTGGATTGCACCATATATTTATGTATTTGCTGTGAGACACAAATGCTGTATTGTTATGTGAACCTAGTGTTAATATTTTCTGACCCTATCATGGTTGTTTTCTTGGGAAGATTTATTCAAAGGTGGTTTGCAATTGCACCCCTCTTAGGCCACAAGAGTGTGGCATGTCCAAAATCACTCAGCAGGTTTCCATGACTGTGGTATTTGAACCCTGGTCTCCCAAGCCCCTTCTACACTGCGATATAAAATCCAGATTATCTGCTTTGAACTGGATTATATGGCAGTGTGGAATGGGTCCCAGAGACTTTGTCCAGCCTTCTGTAAGTTCTTATTTCACTCTCTTGAACTAGTGACTGAACAGATCTTTACCTTGCGATAAGGTTGCTACCCAGAATTAAGGTCCTATCTTTTTTCATTACATTTAAAGGTGTTACTCAACTGTTGAAAAAAGTGAATATATTGCAACAACAAACTGCAACAATATTTCTGAAGTCTAAAATCAGCACATTGGCCTATATTTTCTCTAGAACATTAAAGAAATAAGATAAGAAGAAATTCTTGCTCTGACTCATCAAGAGAAAGAATGCCATGTTTGGACATCATCTTAAACAAATAAACAACAGGAAGCCCATGCTATGTTGAACTGCTCCTTCTTGCAATGGGATGAACCTTGTCTCTGACAGTTTGGGTACTTTTTAAAGATGTAGAATTGGAAACCACCCAGTGCACCAAGAGAGTTCTCTTTATTTATTTATTTATTTACTTACTTACTTACTTACTTATTTATTGCATTTATATACTGCTTTTCTCACCCCTGGGGAGACTCAAAGTAAAGGCAGGATTCAGTGCCAACATATATACAAAACCAAAGCATGCTAACTAAACAATAGCATATAACTATACATTAAACAAAATATTTGCAGAAATATTCAAAAACTATTCAAGAAATTATTTCAAAAATATTGATTAAAATATTTGCACAAATATTCATTGAAATGATCACAAAAGGATGCAGAAACATTCACAAAAATATTCACAGAAATAATCATAAAATATATACAAAATATTGTCAGAAATATTCACTGAAATAATCACAAAAATATTGTCAGAAATATTCATTAACATAGCCACAAAAAGAGTTATAGAATTCGTAACATATTTGCAGAAATATTCACAAAATGTTCAACAAATTATTTCAAAAAATAATCATAAAAATATTCCCAGGAATTATTCACAAAAAATATTCACAAAATATGTTCAGAAAAATATATGCTGAAATATTTGGAAAAAATATTCTCAGAAATAATCAAAATACTCACAAATATATTTTCAGGAAAAAAAATCCTAAAAATATTTGCAGAAATATTCATTAAAATGTTTGCTGAAATAATCATAAAAATATTCCCAAAAATGTATTCATAAAATATTTGCCTTCAGGTCTTGGGTTTGGGGAGGCAGGGGAGGAAGGGAGGAAGAATAGAAGGAAGGAAGGGCCCTTTAGTATTACTATTATTATTATTATTATTATTATTATTATTATTATTATTATTTCCATTATTTTTGTGATTATTTTTCACCCTTTTATTCTTCTGTGATTTTCCCATGGGGACTTCAGAATTCTTAACCATGAGATTTGAGGTTACACATCACTAGTTTTGATGAGTTTGGCGTAAAATGTGGTGTGAAAGCAATATTCTCATAAAAGCTTTGCAGAATTTTTTTTTTGGCCTAAAGCTAAGAGCGTTCATTTCTACTTGCCTTAAAGTCAGATTACTAAACACAAGCAATATTCCATCCCCTGACAGTAACAGCATTCAAGAATGCATTGTGCAAGGCAACAGCAATGACATTAAAGGGAAATAAAAGACTTTTCTACATTTAGCCACTTGGATAAGACTATTAAATTTAATAAATAGAAGAGGATCAAGGAAATCTGCAAAAATTGTTATAAGCTGGACTTGAACTAATTTCTCAACACAATTACATAATAATGAAAAATATTAAGATCACATCATTCAAGAAAAATGCTCCCTACATACCGTACACCTAACATTATCATAATTTTCTTCTAAGTATGATTCCCAGTGAGCCTCATCAACAAAATCCCAATTGGGGTAGTCCACAAATGCAGCATGAGCAACAGGTATATTCTTCTCATTAATCACAGTCACTGCAAGGTTGGCTTTTTCTCTGTAAAACAAATGTTTAAATTTCATTGATGGAACAAGTAAAAATAAATTACAGGATTTTTAATTAGGATAAATAGTTGCCATTGTGTTACTTACAAAAGATAAATAACATTGACTCTGCCAAAAAGTCTTTCTGTATCATATTTCATGTGACCAACAATATTAGGAATATCATGGGATTCTGTTCTTCTGGCATTGAGTGTGACAGTAGATTGAATAGGCGATGATGTTAGACGTAATAATGAAGTCATATTCTAAACTGCAACACAAAGAGGAAAAATGCTTCTTCAGACAAATGAGTTATAGCCCAGGACAAAACTGAAAATAATGACAAAAATGTAGAAGTATTTTAAAATGACACCAATTTTTGCAGTATGGTCCTATGTATAAAACTGATTGGCTAAAATTATATGTATTTTCACATAACTTCTTTTACTATTACAAAATGAACCCAACTTATTAGAATCAGGCAATGTGTGATTTATGCTTACACTTCAGGTTTCTAATAAATATGCATGGGACATTAATGACTTTCTACAATTGGTTTCCAGTTTTTCCAACCATACAAAACAGTTGATATGTTATCAGCTATCACGGACATTGCAGTTTTGTAAGGAATGTCACTTTCTTCAATCCCTAGATTCCTCTATGACAGGAATTTTAGGGTTAGCTGTTGAACTAGTTGTGCAGTTCAGTTGTACACATACTTGCATGACAGAAGTGTGCAGTGGGCCATGTTCGAGAGGCATTCTCTCCTGATGTTTTGCCTGCATCTATGGCAAGCATCCTCAGAGGTAGAGGTCTGATGGAACTAGCAAAAAGGGTTTATATATCTGTGGAATGACCAGGGTGGGACAAAGGACTCTTGTCTGCTGGAGCTAGGTGTGAATGTTTTAACTGACCACCTTGATTAGCATTTGATGGCCTGCCAGTGCCTGGGGCAATCTTTTGTTGAGAGGTGATTATATGTCCCAGATTGCTTCCTCTCTGTTGTTTTGCTGTTGTAATTTTTGAGGTTTTTTAATACTGGTAGCCAGATTTTGTTCATTTTCATGGTTTCCTCCTTTCTGTTGAAATTGTCCACATGCTTGTGGATTTCAATGGCTTCTCTGTGTAGTCTGACATGGTGGTTGTGAGAGTGGTCCAGCATTTCTGTGTTCTCAAACAATATGCTGTGTCCAGGTTGGTTCATCAGGTGCTCTGCTATGGCTGATTTCTCTGGCTGAAGTAATCTGCAGTGCCTTTCATGTTCCTTGATTCGTGTTTGGGCAATGCTGCATTTGGTGGTCCCTATGTTGACTTGTCCACAGCTGCATGGTATATGGTAGACTCCTGTAGAAGTGAGAGGATCCCTCTTGTCCTTTGCTGAACGTAGCATTTGTTGGATTTTCAAACAACAGTCAGGTCATCAAATGCTAATCAAGGTGGTCAGTTGAAACATTCACACCTAGCTCCAACAGACAAGAGTCCTTTGTCCCATCCTGGTCATTCCACAGATATGTAAACCCTTTTTCCTAGTTCCAACAGACCTCACTACCTTTAAGGATACTTGCCATAGATGCAGGCGAAACGTCAGGAGAGAATGCCTCTAGAACAGTGGTTCTCAATCTTCCCAATGCTGCGACCCCTGAGTACAGGTACTCATGTTGTGGTGACCCCCAACCATAACGTTATTTTCATTGCTACTTCATAACTGTAATTTTGCTCCTGTTATGAATTTTAATGTAAATATCCGATGTGCAGGATGTATTTTCAGTCACTGGACCAAATTTGGCACAAAGACCCGATACGCCCAAAATTTGAATACTGGTGGGGTTGGGGGTGATTAATTTTGTCATTTGGTAATGCTGGAGTTGCTGGGATTTATAGTTCACCTAAAACCAAAGAGCCTTCTGAAGTCCATCAATGATGGAATTGAATCAAACATGGCATACAGAATTCTCATGACTAAGAGAAAATACTGGGAAGGTCTGGTGGACATTGACATTGAGTTTTTGGAGTTGTAGTTCACCTACATCCAGAGAACACTGTGGACTCAAGCAATGATGGCTCTGGATCAAACTTGGCACAACTACTCAATATGCTCAAATGTGAACACTGGTAGAGTTTGGAGAAAATAGACCTTGCCATTTGGGAGTTGTAGTTGTTGGGATTTATAGTTCACCCACAATGAAATAGCATTCAGAACCCCACCGATAGAATTGGACCAAACTTTCCACACAGAACCCCCATGACCAACAGAAAATACTATGTTTACTGATGGTCTTTGGTGACCCCTCTGACACCCCCTCACGACCCCTACAGGGGTCCCGACCCCCAGGTTGAGAAACACTGCTCTAGAACATGGCCATATAGCCCGAAAAAACCTACAACAACCCAGTGATTCCGGCCATGAAAGCCTTCGACAATACAAGGCCTAACCAGCTTATTCAATGGGCAGGGACCCTAGGGGCCCTTCCACACAGCCCTATATCCCAGAATATCAAGGCAGAAAACCCCACAATATCTGCTTTGAACTGCGTTATCTGAGTCCACACTTAGATAAAGTGGGATTTTCTGCCTTGATATTCTGGGATATAGGGCTGTGTGGAAGGGCCTTGAGTGTGGGCTGAGATAACCCACTTCAAAGCATCCCGCAGGACTCACCTTTCAGCAAAGGAGGCCTCTCAATGTGCTGCTGGGCTTCAAGCTCTGAATCAGGACCACGGCGCGTGCCCGTTGCCAAGGCGACGGAGAGGTCGAGCTTCCCGGCCGCGCGGAATGATGGGAAGCGGAGGCGGAGCTTAGTCGAGACTTCGTCGGAAGCGCTGCGAAAATGGCGTCTACGGCGGCCGGGAAGCAGCGGATCCCCAAAGTAGCCAAGGTGAGGGCGCGAAGCAGTGGCAGGGTCACTTATTTCTGTGTGCTTCTCTTCGGGGTTCAGTCCCCTCGATACTTGACTTCGGAACAGAAAAGGAGTCAGTTTGGGCTGAGGGGGATAGTCGAGGGGGGTGTAGGCAGCGAGGCGGTGCCAGGGAAAGTGGGAGGCCGCACTCTTTTGGGAGAGAGGGGCCTCTTCGCAACACTGGGTTGAGCAGGGCCAGCTATCAAGGTTTCATCCAAAATGAAAAGAACTATTGTTTTAGTAGTAACTAGCCGTCCCCTGCCAGGCGTTGCTGTGGCCCAGTCTGTTGATCTGGACAATAAAGTAATGAGAAAGTGTTGGTTTCTAATATATTTAATGTTTGTTGTTCATTCGTTCAGTCGTCTCCGACTCTTCGTGACCTCATGGACCAGCCTACGCCAGAGCTCCCTGTCGGCCGTTACCACCCCCAGCTCCCTCAAGGTCAGTCCAGTCACTTCAAGGATGCCATCCATCCATCTTGCCCTTGGTCGGCCCCTCTTCCTTTTGCCTTCCACTTTCCCCAGCATAATTGTCTTCTCTAGGCTTTCCTGTCTCCTCATGATGTGGCCAAAGTACTTCAACTTTGTCTCTAGTATCCTTTCCCTCCAGTGAGCAGTCGGGCTTTATTTCCTGGAGGATGGACTGGTTGGATCTTCTCGCAGTCCAAGGCACTCTCAGAACTTTCCTCCAACACCACAGCTCAAAAGCATCGATCTTCCTTCGCTCAGCCTTCCCTAAGGTCCAGCTCTCACATCCGTAGGTTACTACAGGGAATACCATTGCTTTGACTAGGCAGATCTTTGTTGCCAGTCTGATGTCTCTACTCTTTACTATTTTATCGAGATTGGACATTGCTCTCCTCCCAAGAAGTAAGCGTCTTCTGATTTCCTGGCTACAGTCTGCATCTGCAGTAATCTTTGCACCTAGAAATACAAAGTCTGTCACGGCCTCCACGGTTTCTCCCTCTATTTTCCAGTTGTCAATCATTCTTGTTGCCATAATCTTGGTTTTTTTGACGTTTAGCTGCAACCCGGCTTTTGCGCTTTCTTCTTTCACCTTGATTAGAAGGCTCTTCAGCTCCTCCTCGCTTTCGGCCATCAGAGTGGTGTCATCTGCATATCTGAGGTTGTTAATGTTTCTTCCAGCAATTTTCACCCCAGCTTTGCATTCATCCAGCCCCGCACATCGCATGATGTGTTCTGCATACAAGTTAAAAAGGTTGGGTGAGAGGATGCAGCCTTGCCGTACGCCTTTCCCAATCTTGAACCAGTCTGTTGTTCCGTGGTCAGTTCTTACTGTTACTACTTGGTCCTTGTACAGATTCCTCAGGAGAGAGACAAGGTGGCTTGGGATGCCCATCCCACCAAGAACTTGCCACAATTTATTATGATCCACACAGTCAAAGGCTTTAGAATAGTCAATGAAGCAGAAGTAGATGTTTTTCTGAAACTCCCTGCCTTTCTCCATTATCCAGCGGATATTGGCAATTTGGTCTCTCGTTCCTCTGCCTTTTCTAAACCCAGCTTGAACATCTGGCAACTCTCTCTCCATGTATTGCTGGAGTCTTCCTTGCAGGATCTTGAGCATTACCTTACTGGCATGTGAAATAAGGGCCACTGTACGGAAGTTGGAGCAGTCTTTCGCATTTCCCTTTTTTGGTATGGGGATATAAGTTGATTTTTTCCAGTCTGATGGCCATTCTTGTGTTTTCCATATTTGCTGGCAAATGGCATGCATCACCTTGACAGCATCATCTTTTAAGATTTTTAACAGTTCAGCTGGGATCCCGTCATCTCCTGCTGCCTTGTTGTTAGCAATGCTTCTTAAGGCCCATTCAACTTCACTCCATGTCTTTATGCTTGTGGGTAAACAGTATTTCTTGATGTTTCTTTGATCGTGTTGACGTAGAGATTGTCTGGTTTGCCCACTCCGGAACATGCAACGTATAATTGTCCTTCTTTAGGGATCCCTTTCATATCTATGATACTATATCTGTGTGTGTGTGTGTGTGAATCATATCTGTCTATCTATATCTATGGCTGGATGGCTGTCAGGAGGGCTTTGATTATTTGATTCTTGCCCTGCTGAAGGGAGTTGGACTGGATGGCCTTAAATATTTTCTGTTGGTCATGGGGGTTCTGTGTGGGAAGTTTGCTCCAGTTCTGTCATTCGTGGGGTTCATTCAGAATGGTCTTTGATTGTAGATGAACTATAAATCCCAGTAACTACAACTCCCAAATGCTAAGGTCTGTTTCCCCCAAACTCCATCTGTGTTCCTATTTGGGCATATGGAATATTCATGCCAAGTTTGGTCCAGATCCATAATTGTTCGATTCCACAGTGCTCTCTGGATGTAGGTGAACTACAACTCCCAAACTCAAGGTTAATGCCCACCAAATGCTGCTAGTATTTTCTGTTGGTCATGGGAGGCCTGTGTGCCAAGTTTGGTTCAATTCCATCGTTGGTAGAGTTCAGAATGCTCTTTGATTATAAGTGAACTATAAATCCCAGCAACTACAACTCCCAAATGACAAAATTATAATTTTTTGAGTGATGGTCACTCCTTGTGTAGTGAGACGTTTTGTTGCCAAATTTGGTGTGATTTCGTTCATTGGTTCTTTTGTTTTGAAGGTACTCATTATGCACAGAGCATTTATATATATATAGAAAGATGGTCACTCGTCAGCCTGATCAGTGTATTGTGTCCAAATTTCATGTCAATTTGTCCAGTGGTTATTGAGTTATGTTAAACCCACAAACGAACATTACATTTTTTATTTTTTTATTTATTTATTTATTTATTTATTTATTTCGATAGATAGATAGATAGATAGATAGATAGATAGATAGATAGATAGATAGGGGCTTCTGGGAAGACTTCCAAATAGATCAACAAAAATCTGCATGAAATCAGCGCAAAAAGATCACAGCAGCACAATTATAAAAAGATTCCTAGGGCCCTTCCAGACAGGCCCTCTATCCTAGGATCTGATCCCAGGTTTTCTGCTTTAAATTGAATTATATGAGTCCCCACTGCCATATAATCTAGAATAAACAGAAAACTAGGATCAGATCCTGAGATAGAGGGCCTGTCTGGAAGAGCCCCTAGATGCTTGAATAAAATCTGAATGATGGTCCAAAACTCCAGTGATTTTGAAAACAAGATGATAACAATACTAATGATGATAGTTAACATTTGCTGCCCTTTCACAGCCTCAGATACTTGCTGCATGAGATGACAAGCTCACTCTATCACCTGAGGTAGCAGACTTGAACCTGGAAAGAATTGGTTTGCAAAGCAAGAGAGGAGAGACAATGTGCTATTTTCTTTTAAAATAATAATAATCATCATCATCAGTGTATTGTCGAAGGCTTTCATGGCTGGAATCACTAGGTTCTTGTGGGTTTTTTCGGGCTATAGGGCCATGTTCTAGAGGCATTTCTCCTGAGGAGAAATGCCTCTAGAACATGGCCCTATAGCCCGAAAAAATCCACAAGAACCTAATAATAATCAGGTTTTTAAAAATTGTAATCACCCTCCTTTGCCAAGTTTAGCTTTTAAAAACAAACAGATTAACAGAAGTGCATGCCAAACAACAAGAAAACTAGGTTAAAAAAATCTAGGGATCAATATGCACACTTCCTTGCCAAACTGTACCAAGAGTTAATAAGTGTAGAGGCATGCGCTCACCCACAGTGCCTCATACATCATTTGCATAGGCCATTTGTGCAAAAGCCTTTCATGAATATAGTTTCAGCTCTGCCTTTTGAACTCCTCCCACTCAATTGTTTGCTGTGAGTTTTTCAGGCTGTATGGCCATGTTCCAGTAGCATTCTCTCTTGACTTTTCGCCTTCATCTGTGGGTGGCATCTTCAGAGATTCTGTTGGCAATGAAGCAAGTGGAGTGTTTTATATTTGACTAGCTTAGGTACCTGGCGATGCCCGAGTTAGGATATTTGTACTGATAAAGATTAGAAATAGTAATTGTTTGGTTTTGGATTTTATGAATGGTCCCAACAGAAAATGCATAAAGATGTGGGTAAACTACAACTCCCACCATCCCAGGTCCCTCCCCCTAAACCTGCTAGCAGTCTAAGTTGCTCATGATGGGCCTGTGTGCCAAGTGTGGCCCAGATCCATCATCGGTGGGGTTCACAGAGCTCTCTGGATGTTTCAAATGAAACTGAGCCCTCAGCCTTCCATTGTGAAGGAACTAATACACCAGGGGCTAAACGAAACCCTTATAGAAATAGGTACACAAATGGAAGTTGTAATAACAAAATGTATAGGGGGACACAGCATAGATCATGAATACCTGCTGTATATTTGCATGAGTGACCATTTTGCACCTGGTTCCATTTGGTAGATCCCAAAGTTATGATAAAAAACACGTTGATCTCAGAAGCCTGAGTTCTTTCCAACCCATTATAGGTGGATAAGAATTCTGTGACTGTAGAATATTGTAGCTGAAAAGAATCTGTAGGGCAGAAAAACAGATAAAATGTTAAGCCCCGGAATAACCTTTTATTTATTTTTTATTGCAAAGTAAATCATTCTGTTAGCTCCTGAAAAATTGCATTGTTTTTATATTCCCCACATTTTTCAAATAGTCTCATGCTTACTACATGAATTAAAGTTAGACTTTAAAAAAATGACATTACACACCTCTGTATGTTTTGCAGCAAATAACAACTAGAAAACATGTTCCATTTCTGCTATATATTTATTCCAAAATAAATGCCAGTATTGTGTATTTGTTTTGTAATATCCATAGGCAAAATCTCTTTCTATATTTGTCCAGTCTATTAAACAGGTACTGAACCAGAGAAGCAAATGTCCTATATATTACTTATGGTGTAGTCCTAATTATTAATGTCAGGCAGATAGGGAGAGAGCAGGCAGGAGAGGGCCACATAAGTTTTTTTAAAATATTGGCCCTTTACAATTGCCAAGTTGTGCAGGCCTGCCTTAGAAAATCAAATTGAATTGAGAAGGACCTCATAGCATCACAGATATGAATTATACATGAGTGAGAATTCTCAGAGATTTAAGAATTCAGTATATCATCCATATATCTTTTCCTCCCCCCATTTGCCACAGTATAAGTGTATCATATGTTATAGTCCAGAACTAAATTGAGACAATGCCTGAGTGTTTGTTAAACAGTCATTTCTCTACTCCTTCTACATGCATGTAGCATCAATATTGATGAAGCTGACAATTTCTTTTCCATGTGCTGTGTCAGTCTCTTTGTAGTTCATTTCAATAAATCAACCCAAGTACCTTCCAAGTCTAGCATCTTCTTATTTTTAAAGTAGTTTACTTTTTAGCATTGCATAAATATGGGCTAAATTTCAATATTTCCGTATGATTTGTTAACTTTTGCTGATTCCATTCCTCCACAGGTAAAGAACAAAGCCCCTGCAGAAGTACAGATCACAGCAGAGCAGCTCTTAAGAGAAGCAAAGGAGAGAGAGCTTGAGCTACTCCCCCCACCCCCACAACAGAAGATCACAGATGAAGAAGAGCTAAATGATTATAAACTTCGCAAAAGAAAAGTAAGTAAATATTATGATCTACTGGTGTTGTAATAGCATTTATTTGAGTTTATATCACAGTTACTTAAAATACACATTATTTAAAATACACATTAACCTGTAAAGCAAAGCTCCTGGAGAATATGATTGGATGTAAAGAAAGTGAAATCTTTAAGTTTTGCACTATCCTAGATTCGGTCTTGCCCATCTTAGAATTTTGGTTATTGGTTTTTGTTGTGTATTGTTTGAGTGAGTTTTCATGCTGCTGTTTTATACCGTTATGTTTTATTTAATTGTGTTTTATTTTATTGTTATGCTTTGCTATGTTTTATTTTAATGGTGTTTTTTGTTTTGTTTTAATGGATTGTTTAGTTTTGATGTTCTATAGACGTTTTGTCCCATGTGTAAGCCGCCCCAAGTTCTTTCGGGGAGATGGAGGTGGGACATAAAAATAAAATTATTATTATTATTATTATTATTATTATTATTATTATTATTATTGTCATCATCATCTTAAATTGCATCCTTTACTTGTAGCTGCTCATGAATATTATTGTAAGGCTATCATGAGCTTGGCACTTCACTGCAGGAAAGGACTGTTGACTTTGTTTCTGATTCTGAAAATTACTAATCTGAATCATGTCCTTAGAGGTATTCTGTTTTTGTTTATTCTGCTTGATACTTGTTTTAATACTTCTCTATGAGGAATAGAAGAGCACTAAACATAGACTGTGTTGACATATCATGTAGTGATCTTTCTGTTTTTGTTATACAGTAGAGTTATTGTTGCTCTAAAAAATAATTTCAAAAATTTGCCCCATTCTTTTTCTATAGACTTTTGAAGATAACATAAGAAAAAATCGGACAGTTATTAGCAACTGGATCAAGTACGCACAATGGGAGGAAAGCCTCAAAGAAATACAAAGGTAACTATTTCCCTTTGGGCATCATTTGCTGTATAAATAACCAATAGTGTCATTACTTTAAGATTGGAATTTCAAGTGCATTAATTTCAACCCTGTTTTGCTGTCAGGGCTCGTTCCATCTACGAGCGTGCTCTAGATGTGGACTACCGAAATGTCACCCTTTGGCTAAAGTATGCGGAGATGGAAATGAAGAACCGCCAAGTCAACCATTCTCGAAATATCTGGGACCGTGCCATCACAACTTTACCAAGAGTAAATCAGTTCTGGTAAGCTAAGCATGTTTTGCTGATTTTCAAACAGCAGTAAACTGAAATAAATGTTCCTGTGAGAATGTATTTTTTAGGTTCTTGTGGGTTTTTTTGGGCTATAGAGCCATGTTCTAGAGGCATTTCTCCTGACGTATTTTTTGCTTTAGTTTTGTGTAAAGTCACTTCATCAGTTAGATGACAGAACCTTCCTTTTCTTATGTTGCTTTTACTTGCATAGGTACAAATATACCTACATGGAAGAGATGTTGGGAAACATTGCTGGGACCCGCCAGGTGTTTGAACGCTGGATGGAGTGGCAGCCAGAGGAACAAGCCTGGCATTCCTTCATTAACTTTGAGCTGAGATACAAGGAGGTGGACAGAGCACGGGCTATTTATGAAAGATATATCCTTTTCAGCATATTCCAGTGTCAACATGATTAGTCTAGCCACTTCGTTCATATTTTTTCTTCCAATAACACTATATAACATGATTTTTGTTCCTGAGTTATAAATGTCATTTCCTAATTGGTTATATCATAAAAACATGGAAAAGGTTTATTAAACTGCAAAACTTTGTTTTTGTGGGGCATCCTGCAGCATATTTTGCTATAGTAATAGTAGTAGTAGTAGTAGTAGTAGTAGTAGTAGTAGTAGTAATAATAATAATAACAACACTAATAATAATTTATTTGTAGTTTTTCAATGATTATCTGATAAGAATCTCAACCAGAAACAGATTTTTTTTTCAAATTGGGTTACATAGTATAATAAACTCTGCCTATTTGATAGTGAAGGAGACAGAAAATTAGCTATTAAGGAGGAAAATATGAGCTGTGTCTCCTTGACTTCCCTTCCGTGCCTTCTTCAAAACCAACAAACAGTACAGTATTGTTTTTCATAATTCAGTCAGTGCCCACCATTGATGCTGCGTGTACATGACAAACGTGTATGTTTTATTATCCAAACATGTGGTTTGAAAGGGACAATATAAGAAGATACAATAAATCAATGTGGATTCTGAAGGATAATCTCTTACTCTTGTTAGAGAATATGTCGTAGTAGGAACTTTTTTCTTTTACTTCTCTTCCTTCCTGTAGTAAAGAATGTGTATAACAATACTCCCTCCCCCGCTATGTCTTTGACGATATAATAGATTCATGTGTATAAATATAGTAAATAAATACATAAATAAATAGAACTATTTCACTAACATGGCTCCGTAACTTGCCTACTATATTCTGTGATGTTTCCCATTTTCCCTTTTTTCCCTTTTTAATAGTTTATGTTGTTTTTTCTCTCTCTTTTTTTGAAAACAAAATAAAAACTTACCTTCACCACAAACATGTGGTCCTTACACACTATGCAGTTATCGCCCAATGATTCTACTTTAAATGCTGTGGCAACTTCCTATACAATCCTGAGGTTTGTGATTTATTGCAAGGTATTCTGCTGGAAGTGTCTCTAATATCTCGTCAAACTACATGGCAGGTGAACTGGAGGCATCTGTAGTGTGAAAGGGCTCCAGGCCAGTGTTGTTTTTCCTTGGTGGGTGGTCATTTTACTGTTCTTATACAATTCATACTGTTTTTAAAAAGTAGGCAACAAAATGAAAAACTTTGTAATTCCTTAATGCATTCCACTTGTCATTGTGCATCCTGATGTTAAGAACTGGATCAAGTACGCCCGTTTTGAAGAAAAACATAGTTATTTTGCCCATGCAAGGAAGGTTTTTGAAAGAGCTGTGGAATTCTTTGGAGAAGAACATATGAATGAACATCTGTATGTGGCTTTTGCCAAATTTGAAGAGAACCAGAAAGAGGTATTTTCTCTGCTAGCTAAATGCAAACTTTTTATATAATGCAAAATCTCTCTTTTCTTTTTCATGCTTGCTGTTCATTGTGCAAAAAACAACTTTGCATCTTGCACATGAAACAATTTTTATGTGCAATTACGTTCATTTCTCACTAAAAAAAATGACAAAAATAATCGCGTTGCAAAATTCAGGATGTGTAAATATTGAGCAAAAACTTTGAGAATTCATACAAGTGTTAATTTTTAGTTACCCAAGTGTCAACAATCTCATTTTTCACTCAGGAAATGAACAGTAACAAATTTTTTTCCATCAATGTGAATAATGTGAAGTTAGATCATTGGTCCACCTAGTCATGTAGTTCTTAGATCTCAGGCAAAGGTTTTTCCTCACTTCTTTTACCTACCTTTAGTTGATAATTATATCCCTAGAGAGTGTTGGAACATATATATCAAGGAGATTTCTTTTGCTTTCTAAGCTTTTGCTTTCCCCTCTAGTTTGAACGTGTAAGAGTAATCTACAAGTATGCCCTGGACAGGATCCCAAAGCATGAGGCTCAAGAACTCTTCAAAAATTACACAATTTTTGAGAAAAAGTTTGGAGACCGGAGAGGAATTGAGGATATTATTGTTAGCAAAAGAAGATTCCAGTATGAAGAAGAAGTGAAAGTAAGTGCATTTGCTGAACTTTGTGGGCAGGAGAAGACCCAGCCTTCTTATTTTATCTATTGGTTTAATATTTATTTAATATTTTAAAGTAAAGTAAGCACTGCTCCTATAGTATAGTATGAATGTCGACTTACAGCCAGGATTACCAATTTCTAGTATGTTTGCACAATTATAAGCAGAGCCCCATGTTAACTGACGATACAGCGCTTGTGGCAAGAAAAGCTGAATTCTGTAACTCTATGCAAAACAGATCAGATTTTCTTATTCATATTTTGTGTTTATTTCGCAGATTGGATTCTGATATACAGTTGTGGGGCTTGTTTCATTCTGCCAAATTATTTTTTGGCCTAGGAGCAATGTAAAGTGCAGAAATCGTTCTGACCTTCCCCTGCTCTCAAGCATAGTACATATTACCAAGCATAGTCAACATCCCTAAAAATTTACATGCGGGTACTGCTTATGGCATTGAATGCTATATTACAAAAACAAATACGACACCTGGTTTTTTAGCTGCCATTTTTCTAGTTTTAAAAGAAAGCAGGAGCAGCAAATCTGCTTATATTCCTAAGACTCCTCTCCATTTTCTCTGAAAGGCTAATCCACACAACTACGATGCTTGGTTTGATTACCTGCGGCTTGTGGAAAGTGATGCAGATCCTGATTCTGTACGTGAAGTTTATGAAAGAGCCATTGCCAATGTGCCACCAATCCAGGAAAAGAGGCACTGGAAGAGATACATCTATCTGTGGATTAATTATGCACTCTATGAAGAACTAGAGGCTAAGGTAAAAGAAATAACTACTGAATCTTGTCTTTTCTTTCATTTGACGAGTTACTAAATTGTGTAGGAAATATACACTCCTTTCAAATAGATTCTAAATTTTGTAAGTAATACTTTGACATTAAGTTTGTTTGTTTATTTGTTTGTTTATTTATTAATATCCTGCTTCATCTCTCAATGTGGAGACTTAAAGCAGCTAACAATAAAAAATATTGCAATTTAAAATATACAAATATACAATAATAAAACAGTATATCATTATATATTATTACCAATTCTCTCACACCAAAAGCGATTTGCAGTTTCTCAAGTCGCTCCTGACACGAAAAATGTAGTGGTATATTTAACATATTAGTATTATTATATTACAATATATTGTATTATTATTAGTATTATTATATAGTATTACCAATATTATATGTATATATATTATATTTACATAATAACTCGTGTATATATATTATATTATTAGCATAGCACAATATTAATATTATATATTAATATATTGTACTATACCACTATACTACAATATTATTAGAAATATTACCTGTAATATATAATACACAATTATTATATTATTATATTGTACTATATTATTATACCATAATATATATAATATACTACCAGTACATTACACTATGAGTATTATATAATATATTGCACTATATCATAAGTTGTAGTATATGTAATATATAATATATATTACAACATTATTAATATTATATGTGTGTGTGTTTTTTTTTAAAGGCCTGGGATATTTTTTTAATCTGCCTGGTTCTAAAAACATGAATAGGAAGTAGTAATCTTTGTTGTGGTCCATGAGGCTTCACAAACTAGTCTGCAGCCTTCCTTTCCCCACTTTAGCTAGCATTCATAGAAGGGGTCATTGAAGGAAGAGAATATATAGTTAGATAAAATGTGAACGAGATGCCCATATGAATTTTGTCCCAACCAGCACTGACACACAACTACTGGGAGGTTATCCACAAAGTAAAGCAACCCTTAGGGTGAAAAAGCCCTCCCATTCTACAATGTAGTCATCCCATAGGTTCATCTGAGGAGAAAGTGTCAGACATACGATCTTATGCCTGAAAAAAATATCCCTTGGGTTGCTTCTGGCCTTGCTTGAGGTGCTGGAAGCAGCTGAAGACAAACTGGGTGCATTTGTAGGTTGAAGGAAAGTGATATACTGTTAGGCCCCAGTACCCCAAACAGTTGAAGGAGTTTCATTGGTTTTTGAATTTTGCTCTGAAGTAGAGTACAATGCAATGATGCAAAAGTCTGATATATTTCCAGTATATGATCCCACTTTGAAATGATATTTTGCATTTTGAACTCCTTAACAAAAAGAAATGGAAAGTGGAAAAACTGAAGCATAGATAAAGGGAAAGCCTGTTGTTGAGACTAAAAAATGTAAGGCCTACATTTCTGAATGTTGAAGACATACGTAAATAGTGTGACTAATATAGGAAACAAGATGGTACTTTTCCTTTGGTGATTTTGAATTGTAATTGAGTGTTGAGTCTTTGTTTTGACTACGTAACATAGATTTTCTTGCTTTTCAGGATCCAGAGCGAACAAGACAAGTGTATCAAGCATGCATTGAACTCATTCCTCACAAAAAGGTATGAACTCTGTGTGATGCCTATGTTCAGTAATTTGTTGTTATAATAGACATTTAGTAATACTGCCCCAACAGAAATCTGTTCATCTTTATTTTCTTGCTTATACTACTAATTATATCCTTCCCCTTGACCTTCCTTTGCTTCTAATGGACCCAAAAGCTGCTTTGCTATGGGGTGTTTCCTGGCCACTGTAATTCTTATTTATTTAACCACATGGATGGAGTTAGTTGAATGTGTTTTCACCAAAATGCAAGAAGAAAGATTACCGCAGTGGGACAATGAACAGCATCTGACATTGTTGAGATAAATTAAGTGACAATATTAGGAAGCAAATGGGCTTTCTGTTAACTGCCATCAAGTCAACTTCAGTTTATACTGAATCCTATGAATGAGAGACCATCAAGTCACTCTGTCATCAATAACCCCTCTCAGGTCTTTTGAACTCATGGCTGGAGCTTCCTTGATTGGATCTTTTCACCTTTAATTATATCTTCTTTTTCCCCTACTGCCTTCTACCTTTCCAAACATCATTATTCTAATAAATAATGTCTACTCATAATATTTCCAGAATATAACAGTCTCAGTTTGATTTGGCTTTCAGGGAGAGTGCAGGCTTGATTTGCTCTAGAAGTCATTTCTTGTCTTTTTTTGTAATCCAAATTATGAACAGAACTCCTCCAGCACCACATTTCAAATGATTTAATTCTTATCTCATCAGCTTTCTTCACTGATCAAGTTTTACAACTATACACATAAATTATAAATGTAATGACATAAATAATCCCAATTTTATCATTCAGTTATGTAGCTTTACACTTACAGATCTCATCTAGTTCCTTCATAGCTCCCTATTTCAATTTCTTCATCTCCCCCTTTAACATTATATAATTTTGTATGTTTTCTGTGGTTATTATTTTTGTGTTCTTAGTTTTTAACTGTGGACCTCCCTTTGTTCCTCCTTCCTTCATTTCCTTCATTATTTTTTCCATTTCTTTGCTATTTTCTACTAGTAGTATGGTGTCATCTGCATATCATAAATTGTTAATATTCCTTCACCCAAATTTCTCATCTCCATCCTCAAGTCTAATCCGGTTTTGTATATGATATCTTAAGCAAACAAGAACCTATTCCATTTACCCTAGAGAAGCCCCACTGAAGTGCTGAAGTGGAACTATTCAAGAGCACATAAATATTATTAAACACTATGCTAATTTCAGCAGAAGAATGTGTGAAAGAAATAGCCACTAGATGGTGCTCTAAGCTTTTGAACACATGTTGTAACAAAGGAGTCACAGCATGTGATTTTTTTTCATATTTAGAAATTCCCTGTTCTCACTGTGTGCCTTCTTCCCCAAATCTAAAATGTTGATTGTGACATTGTAGTCCATGCTCTGGCCACAATTAAAAGAATGGCAATTGCTGTTATATTACTCTTTGTTCAAGGATGAGGAATATTTTCCCTCCAAACATTTTGGACTGCAATAACTAACCATTAACTGTACTAGGTGAGGCTTATGAGAGATGTTATAATCTGGTTATGTTAATATCTGAAAGTCCTAAAGTTCTTTATCTTGCTTTAGTTATTTTAGAATAAATAAAATATACAATTTTGGCACTGATCCAACTAAGCTCTAGGTTTATAGCTAGAAACTTATTAAATTTGGAGCTGCAACAGAAGGAGATAGACAGTTATTTTTCCCAGTGCTTTAGATGGGTCTTATCTTTATCTTAGCTTAAACCTTTGCATGTAAAGCATGTTCTCTGTGCAGTGGTGCTTGATGTTAGATGGGAGGGCATAGGAATATTGAGTGCAAAGGATTGCTAAATTCAAAATACAGAAACATTTTGGAAAAAGTGCTATCAAGGATAGTTTTTAATGTTCCATGGTGCAGTGGGTTAAACCGCTGAGCTGCTAAACTTGTTGACCAAAAGGCCACAGGTTTGACTCCGGGGAGTGGAGTGAGCTTCCGCTGTCAGCCCTAGCTTCTGCCAACCTAGAATCTCAAAAACATTCAGATGTGAGTAAATCAATAAGTACTGCTCCAGCGTGAAGGTAACGGCACTCCACGCAGTAATGCTGGCCACATGACCTTGGAGGTGTCTACGAACAACGCCGGTTCTTCAGCTTAGAAATGGAGATGACTACCAACCCCCAGAGTCGGACACGACTTGACTTAATGTCAGGGGAAAACCTTTACCTTTACCTTAATAAAAACAACTTGGCCCAGGCTGTCTGTTACAGCCCACTTAAACTGAATTTCTGCTTCCGTTCTGATTTTTAAAATACTGCTCTTTTTCAACAACTGAATTTATTTAACAAAATCTTTTTATTGTTTTCCCCTTTCAGTTTACCTTTGCCAAAATATGGCTGTTATATGCTCAATTTGAAATCAGACAGAAAAGCCTACAGCTTGCAAGACGAGCGCTGGTAAGTATAATGAAGTTATTGTCCAAGTTACTTCCCTTGTGTTGGAGATAAAATGATCAAATAAGCTTTTATCTTATCTCTCTTGGAATACATATATTTACATTTGGCTTTTGCATCAGTGCATCAAGAAATAGAGGAAATAGAAGCATAATAACATTAATCCAGGCCGTTGGTTTCCTAACTGGTTTTATACAGTTGCACGTTTCTGATATGAATGGCCAGCATGCATATAGGTCGAGATTCTGGTTTTTTAATTCTTTATCAGAGAACAATGTTATCATTCAGTTGCTAGCTCTTAATGTTAGATTAAACATCCTTCCACGAGTGATTATTTGCATTTGTCCCCAGATAAGAACTGATCTGATATGTTGGTGGCTTCTAAGCTGAATGCAAGGTTCAGGTCACTTTCTTCCTGACAAATTGAATTAATGACTATAAGATTACTCCATCTTTAGTTTGCTTCTTAAACAAGTTATGGTAAGGATATTTTTAAAAACTTCCTAGGCCTGATCAGCACTGGAATCACAAGGTTAACTGATAGGGCTTCCCTCAGAACTGACTTTAGTGTAATCATACAACTCTTTGACCTTTGGCCATCCATTTCTGTTCAATATCTTAATATTCTTCTTTCTCCTGCACATTTATGGCTACCTTTGGTTTTTAATTAACTCACTAAATATATGCCTAGAAAGGCCAGGATTCCACTTGTCTCTCTAAATATACATGCCACTAGCCAAGATCAGCTAATGTTGTTGTTAGGTGATGGCAATTTAAAGTATCACAGGGCCACCTTATTATATAAAAATGTTAATGCTAAAATGGGAGAGAGAACCAAAGTTTAGCAACCCACTCATAACAATTTCTAAAGCTACCTCCTCCTCTCCCAGAAGTCTGTTTCTACTTCAAGTGTAGGCATTGTCTCAGAAAAACTCCCTGCTCCCCTCATTATAGGGAACATCCATTGGTAAATGTCCAAAGAACAAGTTGTTTAAGGGCTACATTGAACTGGAGCTACAGCTGCGGGAATTTGATCGTTGTCGGAAACTGTACGAGAAGTTTCTTGAGTTTGCACCTGAAAACTGCACGTCGTGGATCAAATTTGCCGAGTTAGAAACCATTCTTGGTGATGTTGATAGGGCCAGAGCTATCTACGAATTGGCGATTGGCCAGCCACGTTTGGACATGCCAGAGGTAAGGGGAATTGTGTGTGCTGTGCCTTACAGTGTGTGTTTGTTTCCTCAGGAGAGAATACACTTTAAAAAAATACATGGGATTTAAATTGTAAATGAGTGTTATACCTTTTTCTAGAAGACTACAGTGTGTTTTGAGATATTCTCATTCAGTAATGATCTATATTTATCTATTCTTAAATTGGTCTACTGGTCATTTTATTACTGTATATACTCGAGTATAAGCTGAGATTTAAACAGCTCTCTTTTAGTCAAAGTTATTCATTATTTTACTCTGTTGTTATTATTATTATTATTACATTTATTACTTTATTATTATTACATTTACATTATTTTACTCTATTATTATTATTACAATAACATTACATATTATTGTTATTATTACATTTATTGGTTCACTCTATTATTAGTTTATTCTATTATTATTATTGCATGTATTAGTTTATTATTATATTTATTATTTTACTCTATTATCATTACATTTATTATTTGACTTTATTATTATTGTTGTTGTTGTTGTTGTTGTTGTTACATTTGTTATTTTAGTCTCATTATTATTGGAACGATACATAATCACATTTACATTAAAGAAGGTTAAAATAATGGTTTAACCAGAGTTGGGCAGTCTTATCTTAAATTACAGTTTTATGCAAATATTCAAAAACATTTAACCTAATGATACCTCAATTAATGTAATTTTATTGGTATCTATTTTTAGTTTGAAATTTACCAGAAGTTGCTGTATTTCCCACTCTTGGCTTATACTCGAGTCAATACGTTCTCCCAGTTTTTTGTGGTAAAATTAGGTGCCTCGGCTTATATTTGGGTGGGCTTATACTTGAATATATACGGGACATATTTTAGGTATTTGTAAAGTTTGATTGCCTAACAAGCATGAGACATAAAAGCCAACATGAACACACAAACTATTTATTTAATAGATCAGCTATAGTATAGGGAAAACTCGAAGGATGCAAATTGGTATCTTTATGGCTCTTCTTTTTTTCCAGAAGTAGTTTGGCAAACCTAGCAGACCTGTCTATTATGAAATTATCTGTTTAAACCGCTGTCAATAATCTGTTATGTAGGGAAATATTACCTTTTAAACCAGCATCAGGCAGGTAAGTGTGGCAAGATCAGATCAAAGAATAATGGATATTCCATAAAGAAATATATCTTCAACTTTGGACATCCAAATTAACAGTATCTATCAATCCCATATTGATCACAACTTCCTCTCCCTCAGTTGCAGGGAGTTTAATATAGATATAGTTAAAAGCTTTTGCATTCCATAGAAGTAAAAGAATGACAAATCTAGGGCCAAGATATCAGAGGGAGTTTTATAACCTTTGTACAACATATCCGATTATTACCTAGCTGCAATTACTCAAGTATTCTGAAAATTATGATCAGACATCTTGCAAACTTTGTTGAGCCTCATCAAATGTCCTTCAAATCTAATTCCATTTCAGTATCCCATAATACTGCTACTATATCGTCAGAAGGGTTGCTGCATCTGGCAAACATTTACCAGTCTTAAGGACCAGTCTATCTTTTCCCCTTAGGTTCTTTGGAAATCCTACATTGACTTTGAAATTGAGCAAGAAGAATACGAAAATACAAGAAACCTTTATCGGCGATTGCTCCAGCGAACACAGCATGTCAAGGTATGTGCCTAGTTGGGTAAAGGTAGATGTCCTGCAGTGGAACAGATTGACATCGCCTTGTTGCCAGAGCAGCCTGAAATTGACTGAATTAACTTGAGTTTTGAAATTCTGAACTGCTGCCATCTAGTGGGCATTAAAAAAGTCACAGGTAGTACTTTTCAAATAGAGAAATACACTCAATGTCTAAATGGAGATTCATTTTTAAAGATCGGTGTGTGAAATTGAAGATGTACTTGATTAAAGTTATGGAAAAGACATATGTGTAGGGAAATTCTGAAAATGTATATGATCAAACAATGTGGCAAGAGATATACAAACATACCCCATTGATAAAATAAGAGATACAGCAGGTGATGATAAAAGTGGAAATGTGGGAAATTCAATAAGAAGTGGAAATAAATGTTCTTGGAGAACACAGCCAGAAGGATGAAGTTTTGGAAAAGGTGGAAGCCCAGTTGACAACAGCAGTCTTTTAGTGGGGGGTTAATGTTTCGGCTGGCTCTGTTTGTTGAGAAACTAGAAATAAGTGAGATTGAAAAAAAGCTGGAAAAACCTAACAAGATTAGGGAAATTTATATTGGAGTGATGAATGTAATTATGGGGGGAAACTGTTGATATAAATATTTTTACAGTGGAGAATAGATGATGATTCTAGAAGCCAGTAGATTAAAAATAGAGAACATTGACAGTGGGGGAGGGAGTTTCTCCATGATAATGGTCTGGAAGGAGACAAAGTGCCCAGGTGGAAGAAGAATGCCGTTTATAATAGGTTTTACTATTTCAGATTCTTCTGATCAGGTGGATTAATGTTCAGTTTTTATTATGACTGAAATAATTGGGAGGGAGAATGCATACTAAGTGCAAATATTGATGAGATTAATGCAAAGGGGGGATTCTGAATGATCATATTTGGGAAACAGGTTGGTCTGTGTTAATACATACTTTCACCTATTTTATTAGGTATGTTTTTTGTTATTAGGTTAGATGTCAGGTTGAACATATATATGTGTGTGTGTATGTGTGTATGTGTATGTATGTATGTATGTATGTATGTATATAAGCACTAGCCGTCCCCTACCACGCATTGCTGTGGCCCATTCTGGTGATCTGGAAAATAAAGTAATGAAAAAGTGTTGGTTTCTAATATATGTAATTTCTTTATGCTTGTGGGTAAACAGTATTTCTTGCTGTTTCTTTGTCAGTGTTGATGTGGAGATTTTCTGATTTACCTATTCTGGAACATGCAACATATAATTGTCCTTCTTTAGGGGTCCCTTTCAAATCTATAATACTATATGTGTGTGTGTGAATCATATATATCTAACTATATCTATGGCTGGATGGCTTGTTGTAAGAGGGCTTTGATTAAGTTTTCTTGCCCTGGTCAATTTTTTTGAGTGATGGTCACTCCTTGGGTTAGTAGGTGTCTTGTGGCCAAATTTGGCGGCAATTTGTCCAGTAGTTTTTGAGTTATGTTAATCCCACAAACAAACATTACATTTTTATTTATATGGATTATGTAAATATGCTTTTTGATACGTTACTATATGTTTCTTGTTTATGTGATTGTAACAGTAGAGGAAAGATTTGTTTGTTTTTTGAAAGGCAGTTTATGATTTTCATAGACAATCTGAATGTGTATGACTACAAGAATGATTTAGTACTCACTAAAGAAGATTGGTAATTAATCAAAAGACTAAGGCTGGATCTACCCTGCCCTATAATGCAGTTTCAGAGTACAGATAAAGTGCATTGAACTGGATTATATGGCAGTGTACTAATACAATCCAGTTTGGTGCAATTCCATCTGCATTATATGCATCTACACTTACCATAAAATTGGCAGTGTAGATCCAACTTAAGACTTCAAAGTGCAACAATGAAATTACTGGTTAAGATTGTCATATATAAAGATAATTGAATATCAAAGGCAAGGGTATTCCTTGTCTCAGAAAGCTAGAACTGTGCAATTGAAATACCTGATCAAAGCATGGGTATCTGCCTTCCTTCCAGATACTCTACCATTGTCTAATGGTTAATCAATTGAGATTATGTTTCATTAGGACCAAAACTATAAATTTACTCCTCCATATAGATAGCTTGTTCTCCTTTCTTGCTTTTAAAACGCCTCTGACAACTTTTCTGTTATATTTGTAAGGATTCAGTTTTGGTTATTTCATCTTCCCTTTCTCGTAATACAATTTTTCTATAGGTGTGGATCAGTTTTGCTCAGTTTGAACTCTCAGCAGGAAATGACAACAGTGTAATGCGATGCAGGCAAGTCTATGAAGAAGCTAATAAAACAATGAGAAATTGCGAAGAGAAAGAGGAGAGGCTTATGCTTCTGGAATCCTGGAGAAACTTTGAAGAGGAGGTTGGAACAGAAACCAGCAAAGAGAGAGTGGACAAACTGATGCCAGAAAAGGTCAAGAAGAGGAGAAAACTCCAAGCTGAAGATGGGGTGAGAATGCAAAATAGGAACCTGGATCTGTGTAGTTTTATTTGTTTATTTATTATTTCATACATTTCTATCCCGCCCTTCTCCTCATAGGGGAGTATTTTGTTTCAGGAAGCATTAGCATCGACAAGACAGTAATTGGGGACTTAGAAAATACATAGATTTCTCACCTATTGTCATTCCTTTCGATTTGAACATACTTGCTGTATCAGCACTTATGAGGAACCAGCACAATTTAGTGATGAAGCTTTAGTGGGTTGTGCTACTTTGGTCTGCAGTTATGTGTGTGGTTTCCATGATTTGCTTCACCCCTTCATACCACAAGCTCTTGAAATAGTATCCAGTAAATATGAATAATCACTGGCCTGAGGAACAATAGTATTGAAACATCTTGCAGAAATACAAGATAAAAGCCTATACGTTTTTCTGGATTAGTTTTCTTTGGACAACTTTTTCATGAATCATCACATATTGCGTAGAAACACTGAGGAGTTCAGAAAATGTTTAACATAGTAGGGAAAACATTTTACTGCTAGCACTCATTATTTTCATTCTTCTCTTTGTAGTCTGATGCTGGTTGGGAGGAATACTACGATTACATCTTTCCCGAAGATGCTGCCAACCAGCCTAACCTCAAACTGCTTGCAATGGCTAAATTGTGGAAGAAGCAGCAACAAGATGACAATCCAGAGCAAGATCCAGACAAAGACATTGACGAAAGCAGCCCCTAATGTTACCTTGGAATCCCTCTGTTTATTTTTTTATAGAACTTTTTTGCAATGGATGTAATAAATGTTTCCCAAAAAAGGGTAATGTTTGGAATGTGGGAGGAATGGTAACAATATCATTCTACTATGATATAATTGGTAGGAAACATAGCATACCTTTTGTTTTAAAACAGTGGTTCACAACCTGTGGTCCATGGACCACCAGTGGTTCCCAAGAATTGAATTATGCTCCGCGGCCTCACCATCATTACACCATTGCAACAATAGCGACTGGTCTCGCAAACCCTTTTAATGCTGAGGCAACGGGGATGTCAGGAAGGGAGAGGCTGACTACCTACAAAAGGCGTGACAAGCTTTCTGACGGTTGCTTTTCCTCCTCCCTCCCATTGAACAGAGCCTTTCCATATGGTGCCTAAAATCAGGGATGCCTTTGTATCTTTGTTTTTAGGCCTGTTTTTGGGGTTATTGGGGTGCTGATTCAGAAAATTGCACTGGATAGACCACATCAGCTCTCGATTATTAAATGCTGTTTTATGTGGGTAAGCAGATAGCGATTACTGGATGGCGTATGTTCTGTATCAGAAACTAGAGCTGATGTGGTCTAGCCAATGCAGTTTTCTGAATCTGCACCCCAAATAACCAATTTTAAAGCTGACCAAAACTGATTCATATCCCTTTTAATACTAATGTTGGAAAGTGGGGTCTGGTCAAGTGGTCCCTGATCTAAAAAAAAGGTTGGGAACCACTGTTTTAAAGGGATTATGAAGCCATGAGAAAAAATTAAAAACTTTCAACTGATATAGTTTTTTGCCAGTTTTAGTTTACTCCTAATCCTGGTTAGTAAATGAAAAACCCACCTTTTCACACATTAGTGTTATTGAAAGACAAAGTAGGAAAATGTTTTGTTAATTAAGTATTACTCTCTGTAGAAAAATGCTTTCCTATGCCAGTCCCCCAAATTGACAGGATTACAAGTTGCACTTTCATGCATTTGTCATAAGGTGATGATGACAGTTCTAAATTTCCAGTGGTGGAATGGTTCCTGTGACTTGCCCATTAAAAGGAGAGCAGGAATAAGGGGATTCATTACAGAGCTGAAGCAAGATGGGCCAAAGGAATTTGTTCAGATGCTGCTTATGTACTTCACCATCCTGCTCTTTTCTTTAAAAATATTTTTACAGTACATCAATTTAACATAATGTGACGGATACTGTAGAGCACATTATTAACATAAGTAGGGTTCTTACTTCTACACTAAGAAAGAGCCTGGCCAGTTTTATAAAAACCCTTTTTTACCAGCCAGCATCTCTTTCTTTACATGCTGAATAGTGGGCAGGTCTACTTTAGTCTGTTAGAAGAAAAAACAACTGAGAAAAGCAGATTAAACCTATGAATTGAACTGTATTCCCTACAACACAATGTGTGAGTCCACATAGTAATAACATATAATAACAATATGGGTATAGACTTCATTTCTAGAGAAGTGCAGGATACAATAGATCATGTGGTAGTAAAGAGCCTGACTATTTTGGCTTTCACTAAAAACGAAGCAGGCCTCAAAATCCCCCTCTGAACAAAACTTTCCAATACCCCACCCACAGAATTCCAATTTTCTTGGCATAGGTTGCCAATTGTTTGAATACAAAATTTCCCAGAAAAGAAACATGGAACATGTTCCCACAGGCCTAAATCCAGTTACTAGCCCCCATTACAATTCCTTTTAAAATAAGTGTTAAAGTACATTGGCCCATTGGTAATTTAATTGAGGATTTGGGAGTGGATTGTTTGACAAAAATTTCAAGACATAGACCTGAGTATATATAGTATATTAAACTCATGGTTGAGATTTATATACTCGTCAACTTTTTGTTCATTGCTATCAAGACAACACTAAGAATGCGAGACTTCCAAGGCACCCTGTCGACAACGCTGCTTAGGCTTTGCAAACCTAGGGCGGTGCCTTCCCTAGCATCTGGAGCATGGTCCTCTTCCTATTTTCCAAATATTACTGTCTTTCCAAATATGACAGACCTCACACCTGTGAGGATGCCTACCACAGATGCAGGCAAAACATCAGGAGAGAATGCTTCTAGAACATGGCCATACGGCCCAAAAAACCTAGAACAATCGAGTGGTTCTGGCCATGAAAGCCTTCAACGTTGCTGTCTTTTCTAGAGATGTCTTTTCATGATATATCCAAAATATATGATGTTGCTTTGGCTTCTAAGGAGAGTTCAAGCTTGATTTGCTTTAGAACCCATTGAGTGGTCTTTGTCAGCAATCTACGTTATCTACAGAACTCCTCCAATATATTTCAAATGAACATATTTGACTTGCCATTCCACAACTTTCAATAGGTTTACACTAGCTGAGATTAACAAGTACATTTAGGTCATTGTAACTAGTCCAGCAAGATCATTCTAGCATGGCAAGTGACCAAGGGCCTTTCCACACTGCTGTATAAAATCCACATTGAACTGGATTATATGAGAGTGAGGACTCAGATAATCCCGTTCAGATATTGTGGATTATCTGTCTTGATATTCTGGGTTATATGGCTGTGTGGAAGGGCCCTAAGTAAGCTGATTCTAAAAGAGCTCATCTGCAATACCAAACTTCACAATGACCAAAAAAAGGCACACACAGATGACCAAAAAAAGGCACACACTTTGCCACCAACAAAATGCCAGCCATAGAAATAAATTTTGTTTTATTTGATTTATATCTTAATTTTTTCCTATATGGAACCCAAAGCAATAACTGTACAATAGGCACACTTATTACATGAGGGATCCATTCTAGGACACTACTTTTGTGTATAATCTAGAACCCTATTTTTCTTACCTGAAATTACTGATAGCTTCTGGCTAAGATGTATCACAGAATTGTGCAAGAGGACCTACTGGTTGAACGTGACCATAAGACATGCACTGGACACTGCAGAGAATACTTATCTAGCCATCACTAGGTCTTCCTGGATGAGACTATGGTATTCAAAACTCTTCCTATATAAATACAACTGCATTCAAGGAGCTTGTGTAATAAGTGGATCTACTATATTTTCATTTCCTTTATTGATTTGACTTTGTGTTAAGGCTCCAATTTTAACAAAGTAATAAGACATCATTGAAGTGTTTACTCAAAGTTAAAAAACTCAAAACCATTGCCATTTATAGAAATAGTTCAAAATACCCGAGGAATTATTTGTGGCTTAAAAATTAAACCATAAGTGACAAATATTCCAATTTCAATTCCAAGTCTGTTTCTGTTTCAGGAGCATTACAAGATTTAAATTGTCCTCCACACATGTTCCTTGTTGCTCCATGGCTTCCAAATTACATTCAGGATAAATGCTGCCAATGACTCTTGAAAGTATTGCCAACAGTCTACTAATTTTGTTTCCATTATGCTGCATACAGAATCTGAAGTAAAGCTCATTCAATATCTTCCGGTCTGACAGGATGTGGTAGTGGCACAATTGATTTTTTCTCTGTGTCTCTGGACAAGGCTTTCCTCATATCTGTAAAAATCATGAACACAAAATATTTTTAATTGAATACACAGTACAGATTCCTGGGAAGATTACATTACAAACAGCAGGCTATAGTGAGCAAGTATTTTGTGGTCTTGCATTTGCAAATAAGTAATCAAAGCACCAGATGCCTTAATTGCTAGTCAAGTATTAATTCAACCGATACATTTAATATGAAAACAAACAGTCCCCAAACATGATAGGTTCTGTAGGTTTGTTCTTCAATTGAATTGGTATGTAAGTTGGAACAGGTACATTTTAAAGGGTAACTCCAGCCTATCTGTCTATCTATCTATCTATCTATCTATCTATCTATCTATCTATCTATCTATCTATCTATCTAGTTAACATCATTCACTTTTGCCTTGTTAGGTTTTCCCTCTAGTCAGTCCCATCCTCTACTTCTGCTTTGAAAAACCCCCGAAGGTCAACAATGAAAAAAACGACTGTCAGTGTCACCTCTGATTCTGGACTGGCATCAATTTGTTATAGAATTCACTGTTCTCAGCTATCATTTTCCTTAAGTACTCAAAATCTGTATTTTACATTATGGTATTACCATTACGTAATGCCAGTAACTGAAAATGTCAAATAATAACTATTTGTGTACTTATCCTTGGGTTACTGTTCCCTTAAATAGGCTAATCAGTAAACAGGTTAAGTGCCTGCACATATGTTTATATGTGCAAGACTTTAACAACTATTTTTATCTAAAACATGTTCATAATAATAATAATAACTTTATTTTTATACCCCGCCTCCATCTCCCAGAAGGGACTCGGGGCGGCTTACATCGGGACGAACCCAGACAAACATAGATTAAAACATGACACAATATAAAATAAGATAAAATAAACATACGATAACAACACAACATCATAAAACAATCAACAGCCTGAACAGTAATAAATACTGAACTCAGCAATAGTTTCAGGACAGGGGCTGGTAGAAAAGTGCAAAAGCCGATAACAATTGGGGCTGGAGGGTAATGTCATTTGGCATTTTGAACGCCAGGTCTATAGGACAAGGGACTGTGATAAAGTGCAGGAGCTGATCGTAAATTACAGTTTTGGGGGGGGGGGGGCAATTATCTGGTGAACTGTTTCATCATAGACACAGTGGAACATCCACGTTTTTAGGTCCTTGTGAAAAGTTGGAATTTATTTATGTATTTATTTACTATGCGATATACCACCCTTCTCAACTCCGAAGGGAATTCAGGGCAGTTCACAGTATTGGCAACAATTCAATGCCCTCGATAAAAACAGTATAAAACATTAAAATTATCCTCCCCTAATAAAACATTAAACATTATCAAATAAATAACATAAAATAACATCATATATCACACAGAGACATAGCCGTTGTCCGTTTCTCTAGGTCCTGACACTTACCATAAGCATCTTCATCAGGCTCTCCATTGCTGGCTGAATAGTATTCCAGCACCGTTCTGTACACACTGTAGCCCAGTTGTTTGTACATATTCACTGCAACCTGATTGGACACTCTTACAAAGAGATCTACAAAAAATCCACCCTTTCTGTATTAAGAAAGAAAAGAGAAGAGTGAGACAAAACAGTTATACCAAGATATGTTTCACAGTTATAACTGAAATATAAATATAGTGCAATGGGAAACATAGAACAGCCTAACTAGTTTAATTCAAGCATATCCTATTTAAGAAAATTAATGTGTTAACTGGGGAAAAAGCTTATAACTGTCTAACACACACATCAGAATCAGGACATATACAATTTGATACAGTATTTTTAGTTTATTATACTAAGTCTTAGATTCTTTTGCTATCTTAACTAATGGATTAAAATTCATAAATGGATGCCACCCCACCAGCAGAAGCCATCTTTCCTAGAGTAAAAGGTGGAAACTATGCAGCCCACCAGATGTCAATAGACTACAAATACCAACAGCCATAGTATGAACATACAGTGAAGAATGGTGGGAGTTGCAGTGCAACAACATTTTGGTTCTTCCATGAAACTGCATTCATATATCCATGCATCCAACTATCCATCTATTTCCTAGCCAGTGTGATATAATGCTTTCACCTCTGGACTATGATTCTGGAGACCATGGTCAGCTATGGAGTCCCACTAGGTCAGTGGTTCTCAACCTGTGGGTCCCCAGATGTTTTGGCCTACAACTCTCAGAAATCCCAGCCAGTTTACCAGCTGTTAAAATTTCTGGGAGTTGAAGGCCAAAACATCTGGGGACCCACAGGTTGAGAACCACTACACTAGGTGACCATGAGAAAGGCAGACTCTTCTCAACCTTAAGGTAAGACAATGGTAAGCTCCCTCTCAACCAATCTTGCTAAGAAAATCCTGTGATACAGCTACATAGGGTCATCATAACTTGGAAACAACTTGAAAGCATACTATAACAAGTGAGCTTTATTGGACTTTTGCTACAATACTTTTTTTCTAATGATTATACTTGTTTGCAAGTTCAACCCAGTTTGGTTTTCTAACTATGGTTAGCATAAACCACTTCTTTGATGGAATAGCTTGGTTTTTATGGAATGCTAACCTATTATTTATTTTACTGGAGCAAGTTTTACTGGAAAAACTCTTCCTAATTATTACTCTGGAATTAATACCAGGAGAGAGAAAACATAAGGCATCATTTCAAGTTTTAAATAATTGAAGTTTAAGCTTTGTTATACTGGACAGGCAGCTATTCATCCTGACTAATGTTTAATGGAATATAATAGCTATTAATCTTGTTATAGGCTATATATGAAGTTGGCTTATTTTAGTAAATAATTATTAAGATTAAACACAATGTACAGTTCAAACATAATGACAAGCCACAACTTCTATGCATCCAAAAGTAGCCAAACGCATACCACTGTGAAACTTTGAAAAAATACTGAAGTAATTTGAAGCACTGAGAACATAGCACATGTGGTACTGACTTGCAAGATAATTTCCTAATGAGAAAAGACCTATCTGATGCATAAAGCAGTCCAATGGAAAGCCAAATATGTGGTAAAATTGCCTCCCATGCCCCTTTGAGAATATACAGGATCAAAAATTTAATTTCAATGTTTAGAAGAACACTCTGCAGGTGATTATATTCATGTTTGAATGAAACAAAAATCTTATAGTTTTCATTGTGACTTTAGAAGAAGTGCTACTGCCGTTTCCATCATAGCAAAGACACCCCAAATCTATGGAATTTTTTGTTTAAAGCAAACCTTCCAACAATAGATTTTAGGTACTTACATGCATACAGCAATTTTAATAATAGATGACTTATTAACCTGTGATTACAAACTGTCAAATTAAGAATAATTTTCCTGTTTATTTTGTTTCCTTATTTATTTATTTACAATATTTATATTTCACCCTGAAGGGGACTCAGGGCAGACCACAGAATACATGTATGGCAAACATTCAATGCCATTATACACTGACAGGACAGGCACAGTACACAGATAGAGGCATGTAGGCTTTTCCCATTTTTCGGCATATTGGAGGTTGTGCTGGGGGGGGGGGGGCTGTCACTCTGTCTTCCATGCCAAAGAGCCCTGTGCACATGCTTCCTTTTTTTATTGAATTGCCAGGTTTCTGGTATTTCCTTATGGTGCAATTAAAATACCTCCCTGCTTAAGCGGTACCTATTTATATACTCACAGCTGTTTTTGATCTGCACGGTGGGCAGTGAGCTGTGCTGAAATTTGGGCACTCACCCCCAACCCAGGCTTTGAACTGCCAACCTTTGGATTGGCAATATTTATTGCAGCTGGTGATAACCTGCTGTGCTAAAGCCCAGCCCCTTACATATCATGTGAGAAAAATAACCAAAATTTAATTGCAATTCTTATACCAAACTAGGTCAAACAATAGAAGTTCACCCTCAAGTCAATTATCATGTCTAGCTACCTTTCAACAGTAGTAGTTACAGTATCACGAACTCACTGTTATATATAATGAATTCTGAATGTTGCTGGTTTTCACTCAAGTTATTGGACTCATCTTTGTGTTTGGAATTTCTCTCTCTATATGCACTTAATATTGAACAATTTTCTTGCAGCTTCCTTCTTGCAGTCTTCAAAAGACTTGTCCATATTATTATGACAAGGCCTTTAGAAGCAATGGGAGTGTTCACCAATTGGTAAAATGCTAAAAAGAACCCTGCCCTTCCCTGCAGTACACTTCTCAAAGCTCCTAAGCTTCATAAACTTGACTCACTTTTCTGATATTTCCTCAAGGAGCTCCATCAACTTAGCAGCCAAACCAAGCCGGCGAAATTCAGGTGCAACTGACAGTGCAGTAACATGGCCATGCCACTCCTCCCTGGCTACTGAGCCTTCTGCTTTTCCCATGACTGCAAAGAAAGGGAACACAAAATGAACAAAGACTTTTCAACTAGACCATGACCATCACACAGGAGTATTGCTATTGATATATATATATATATATATATATATATACACACACACACACACATATATATATAAAATTCAGTTAAAGCATTTATAACACATTTACAGGCTGTCCTTTACAACCAATTTCAAGGATGTTCATAGTTAAAATCAGAAAACGATTTAAATCAATTCCAAGTTACGTTAGAATAGTTTAAGCATGATAAAAAGCATATTAAATAGCTTAAAATTCTACAACAATTAAAAACTACATACATATATGTTTAAATATAAATTAAGCTGCAAATAGATTTGCTTCCAAGCAGGACTACAACCCATCTAATTTTAATCAAGCTTAAATAAGTTTGGGTTGATCAGAATTAATTTAGCCTCTGGTGGTACAATGGGTCAAAGCATTGTGCCGGCAAGATTGCTGACCGAAAGGTCTGCAGTTCGAATCCGGAAAGCAGGGTGAGCTCCCATCTTTCAGCTCCAGCTTTTTATGTAGGGACATGAGATAACCCTCCCACAGGATGGTAAAACATCCACGCGTCCCCTGGGCAACTTCCTTGCAGATGGCTCTCACACCAGAAACAACTTGCAGTTTCTCAAATCACTTCGGGCACAGAAAAAAATAAATCAAATGAGCATAATTCTGCAGTTGTATAAAACTTATTTCTGAATAACAAAGAAAATGTTTGTTTGTTTTAAAAAATAACATATACTTAAAAGCAGGTTTCCCCTCTTCATGTATGGGGAGATCACATTAAAAAAAGATTCTTGCCATCTGGATTTGTTTACATTCATGCTGAATGTATTTGTATCATTTATACAAAAATAATTCATTTCTGCCTTCGCTGTCCCCACATATAAAAATCAACTAACAATCGCAAAAATGTTCACATAGACTGACTTCCAACTAATTAAAGAACAAAGCAAAGGCTGGCTACCTGAAAAGAAGGAAGATTAGTCCACTTACTATAGCCCATTAGTTCTCCACCAGGTGCTTCTGCAACAATAAAATACTCTGGCCAGTGAGCCAAATACTGTAAATAAAATGGAATTCCATACTGTGGGGGTTTCTGTGTTAAGGGAAGTATACCTCAACAAGTAAAGTGCATTTTTATAAAATGCACAAGTTGCCTTAATACTCGTATCACCATTACAAAATGCATAGACCTAAATGTAATGTTTTGTGTGACAAATCTAATCAAAAAATAACAAACTCGCACTATACATTACACTGATTATATACATCAGGGTCACTTCACAGTTGGTCAAAGGACATTTAATCAACTACCAAGCTTGCAAACTTTGTGTTTTGTTTGTTTGTTTGTTTAAAAAATGCAATACAACTATTTGGTTTGCTCCTGACTCAATAAATAAATACTTCATAGTTGCATTTATCTTGTACATTAAGAGCATTTATCTGTTGAGCATATCAAAGATAAAACTCTCTTAACTGCATAACAAGTAACTGTGAAAGTTGAATAAGAAGCCAATATGCACTGCTTTTGTGTCAAATGTTATTTCCCATTTCAGGTGTTGCCTGAGCTATTCTATTATGTTTCTATTGAGGGTTCTGGAAAAAAATATATAAATGTATGCCACAGAGGAAATATTTTTGCAATATTTGCACTAATTAGATGCACTTGCAAATTCCTGGGATTAATTGGAGCTGCCTGATGAGCAAAGTTAAGTAGAAAAACATAAAATTGCTAATATATGCAGGGGTTCCCAATCACAGTGATTATCATTACACAGGGTTAGAAGGATACAGTCTCCGTGAGAGGATCCAAGTTGCTGATAGAAAAACAAAATAACAAGCGGTTAAACAAATATCATTGAAAAAGCTGTCTCAATCTACACAAGAGGTTCTTAAACTACAGTCTCCAACCTCACGCCGCTCCCCGGATTCAAACCTGAGACCTTTTGATCAGAAAATTCAGCAGCTCAGTGCTTTAACCCACTGGGGGCTCCATTAAATTCTATTTAATATTTATTTATTTATTTAATGTTTGTATATTTAAATTTGCACACTAATGCTTTTTTGGGAAGATAAAGTTTGGTATAAATAAATATAATAATGTGTTGTCAAAGGCTTTCATGGTCGGAATCACTGGTTTGCTGAGAGTTTTCCAGGCTGTACGGCCATGTATGGCCACTCTAAGATCTTCCGGGGAGGCCCTCCTTTCGCTCCCACCACCGTCACAAGTACGGTTGGTGGGGACAAGAGAGAGGGCCTTCCCGGTGGTGGCCCCCTGCCTCTGGAACGCCCTTCCAAAGGAAATAAGATGGGCCCCATCCCTCCCCTCTTTTAGTAAGAGCTTTGAGAATGACCAGTCCTAGCTCAGCCCCAAACATTGTTGAATATGGCCTTATACTTGCTACCTATTACTCCGGTCATCCCTCTAATAGGCCCTGGAAATGAGCAGCCACAGACCCGTACCTGCTATTGCCGTTAGCCTGTTATAGCACTATACTTAATTCCCGGTCCCCTCATATTTTGAGTTTGCACTAGCCTCGGCCCGGCTTTTTAATTACTCTGAACAGGCAGGATTACTTTTAATATATGTGTGTTATTGTGATAATTTTATGCTTATGTTGTTTTGTTAATTTTCGGGGGAGGCCCTTCTTTCACCCCTACCAATCTCACAAGCTTGTAGGGAGAAAGCCTTCTCTGTGGCTCCCTGACTCTGGAACTCATTACCTGGAGAGATCAGGAAAGCCACTTCACTAGAAACATTCAAAAAGAACCTTAAAACCTGGCTCTTCCACTGCGCCTTTAGCGAGTACGTGCACAACATGACACTATTGCTCCCCTCACGCTTCTGCCACTGGAGTACATGCCCTCCAAATGGGAAGTTTAGTTCCACAACCCTGTGTGTTTTTATGAGCTCCCTGCAAATAACTTGCTCCTATTTTTATCTCATTCGAGTTTTTTTTAATCATTTTATCCTGTACATGTGGCCCGCCCATTGTTATCATGATTGTGTTTATTGGAATGTTATTTTGTTACTGTGTTTATACTTTTTCTCTCTCTATGTAATGTTGATGATGTTGCTTGTTGTTTATGTTCTTGTTTTAGTTTGCTGTAACATGTTGTCCGGGCTTGGCCCCATGTAAGCTGCTCCTAGTCCCCATTGGGGAGATGGTGGCGGGGTATAAATAAAGATTATTATTATTATTATTATTATTATTATTATTATTATTATTATTATTATGTCATGCTGTTTACTCTGTATGTTTAGGTGATGTTGCTTGGAAACCGCCTTGAATCTCCCTTGGTGAGATAGAGCGGTATATAAATAAGGTTTTATATATTACTAGCTGTTCCCTGCCACGCGTTGCTGTGGCCCAGTCTGTTGATCTGGGAAATAAAGTAATGAGGAATTGTTGGTTTCTAATATATTTAATTTCTTGATGCTTGTGGGTAAACAGTATTTCTTGCTGTTTCTTTGTCAGTGTTGATGTGGAGATTGTCCAGTTTGCCCACCTTAGAACACGCAACATATCATTGTCCTTCTTTACTATATCTCTGTGTGTGAATCATATCTATCTATCTATCTATCTATCTATCCTTATCTATGGCTGGATGGCTCTTTGTCAGGAGGACTTTGATTACGTTTTCTTGCCCTGATGAAGGGAGTTGGACTGGATGGCCTTAAGTATTTTCTGATGGTCATGGGGGTTCTGTGTGGGAAGTTTGCCCCAATTCTGTCATTAGTGGGTTCAGAATGCTCTTTAATTGTAGGTGAACTATGAATCCCAGTGACTACAACTCCCAAATGTCAAGGTCTATTTCCCCCAAACTCCATCTGTGTTCATATTTGGGCAGATTGAGTGCTTGTGCCAAGTTTGGTCCACATCCATCATTGAGTCCACAGTGCTCTCTCGATGTACAACTCCTAAACTCATGATCAATGCCCGCCAAACCCTTCCAGTATTTTCTGCTGGTCATGGGAGTTCTGTGTGCCAAGTTTGGTTCAATTCCATCGTTGATGGAGTTTAGAAAGCTCTTTGATTGTAGGTGAACTATAAATCCCAGCAACTACAACTCCCAAATGACAAAATCATAATTTTTTGAGTGATGGTCACTCCTTGTGTTGTGAGACTTTTGTTGCCAAGTTTGGTGTGATTTCGTTCATTGGTTCTTTTGTTTTTAAGGAACTCATTATGCACAGAGCATTTATATATATATAGATTACATGTTCTAGAAGCATTCTCTCCTGACGCTTCGCCCACATCTATGGCAAGCACCCTCAGAGGTTGAAGGGTGTGTTGGAAAGTAGGCAAGTGGGGTTTATATATCTGTGGAAGGTCCAGGGTCCAATTCAAGAGAGATATTGACAAGCTGGAATGTGTCCAGAGGAGGGCGACTAAAATGATCAAGGGTCGGGAGAACAAGCCCTATGAGGAGCGGCTTAAGGAGCTGGGCATGTTTAGCCTGAAGAAGAGAAGGCTGAGAGGAGATATGATAGCCATGTATAAATATGTGAGAGGAAGCCACAGGGAGGAGGGAGCAAGCTTGTTTTCTGCTTCCCTGGAGACTAGGACGCGGAACAATGGCTTCAAAGGTTCCTGTGGGTTTTTTCGGGCTATAGAGCCATGTTCCAGAGGCATTTCTCCTTACGTTTCGCCTGCATCTATGGCAAGCATCCTCAGAGGTAGTGAGGTCTGTTGGAATTAGGACAATGGGTTTATATATCTGTGGAATGGCTGGGGTGGGGCAAGGAGCTCTTCCCTGCTGGAGCTAGGTGTGAATGTTTCAACTGACCACCTTCATTAGCATTTGAAGGCCTGCCTGAGCCTGGGAAAATCTCTTGCTGGGAGGTGTTAAGATGTGCCTGGTTTTTTCCTCTCTGTTGTTTTGCTGTTGTAATTTTAGAGTTTTTTAATACTGGTAGCCAGATTTTGTTCATTTTCATGGTCTCTTCCTTTCTGTTGAAATTGTCCACATGCTTGTGGATTTTAATGGCTTCTCTGTGTAGTCTGACATGGTGGTTGTTTGTGTGGCTTCAAACTACAAGAGAGGAGATTCCATCTGAACATGATGAAGAACTTCCTGACTGTGAGAGCCGTTCAGCAGTGGAACTCTCTGCCCCGGAGTGTGGTGGAGGCTCCTTCTTTGGAAGCATTTAAACAGGGGCTGGATGGCCATCTGTCAGGCGTGATTTGAATGCAATATTCCTGCTTCTTGGCAGGGGGTTGGACTGGATGGCCCATGAGGTCTCTTCCAACTCTTTGATTCTATGATTCTAGGGTGTGAGAAATAACTCGTGTCTGTTGGAGGCAAGTGTGAATGTTGCAATTGGCCACCTTGATTAGCATTGAATAGCCTTACAGCTTCAAAGCCTGGCTGTTTCCTGCCTGAAATGCAGAAATACCCGCTCGATTTGGGGGCGGTTGCAAAGACAGCCTCAGTTTCTCCACTGAAGGCTTCTCCTCAGCAAGTGCAGCTAGCCAGAGAATCTCAATACACTGTATAGGGACAGAAGCCTTTTCCAAGAGGAGACAGAGGCCCCTCCATAGCCAGCAAGGGAAACCACCGCATGGCCCTCCCTTCGCCCGCAGCGCCCCTTCTCACATGTTGTTGAAGCGGAAGAGGTCATTACACGTGAACGCCCGAAGCGAAGTCATGGCTTCTCTCCTCTTGCCGGCAATGGAGGGGGGAGGCCGAGGCAAAGCGAGGAAGGCCGACCCGGAACTGCTCCTGTCCCATTGGATCACTTCCTCACATGGGGAGAGATGATCGCGTCATCAGGGGCGGAGCTACGCCTCTGACGTCAGAGCATTCGACAGACAGGCGGAATATAGACAGTCGAACGCAGAGCAAGGAAAGACAGCCACGCCTCTTCTGTCTGCGCCGCTCTTCCGAGTTCCAAAGCAAAGGCCTGGGAATCTAGGACTGTTAGAACCGAGGCTTCCAAGGTTCTTGTGGATGTAGAGCAGGCCTGGCCAAACTTCGGCCCTCCAAGTGTTTTGGACTTCAACTCCCACAATTCCTTTTGCCTCCTCCCACAGGCAAAAGCCCTGATGTCACCAAGCCATCATAGATAGGCCAATGATTCCCAAACTTTACCTCTCCAGGTGTTTTGGACTTCAACTCCCCAAATTCTCAACCACTTTGGCCATTCTGGGAGCTGAAGTCCAAAACATCTGGGTCGGAAACACTGCCAGGGATTGTGGCTCTGACTGTACTGGGCTTTTGCGGTGCTGTGATCCAATATGCTGATGACAATGTCGTCTGTGCGCATTCAGAAGAACATCTACAAGCCACTCTATAAACACCTTTACAGAGGCATACGAGAAGCTCGGCCTGTCATTGAACACCAAGAAAACCAAAGTTCTCTTCCATCAGTCACCAGCCAACCCCTCTCCAATGCCAGAAATGCACCGTAATGGTGTAACATTAGAAAATGTTGATCATTTCCGCTACCTTGGCAGCCACCTCTCCACCAAAGTCAACATCGACACCGAAATACAACACCGCCTGAGCTCTGCAAATGCAGCATTTTCCCGAATGAAGCACAGAGAGGACCGGGATATCTATAGGGATACCAAGGTGCTTGTTTATAAAGCTATTGTCCTCCCAACCCTGCTATATGCCTGCGAAACATGGACTGTCTATAGGCATCACATGCAACTCCTGGAACGATTCCATCAGCGCTGCCTCCAAAAAATCCTGCAAATCTCTTGGGAAGACAAGTGGACAAATGTCAGCGTGCTGAAAGAAGCAAAGACCACCAGCATTGAAGCGATGGTCCTCTGCCATCAACTCTGCTGGACCGGCCATGTTGTCCAGATGCCTGACCATCATCTCCCAAAGCAGTTGCTCTACTCTGACCTCAAGAATGGAAAATGAAATGTTGGAGGACAGGAAAAGAGATTTAAAGATGGGCTCAAAGCCAACCTTTAAAACTCTGGCATAAACACTGAGAACTGGGAAGCCCTGGCCCTTGAGCACTCCCGGTGGAGGTCAGCTGTGACCAGCAGTGCTGCAGAATTTGAAGAGGCACGAATAGAGGGTGAAAGAGAGAAACGCGCCAAGAGGAAGGCGCATAAAGCCAACCCGGACCGGGACCGCCTTCCACCTGGAAACCAATGCCCTCACTGCAGGAGAACTGAAAGAATAGGGCTCCACAGTCACCTACATACCCACTGCCAGTACACTAATCTTGGAAGACAATCCTACTTGGACAACAAGTGATCGCCTAAGTAAAAGTTACTTAGGTGATCTCTCATAGCTTGAGGATAATTGTCTTCCAGATGTGGTGTCTTGGCAGCGAGTCTGTAGGTGGCTGTGGAGTCCTATTCTTGATCCCCATGTTCTCCCACAGTGAGGAAATTGGTTTCCAGACAGCGGTTCTGATCAGAGTTGGCTTGACGTGCATTCCTCTTGGCACATTTCTCCCTTTCGCCCTCCATTCGTGCCTCTTCAAATTCTGCAGCACTGCTGGTCACAGCTGACCTCCAGTTAGAGTACTCAAGTGCCAGGGCTTTCCAGTTCTCGGTGTCTATGCCACAATTTTTAAGCTTGACTTTAAGCCCATCTTTAAATCTATTTTCCTGTCCACCAACATTCGGTTTCCCATTCTTGAGTTCACAGTAGAGTAACTGCTTTGGGGACGGTGATTGGGCATTCACATAATGTGGCCAGTGCAGCAAAGTTGATGGCAGAGGAGCATCGCTTCAATGCTGGTGGTCTTTGCTTCTTCCAGCACACTGACATTTGTCCGCCTGTCTTCCCAAGAGATTTGCAGGATTTTTCGGAGGCAACGCTGATGGAATCGTTCCAGGAGTTGCATCTGACATCTGTAGACAGTTCACGTTTCATAGGAGTATAGCAGGGTTGACCAGACAGGATGTAGTAATGCGTACTTTGTCGTAGGGTGCGTCTACGCTGTCAAATTAATCCAATTTGGCACTTTTACTGCCATGGATCATTGCTTTGGAATCATGGGGATTGTAGTTTGGTGGGTCGCCAGCATTCTTTGCCAGGGAAAGCTACAGCCCTTGTAAAACTACAAGGGCTGTCATTTAAAGTGGTGTCAAACTGCATTAATTCAACAGCGTAAACACACCCTTTGTTTTGCATTTGTGTAGCCACGTATTGGCTTTGAGCTGGTTTGAGGGCATCAAGACAATTTGACAAGGTTTGACAAGGTGGAGGGAGCATTTTTGACAATTTCATCTTCCATGTGTTTTGGACTTCAGCTCCCAGAATCCCTGATCAATGGCCAAAGGAGTTGAAGCTTCTTGGGGATAGGTAAAGGTAAAAGTTGTCTGCTGACATTAAGTCCAGTCGTGTCCCACTCTGGGAGTTGGTGATCATCTCCATTCTAAGCTGAAGAGCTGGCGTTGTCCGTAGACACCTCCAAGGTCATGTGTCCGGCATGACTGCATGGAGTGCCATTACCTTCTCGCCAGAGCGGTACCTATTGATCTACCCACATTTGCATGTTTTCAAACTGCTGGGTTGGCAGAAGCTGGGGCTGACAGCGAGAGCTCACGTCGCTCCCCGGATTCGAACCTGCGACTTTTTGGTCAACAAGCTCAGCAGCTCAGCGGTTTAACCCATTGCACCACTGGGAGTTCCCGGGGGGTGGTGGAAGTTAAAAAAAAAAGCCCGGGATATTGGAGTTTGGGGTAACTGTGACACACTATGGATTTTGTGGCCTGAAGCCCACATCATCAAATACAGTACATGAAATGTTATCCAAATCTAATGAAATGGCCACAGCATGTCTTTACAATGCCCAAAGATGGTCGGTTTTGTTTCAACAAAGGAATACAAGTACTCTCTGAAACAATTTCCTTTTCTGGTGGTGTCCTCAGATACCCAATGCCAATGGGTGGGGTTTTTTGTGTTCTGTCAAGAATAATCTTGCTGCAGCTAGAAAAACCGGTCCTCGCCTTTGCGTAGTATAGGCATGTTTACTTATTAAATGGGTCAACTCTCACCGCTAAGCCATAAAAACTACAGGGTGACTTTGGGTAACTCATTCTCTCTCTACATCAGAGGAAGTAAACAATCTCCAACAATATTTTCAGTACAAAACAAACATGTGATGGGGTTGCCTATGGTTTCCATAAATCAGAAAGGACTTGAATGCACACAACAGCAACACACAGGACTGCAGCTTGTTGTTCTGTTTAAATAAATCCAGTCTGTAATGGTCCTCCTTTGCTGCTGGTTGGCTAGGCAAGTGCTAAAAGGAGGACTAAAACACCAAATTTTAAGAAGCTTATAAACCAAAATGGGGAGGAAGGGATTAAATGGGCATATAAAATAAACAGCATATTTGCACTTATAGACAAAATATTCTCTCCTAAAAAGAAAGCCCAGGATAAAACAATATCCACAAAGCAGCATTATCTTATTAGCCAACCAAACTGGACAAAACACTTCCTGCAAGCTTTAGAAGCTCCAGTGGCTTCTTCATCATGCAAAGGAGTAAAAAAGTGATGGTGTTGAAGTCTCGTTCTTTTGTTTTGAATCAGATGTTGTTAATGTTGTGGACTTAAGGCATCTCAACGCAGGCAGAGAACAATCCCCCATCCTGCATTTTGGCCACATGGGGACCAAGACTAAGGATAATAAAATTTAAATTCTAACAGCAGGTTCAAAGTAACTAAATTTGGGCTCCAAGATGTAACTCGAGCTTTGAAATCAGTCTGTTGATAGACTGAGACAAACCAGTTACAATGTAAGTTATAAACTTATATAAACCATGGTAGTGCTACTAGCTGTAGGAAATCTGCTGACCAGAGGGTTAGCAGTTCAAAGCCACGAGTTGGGGTGTGCTCCCGGCTGTCAGCCCAGCTTCTGCCTACTTAACAGTTCAAAAGCTTGTAATGTGCATAGGTCTGCCTTGGCAGGAAAGAAAAGGGCGCCTCATGCAGACATGCCAGCAACAATAGGAGAAAGTCTATGGACAACAGCTTTCTTGGCATGGAAAAAGGGAACAAGAGCACCTCCCTATGGCCAGAGTTGAGCATCGCCTCCAGACGCCAGGTATGGAAAGGGAGCAGCCTTCACCTCTGTGTGTGTGTTGTATGTCATTTGTTAACTATGTAAAAGGGTATTGAATATTTGCCTTATACATATGTAAACTGTTATCCGCTCTGAGTCCCTCTGGGGAGATAAAGCGGAATATAAATAAAGTGTATTATTATTATTATTATGGCTAAAGTTGCAGAGTCAAAACGTGAGGTCAAAAAGCAAGAAGTCTTTACATGATTAATGCTTTCAGAAAATAGATTCCTAGTACTATCCACTGGAAGGCATTGCACCCCATATCGTGAAACATAGCCTTGTTTTCTTTTACCCCAGAGCCTGCGGACCATGCAAGAGAAAAAAGTCATTTGTTCTTCATTATTTAAAGTTTCCAGAATAGCTGAAGGCCATCTTGGCTTTCCATGAGCGTCTGAGCATATGTGTTAGGATCCTCCCTTATTAAATAGCAATACAAAATATGAAAGTGAGTGCCCTTTGCTTGCTTCTTTTTATTATGGATTTTGGCCCTGGGCCTTACATCAGTGGATGCCAGATTGGGTAGTTCTTGGCAGCCCAGAATCAAGGGCTTATCTTTCTTGGAATTTCCTGCCCTTTAGGGGCACATGAACACAACATGGAACAAACAGCTGTCATTCTGAATTCCTACTTGGCAGCTTTTCTTCTGCTCCATGGCAAACTACAGTGGGAGATCTCCAGCAGCACCACAGATTCTGATTGTATCTTCTTCACTTTGGGTGGATTTAAAAAAATATGTTGGAGTTTGGAGCTTCCCTACTAGGGCAGGGAAAAGGTGAAAAAGCCGCAGTCTGCTGTGATCTCTCCACTGAGGTGCCTTTGATGCTTCTCCCCTTGGGAGTTTTGTATGTTCAGAGAACCTAAAAGTAAACACAAACCTCCTCTTCTTTCTCCAACAGTTTTTTTTTTTTTTTTGCAATGCCTGGGTGGGAAAAATGGCAGCAGTGGCCAAGGGTGACTGGTCCTAAGGCAATATTAAAACTTTCAGTTTCCTGCTGAATGGATCCTGTGGTGAGCCCCAAAGTTATACACTTGACTTTTCCACCAGTCACATCAAAATCCACAGTTGAGGCCCATAACTTGTCCCCGATTTATACACAAAGTAGACATACATAAATATATAAGGTAAATGGTTTTTATCAGTTGCTTGATTGTGTTTTTGTGTATATTTTATTCTTTTGTGTATTTTAAAGGCTGTGTTCATATGGATCTGTGCTCTTCAATAAAACAGAAGTCAGTGATACTTACTCGTGAAAGATAAAAATTACATCCTATAACTTATTGAGGGAAGTATTCTCTAGTTTGGTATTATTTTTCTCTAGTATATGCTAATGATTACAGATGTTTTTAAAGCATGAACTTCTCAGTTACCCTGATCCACTATTAGAAATTATGAAATCGAATACTTAATATAATATTTAGGAGTGCATTTTCTTCTACAATGATGGAACTTGTTTTGACTGTCATGGAGAAACTTCAGCATGTCTCTCATCTGCCTCTTAAATTTTAATTCCAAAGAGTAATAAAGACAATTACAATGGTAAACATGGCCCTTTGAGGAGACAGCCAGTGGTGTAAGGGTTGGAATAATGGGGTAAAACTCTGGGAGAATAGGCGTTCAAATCCCCATTAAGAGACTGGGTGACCTTGGCCAAGTCACACTTAGCAAAAAATGGTAATCCCACCCTATGAAGAAATCTTCCAAATAAAAGTTTGCCACTGAGTTAGAAATGTCGTGAAGGCATATAATAGCAACACTGGGCAAAAGAAATATCTTCACGTGCCCATTTCAATTCTTTTACTTACAGCCCAGCATTTTATATTGTCCCTCCCTCCCTTCCTCCTTCCCTTCGTCTATGGCCTTCAACTCCCAGAAATCCTAACAGCTGATAAAAAGGGTTGGGATTTCTGGGAGTTGTAAGCCAAAACTCCTGGGGACCCACAGATTGAGAACCACTTTTCTACAGTGTGTTAGTGCTGCCTGTTATACAAGCTAGGCGTTGACTTGGAAGGAGCAGGAATTTAAAGCAGAACAAAAATAGATGTATAGTAATCCCTTGCTAAAGAAAGTTTCTTAAAGGGAAATGAGATGAAAAGTATAATCCGGTGTTGGTTGTGAGCTGTAGTAAGAGTATCAATTGTTTTTTATCAGTGCGTGAGAGGCAAGGGAGGATATGAGCTGAGCAAAAGCACATGGGATTATTATAAATATGCACTGTCTCAAAACTTTGTAAGGGGAAGCAGTGTGAAAACACAGTTTGAACTGGTGCTCACCCTCATTTAAAACCTCCATTTTTCAAGATCAACTTTTCACATGTAGAGTTTAAGAATTTAAGATGTATTATTCTTTTTTCTCTCTAGTTCTTCACATCATTTATTATGTCCTGGTTTTCCAACAATACGGGTATTTCTTGTGAACTACTTACAAGATACTCATTTTCACTGTCACGAAAGTGCCCATGTCTATTCATGTTTCATTTTCTTGAACAGTGGTTATCAGCCTTGGATCCTCCAGGTGTTTTGGACTTCAACTCCCAGGTATTCCAGCCAACTTACCAACTGTTATGAATTATGAGAACTGAAGTCCAAAACACCTGAACGACCAAAGGCTGGGAACCATTGTTCTTGAGGATATTTAGAATGTGGTGACAAGAAAGACACAGTACAGAACAGATTCTTCAGATTTAGTAGGAACTTGGGTGTGTGCAGAATAGACATCCAAATTCAGGAAATATTCCACAAAACCAAGCTGGGTTTGTTTTTTAAAAAATATTAGGGGTGTGCTTTTAGGTATTCTGTTTAACACGTAGGCAAATTGTGTAAATTGATCTCCATGGTCACTTGATGTATTTTCATTACTGCAACACATGTTATTATAGATCACACACAACAGGCATTACCTGAAGACGCAATCCTAAGACCAACATGTTTCAATGTGGATATTTGTCAAATAACAAAATTCTTTAAAAATCATGTGATCACTGTCTTTGTCAGCCAGGTGAGTTGAGATCTATTCATTCTCTAAGAGACCAAATATGGATTTGTCTTGCAGATTCAAGGAACCAATAAGCAGTAAAACAGAACATTTTCCCTCTCCCATGTACATATACACACATACACTAGAGTTAAGTATTACAATGTATTATGTGCAAAACTACTGCTTTATCATTTACAAAATGAAGGACAATACAAACACACGCCAGTGTGGCAGATATGTGGCAAATCAAATCCTACAAGTTGTTACATACAGAGCACACCTGCAGGTGCAGGCACCAGTATTATTTTTGTAATTTCAGAATATCAACAAACAATTACAAACTGAGCAGAGGAAAGGAATGACATTGTTTGAAAGACATCCAAACTATCCATATTAGGCAATATCACTGAACATTCTGGATAGGGGCAAGTTATCTCAATAAGCAAACTACCACCATCCATGGTTTGCAAGACACAATGAAATATTTTGATTTGATGGGTGTTGCCTACAAAGGCAGTATTATCTGGTTCCCCAGGCTGATTGTTCATAATAAACAACTGAACTTGTTCATTTGAGAGCTACTGAGGACACACATAGTTCTGCACCCTAAGGCAAGATCCTGCATGTGTCCATCTTCTCTTAGGGTTCTAGGAATGGCTCTGGTTAGGCCCATATAAAGTTTGTAACAAGGGCCTTTGGGAGATTTCATCCAAAAATTACAGAGATTATTGTATTTAAAACAGAAAAGACATTCTTCTCAAATCATTGGATGTTGACTGTATTTTTGTTCTGTTTCTATACATTTTGAAAAGCTCGTGAATATTCTGTTGTATGTAGTGGAGCACATTTAGTTCTGTATTTCCATTTCTAAAAGCTCCAGTCAATACATGCTTATTAAGAAGTCACTCTAGTGAATTAAATAGGATTTACTCCTAATTACTATGGATATGATAGCAATATGAAATCTAATCTACCCACGCAAGTGAACAAGGTTTTGAGGAAAGTCAGCAGATTACACCAGTTTACGCTGCAAGCAAGGGTTTCTGAATGCAGTCAACCCTCCAGATCCCTGGGTTATGAAACCACAAATTCAATCAACCATTAACTGAAAATATCTGGGGCGGGAGAATCCAGAACTCAAATTTTGAGTTTGCCATGCACTGACCACTATTGCTGATGCGTAGGCAAAGCTTACTGTATCTTTCCGCTATTTCCCAGAGCCTCGTGCTCTCTCCGGCATTTGTTTGAGTTTGCCATTCTATAGGAGGAACATCATTTTACTACATTGTTTTATATAGTGAGGCTTGATATCCATTGTTGCTATCTGTGGATGGTCCTGGAGCTGAATCAAAATGAATAGCAAGAGGGCACTGTACTTCTCTATGTGATCAAATAAACAAAAACCCACTGCAATCTGTTTTGTAAAAACAGCCCAGCACAAAAGGCAGAAAAACAAAGGAAGGAGAGGGGCTGGATGAATCCCTCTGCTTGCAGATACGTTTTTTAGTCTGCAAGCTTTCAAAAAATCTAGCACACACATCACATGAGCAAAGTGAAGGAGTATATTCTGTTCTACCACCTCACTTCCACATCATTCTATTGCATGTATAGACAGTGCCCATTTTCTAGCATCTTTACATAGAGAAGAATTTATACATTGTTTTTATCTCAGTAACTATTGAAACTACATTTATCTTTTCAGCCACAATCAAATGTGTTTGAGATTGCTTACTTCAGTGTGTATAAAAGCATGAAATGCATCAATTTATATTCCTGTTGTTTTTAATACAACAGATGTCAATTCATTATTTGCACAACTACCACATGTTAAACATTAAAATGGTTTCCTCCATAATCTCATCACCCCCATTCGGAAAGCAGCCTGAACCAGCAGACTAGGGGTGTCTTGACAACATCACTTTAGTTCCTCCATTTGAGGGACTCTCACCCATTTCTACCCTGACCAATATCCAACGTGGAACACAATCAGCATTCCACACACATACATTAACCCATCAGCGGTAAAAACAACAATGACCCTAACCTCCCCAGCAATCATCATTCATTGTCCCCAGCTCTGTGCAACAATGCTGGTTAATGAGTATTAATGAGCAACTAATATGATGTTACAGTGGGACTTGTGAACACATTCCCCTCTTACACTTTTAATCCTTCAAACAGGCTATCTACATCCTCTCACTTCCCCAATCTGTTTATTCATCTTTCTGTATTTCAGACTGCAGTATATAAGTAATTCATTTTTTTATGTCAGGTTTATAGGCAGCTTTGGACAGCCAATGTTAAAAATAAAACTGTTTACAGAATCATCCCAAACTTTAAAAAAATGGGGCTTCATATTAAAAGTAATCTTTAAATCTTGGTAGAAAAAGGCAAAAACATTCACATAAATGTTCAATGTAATACTCTAAAACCAGCAAGAGATTCATTTCGTATATTAAATGTTAATCACATGCATAATTATAGAACAATTTATAGCTTAGAAAAATACTTAAGAACTAACCATGACAGTTTACCTGCAACTGCTATAAAATTTCTGTGAAATATATAAAATCATGTTGCCTTCAGTAAAATATATATATATATATATACAAAAACTATTTTAAAGAAGGCTGTTACCATCCACATAATAGAGTTTACTGATGCCCTGCATCGGACAGCATAGCATTATGTACATTGGTAACATAGGACAGCTTGCCAGCTACTTTACAAAAAGTCTGACTATCTGAATATTTCAATGAAAATAGTGCTTGCACTAAGGATATGAAGTACAGATCTGAATATGGATCTACTAAGGCATTTCTGAGATGATTCTCCTTAAGTTCAGCTACTGTGGCTGTACACTGCGGCACCAGAATTGTACATACTGTACAACAGGCTGGTTGTTCTACGTATCTCAGTTAGAGTCAGTGAGGAGTCCTGTTCTTGTTAGGCACCTAGTTTACAATCCTGCAAACCACTTAAGTTCAAAATCAACCCAGTCAACAAGCAAACAAAAGTTTGCAAGAAACTTAAAACACAACAATACAAATCCTCAACCTTATGAATCGTAGTCACTGTTCTGGAAAATGGCCCCATAAGGGTCACTGTCGATGCGCTTATAAACAAAGTGAAAGACTTGAGGCTGTGGCCTACTATGGAGTTCAGCTTTGATTTTCTGAGGATAAGTGTCTTCTGTCAGTTGCTGCCACGTGTCATCAATAAAGAGAAATAGGCTGTAGTCATCAGGATTGTCCACTTTAAACTTCTCAGCACAAAGATGGCAGACGTCTTCGGTAGTGATATATGGTTTCACTAGCAAGGTTTTTCCTGTGCAACCACTGTTTACCTCCTGGAAAGCAACTCGTAGGTAGTTCTGTGGAGTGGGAAAATATGGAGGGGGAAAATCGTGTTATTTTATGTATTGCACGTACACACCTGTTTTTTTTCTCCATAACAAGCTGGATTACTCATATTTACTTGGTATAATGCATCATCAAATGCAATGTGCATCTAAATTTTGAAGGTGCACATTAAAAAAAAGAGTTTTTCCTTGAATGTAATACAACCAACACCACAGGCATAGTGTATCAGAGAGACAGGCAGCATAAATGAGGCAATTTGGGAAGTCATACCCCTTGGTCAGGCCGAGGCTGACAAAACTCACTAGCCTTGCATTATTCCCAACTGGCTGCATTCACAAGTCCTTCAAACCCAGTGGTTCCCAAGCTTTTTTTATTTATTTATCCAGGGACCACTTTGACTAGGCACCATTTGACCAAGGACCATTCTGATCAGGGACCACTCTCTAACATTAGTACCAAAAGGGGTATGAATCAGTTTTTGGTCAACTTTAGATTTGGTTTGGGGTGTTGATTCTGAAAATTGCATTGGATAGACCATGTCAGCTCTAGTTTCTGATACAGAACATATGCCATGGTCAGCCTCAGGGAAGAAGTGGCAGATGGTGTGAAAGGAGTGGAAAATAAAATTAAAAAATAAAATAAAAAGGAAGGTGGTTCGTGGACCAGATTTTCTTCCTTATGGTCCACTGGTGGTTCACAACCCACTGGTTAAGAACCACTGTTCAAAACTGAAGTGAAGGTTCTGAAGGCCTTGTGAGTGAGACCAGTTGAGAATCATGTGTGATTGAGTGGGGGGGGGGAGGTAGAACCTGGGGTCTGCCCAGGAGGTAGGATCTGTGGCTAAGTGGCAGGAATGACTGGATCACCGTCTGGGGTTGCTCTTCCTCTGTCACTACCAGGAACAGCTTCTCCGTGGCCCTCTGACTCCCTGTCCAGCCTCCAGGATTCAGGGTTCCTCCACCCTTGTTATGCAGTTGGGTTTATGTGCATGATTCTAACACATCACTGAATTTAATGCACAGCTCAATTTTGGCCATGTAATTTAGCCAAAAAAGGTGAGCATTAGACTCAAGGAAATATGGTTGCTGCTCCTCTTGTTCAGAACCCTTCACGCTGTGTTTGAGACAATATGAATGCACTTTTTTTGGACTATAACTACCTGTATCTTTCATAGCCAGTGGCCATACTGGTAGAGCGTTTGAGGAGTTTCAGCCCCAAAAGTTGGTTTTATTGAGGTCTAAAAGGACTCCTATGTCCTGTTGAAACTTCTCCAGTATTCCCCAATTTAAAAGTACAGTAAGAGAGAAGAGTTGCCTACAAGGAAAGTAATGAGTATCTTCCAGAATGTACTTACAGATTGGGACAGTGAGTGCTAAGTCACTTGGCTGGCACTCAAATGTGTTTCCATGGCAGAAAAAAAACCATACCTCAAACTAACATGGCATTACAGAAAATGTGGAAGCAATAGCATCAGGTCTAGTCTAGAATGCTTCTGTTGGTTTAAGAAAAATAATTATTAAATAGCTCTGATGCTTCCTTGACTCTTTTAATCTTAAACTCCGTTAGAATATGCCAAGAACTTTTTTACACTTTTGAGCTTTTATTATTGTTTCCTGACAGGAAGAAAGCTCAATCTATCTCATTATATGGCGAGTCTGATTTCAATGAATGGGCAACTGGCTGGATACAGAAGGTTGTTGAGGTCTTCCAAGCCTTTTGAACGAATGGCCATTATCTTAAGTATCTTCTGTTTCTGAAGATACTACTATATTCTTCAGCAGAGTTCAGAAACAAAAGTGATTTCCCAGGCAACAAACAAAAAACAAACTTCCTTTGCTAACAGTACAGCTCTATTTGGACAAATGTACTTCACAGCCAACACTGGCATTGCTGAGGAACATCACACTTAGCAGTTCTGCAGAAAACAAATCCTAATTCTTGCTTCCATTTCTTGCATGATTTAGAAGCTCAGTTTGGGATACCTTCTCTCTAAAATTATTTATGGACCTTTTCAGAATTGAATGTGAATAGCAATGCAAACAGTGTAACTTCTAGGTCAGGGCTGTGGGAGCTTTCTTGTCATCTAACTGCTGTGCTTGGTTTTATATTTTACACTTTTGGAATGCTTCTGCCTTTAATTTATACACCACACAACCCTGGTGAGCTCATGTTCCTAATTGCTTCCATACTTAGTAGTTTCATGTTTTTTTGCATTATTTTGCCTTTCCCCCTCTTCTTTGCACGATGTACAAGTAATTGCTATTTATTTATTTACTTATTTATAAAATCTCTTATGTACGCCCCTGAAATGTCTCCCCATAGTTCTTATATTTCTTATTAGAGTAATTGGGAAGAATTTTTTAAATAACGCAAGCTACCACCACAGACATTTTGGTAAGATGATATAACAATTCCATAGTCTCTGAGGGAAGACATTAAAGAGGGGGGATTGAGGGAAGGAAAGGAGAAGAGGGGGCAGAACATAAGAGAAAAGCAAACAGAAATGAGGAAGGAAGGAAGGGAAAAGGAGCAGAGTATGCATGTTTTAACACAGTTTGTCCTGTGATTCTATGCGATGAGTCAGTAGTATTGGGTCAAATATAGGCCAAAATGTGTGTTCAGGATATCACCACCAAGACTTTGTTACTAAGGAGAAAAAAAATGTAATGTTCTTATTTTTCGCTTAGGCATCCTCCAGCATGTTTGCAAGACTTGGATCCCAAACACTGGAAAGTCTGCCTAAGAATAAAATTCAGGAAGTGGAGCACAACGCTTTAGCTTTCGTTAGCAAACACAAAGCTGAATTAACCACAAAGCATAAAGTGACATCCAATATGCATCTACATTATTGGTAAGTTAACATTATTACATCCAAATGGTGGAATTTTCTCTCACAGTGTGAAAGTTTTGAAAAACTAACAATTGTTGTACTTTCATAAAATATTCCAATGGTAAGATCTTGATTATAAAACAGTTTCCTGCTCCCAGTTCTGGATTTCCAGGCAAATAATAAGAAAGCATGCACATTTAGATCCTCACTAATCTATCCTCACTAATCTCTCTAGAGCTCTAAGTGAAATGCAAAGAGTTATCCCTTTTCCAAGACAGGTTATAAGAGTGTGACTTGTTGATGAGCACACTATCTTGCAGACATATGTATCTCTTCCTATGTTTGGCTGTGAGTATTAACAACCATGTGTTGAGTTTGAATCTACCACAAGGGTTAGACAAATGACACCTTGGTCTTAATCATTCCCTTTGGTAGTTTCTAAGGCTTCACTTACTATTTTGGAGTCAACCATATTTTTCCAAGTTACTGGGAAATGAACAAGTGTGGATACTGGACAGCAGCAGACCTCTGAGGTCCCAATGCTGCCTACCTCACTACTCTAAGGGGCAATGGATAGAATGTCCTCTGTTTCTGGCTTATTTCCAGTAATAAGGCTGAAAGGGTTTTTTGTGTGTGTGTGTGTCAGGAGCAACTTGAGAAACTGCAAGTTACTTCTGGTGTGAGAGAATTGGCCATCTGCAAGGACGTTGCCCCAGAGACTCCAGGATGTTTGACGTTTCACCATCCTGTGGAAGGCTTCTCACATGGGGAGCTAGAGCTGACAGACAGGAGCTCACCCCACTCCCCGGATTTGAAAGGCCAACCTTTTGGTCAGCAGTCCTGCTGGCACAATGATTTAAACCATTGCACCACTGAAAAGTAATATTGCCTGAAACTTTATGATGTCCTAAACTTGTAGAGGCGATGTTGGTGAATGTGAACTAACTCATAGTCTCCAGTGTTTCACAGATGAAGACCAGTACAAGCAACATCAAAATGTGTTAATGATTACAAAAGTTATTAATGAGTTTGAGCAGATGAGCTAGCAGCCCTTCTTTCTTCTGCAAGGCAGGGAGTTGGACTGAATTGCGTGTATGCTCTCTTGCAACACTGCTTCCATGCAGTTTGCATTTTCCTAAGTTTACTGGGAAGGACAATGTTATTTTCCCTTCTCTCCTCTCCCAGTTATCAAGTCAACTAAATACAAACTACTCATTTCCAGCAGCCTGAAGACAAAGAGGAGAAATGGGACATTTCTAAAAGGAGTTGGGAAAGTGGATTGATTGGGACCACCCCTGCCAAACTGACACAGCTGAAGAGTACACTTACTTCACCCAATATAATCCAAATCCTTCATATATCCATGACATTATGCTGGTGCTCTCCCTTATATAAATGACAGCTGCAAAAACATTATATGTACCTGGAAATCATCAACAGATGGGATTGTTCTGTTTGTTGTTCTCCGCTTATGCCATTGCCTGAGAGTATTTCGAGCTTCCGAACACAATAGCCTTGCCGCTTGTTCTTCTTGGAAATTCTTAATTAATGAAAGTGCCCCATACGCACTTGTCAAATAGTAGCCTCCTGTAAAGATACAAAATAAAAATGTTCAAGATATTACCAACAACCTGGTCATCCAAAGCAGTATAAGGCTTGCCAAACAAAGCCTGCCTTCTTGCATAAGTAGTAGTGGACAACACATATTAGGTACTAATATCTGGCAATCACTTGGGCCTTTGAGATAGAAGTAATGACCTTCTTTTAAAAAACTTTATTCCAAAGAACCCCAGAGTTCCTCAACAAACTGTTCGGATTTCCTCAGTGAGAAAAGATCAGTTATGTTAATAGAATTTTCCCTAATGGCCAATGACAGCACCCTGTGAAGAGAACTGGAAAAGCATCTTGAAGCTAAAGGAGGGCAGCTTGCTTATTTCCTGCTTCTCTACTTCACCAGCAAGATTTGTGGAATCCATCTTGCTTGTAACCCCAGCAGGAACCACTATCTATTCCCAGTTAAACAGTATTACTTCCCTGGGCTGGGTCAGTTGAAGTATTTGTTCGGTTTCAATGTGGTCGGACCCACCATCAAAGGGGTCACCCCAGGAGAGTGACACCAAAGCTTACCTGTTGAGGCTCATCTGTTGACCTCTTGGCTGCAAAGGAAGATTATTCTTACTACCTGTTTGGCAGAATGGAATGACTCGGGACTTAATGTCCTCCAAAATAACCATGGGTCTGTCCTAAGTGGTATGTGGTACCATTTGGGGCCAAGTGCAGGGTACATTCTGAACCTTGTCTTCTATACTGGGTGGGATTACAGTGATCATGGATAAACTACTACCTGGTTAGGAACTTAGGCCCCTTCTATACTGCCATATAAAATCCAGATTATCTGCTTAGACTATGTAACACTATGTAATGTATGCATGAAACCACTGGGACAGGTTGCCTAGAGTTTGGGGTCAGATGTTACCAATATGGTCAGAATATCCACTCTATATATTCTTTGCACTTCAATCTAAGGAATTTTTTTTGTTCTAAACCAATATGTGTTGGCAGTGATGGACTGGGTAAGGGTGAAGCTCAACCCAGACATTAAAAATGTGCTCCTAGGCAGTTAAAGGACAGATCTGGGAATAGGAATTCAGTCTGTGCTGAATGGCATTTTACTTCTCCTGAAGACACAAGCTAGCAGCTTGAGTGTACGGCTAGATTCACCCCTGCCATGGGATGCCTAGGTTTCTGAGTGGCCAGGAGTATATATGCTAAGTTAAGGCTAAAGCATCACCATGTCTGACTTGGCCACAGTGACACATGCTTTATTTACATTCTGACTGTATTACTGTAATGCAGTGGTTCCTAATCCTTGCTCCTCTGTGTGTTTTGAACTTCAGCTCTCAGAATTCCTGACAGTTGGTTAAGATGGAAGGTCAAAGGTTGAGAACCACTGCTGTAATGCACTCTATATGGAGCAACCTTTGAAGGGTGTTTCAGCTAATTCAAAGAGCTGCAACCAAATTGCTAACGGGTAGTAATTCCATCCTGCACAGAATTCTCTTACTGTAACAATTCCACTGGATGTTTCCAGGCATAATTCAAAGTGCTGATTTTGACCTATAAAGCCCATTTTGGCTCAGGACGCAGGCCTTTCCAATAATTGTATCTCTGTCAGCCAGCCTGCCAGAAGTTTATAATCTATAGAAGGTTCTTATATACATCTCACTAAAGTCGTAAGCATGCTTGGTGGGAATGTAGGAAAAGGGTATCTCTATGTCTGGTCCCACACGTTGGAATTCCCTCCATAAGAGAGGTAGAGTGGCTCCCTTTTTGATGCTTCTCTGCTTCACCAGCAAGGTGGCAAGTCAAGACCTTTGTTTTCCAGCAAGCCTTTGAAAATTAATTTTAATTAAAAAGTGCTGTACTATTTATTTTTTTGTTTTGAAATAAGATTATAGATGTTCTAATTTTGTTACTAAGTAATACCGTTTTATTCTGAATTTTGTATGTTTTAACAATACATGTTTTATTGTATTTTATGACCTTTTTGTAAGCTTCCTTCAGTCCAAACATGGAAAAAAGTGAGATACATATAAACAAAGTGATGGATGGGTGGATTATCAACTATATCTTGCAGTCTATTGTTGTACTTCTTGTAGTTTATGAAGAATAATAGTAAAATCTTTAAAATATATAGTCAACATATCATATGAACTGAACATGCAAGCTAAAACATGCCCAAGAATCCTCTGCAAGGGCCAGATGTCTTGTGACAGAAATAGCTCAGAACGGGGTTCCTTGTTGACAGAAATGCCAGTCACTACAATCAACTAGAGCTAAATGTTCAGATTGTTTTGTATCCAGTACATGGTATAAACATTAGTTGCATGGCAGTATTGCTTAAACAGCTTCTCTATAATTATCCCTCCTCCACTGTTTGGTGCACTTCTCATAGTCCCACTGTACCCACTTCTTTTCCATATTAAATGTAGCCCAGCTCACACCCACCACCCAGGATTTCTAGAAAAGACAGATGTGTTTTGCTACAATAAGCGGACACACAGGAAAGTTTGATGCAGTTTGGAGGCCAAAGCCATATCAGTATCCAGCCTCTTGGCAGAAAGCTTCATCCCGTTTGTTTTTGTTTTGTTCTTGGAAAGAGAAGTTTCCTGCCAGATTTAACTGCTTCAGCATTCTTTTGCTTTCAGCAATCCCAGGAGGGGAGGGGCCTCGGGAATCGTTCCCTCTTCCATGCTTCCAGCAAGCCAAATAACTGCAGATGCAGGGCACATTTCAGGTCTGAACTCTTTCAAACAGAAGACAGATTCCAGGTCTTACTTGAAAATCAAAACTGCTTTTTTTCAAGTGTTATCCAAAGCGACAGGAAACCATGTATTCCCAAATAACCCAAAATGAAGCTAAGAGAAATTTCAAAGAAATTAATAGACAGATTCAGATGACCTCTGCTCTCCAAGGTTTAGCCTTGGAGTCCTTTAAGGAAATTTATATTCTTTAATGTAAGCATATCAACTGGAAAGCAATGTAACAATATAGCTTACGCAATTCAGGCTTTTTTAAACCTTGCATTACTTATGTCAACGTCTTCCTTCTGAATTAACTGTAAGAGGCCAAGACTCTGGAGTAATGCACTGCTTAATACTCATATGAATCTGAAGGAAGACTTTTGGCATCCTGCGGCTCTTGAAATCCATGCAAGGCATATGAGTTACTCCTTTTTAAAAGAATGTATGTTATTCAGTCTTAAAAGTGAAACTTTGTCATAATATAGGTGAATGTAACAAGAATTATCTTCAAAACTCTTTCCAGATCGTGAGCCAAACCCAACCTAGATAACAAGCTCACTAAATAACACGAAATAAAACTCCCTGTTATGGAACCAGGCATAGCAGTTATCACCAACCACCCAAGCGGTTAGGTCTAGTCGCATTTTCCCACTAAGATTTGCACAAAAGCCCTTGACAAAAGTTTCCTCTACACGCTCCATGCCAACAGGAAGCCAGAGCTTGTAATCTTGTTTGTTTGAGACTATCTTCATGTTATGTTTGTAGGAATGTCTTGATAAGCTGCTGGTAACAAGTCAGAAGCTTTGGAATGCCTTTAAAGGCTTTCTATTCAAGCATGCTATCAGTCATCAAATTCCTGGTGAAAGAGTAATCTTTAGAGCCTCAAGGACATTTACCTTCTCCATGCAACAAAGAGGGATCCAGCAGCTCCATCATGTATTCAATTTCAGCGTCCAACTCCAGCATGTCACACTGTGCCACAACGTAAGTCAGCACTGGCAAGAAGTCATCAGCCCCATACATTCTCCCTTTGTTGAAGGTTGAGGATACATGGGGAAAGAAAGTAAAAGTATATCAAAACCCACTGCCACTGTTCATATATTCATTTATTTGCCCTTTTCTTTTCAAAAAGTTCTCTTCCACACTGCTCTTTCTATCCAGTTGTATGATTTTAGATGCATGGCAAAAGAATGTTATTTCAGCATCTTTGCCACTATTACTGAATCCACTATTGTAAAATTAATCTGAAAGCTCAGAGAGAACACAACTGCAGACTGAATTGCATTCAATAGAATAGAAGAACATACTGATGACTTTTATGTGCCCTCAGAAGCAGTGTATCACCTGAGGAAATGGAGGCCTTTAAGGAGTGGCATCAGAGCTCAGCAGTTAAGACGCAAGGGGGGCGGGGATTAAGTCTACCCTCCACATGCAAGTTGAAACATTGCGTTTAAAAGTGCTGCAGTTGATGTCAGTCAAACAATGGGGTGTTTTTGTCAAGTTCTTAACCAGCTGAGGTTTTCCAGAATACAGCTCTCAAGCTTTTGTGCACCTGCATTATTTATTCACTCTAGTATATCAAGAGTACAGATCTAAGTTCCTAACTCACGAGGTTCCAGTTTGTAACAAAGGTGATGTTCCACCAGGTCTGTGGTTAGCCCTATCTAGTAAACCTTGAAATATTACCATAACTCTTGGAAGAACAAGCCTGCACTGGCCACAGACATTCTGGTGGTGACTCTGGATACTTTCAAAGAAGTTAGCTAAGTTTTGAAAACAAACCCAAAGTGACCACATCATAAACAACAAGGGGGAAAGACAACATGTTCTTCATTGTTCTGCACAATGAGAAAATGCAGATTATTATGATTAAGGGAATCTCCAGACAATGCTTTTATTGTTCTTTCATCCAGTGTCATTCATGTAATTTTACTGGGGGTGGAAGTTTGATGTTATTTTCTCCTTGTAACCCTCTCCATGTTTTCCAACTAGCTTTTCAATGCTTTCTATTGCCACACAAAATTCAGAGGACAAAGGCAAAATTGCACAGTGCCTTTTGACTGGTAGTGCTAGGGCTTGTTTTGTTTTGAACTATACTACCAGCATGACCAGCTGCCTTTTCGGGGAAAGGTGGTGTATAAAGCAAAAAAGAAGAGGAAGAACAAGTTATCTTCTTGATAAAGTGAAACTTTTCTAATATAAAGAATCCCCTTCATTTGTGTTAATGATCTGACAAAGGATTTCAACTAAAAGATCTGCTCCCTCCCGGCTTTCAGAAAGATATTAAAATTATGGCTTTGGGACCAGGCCTTTGGACAGTAGATGTTTGTAGAGTTTAAAGGACATGGACTAGAATGACAACACTAGTGTATTGAATATAGGAACATGGAACAACGGATTATGAGATTGGATCTTGATTCTACCTATGAGACGCTAATGAGATGTTATAGTTATGTTTAACTGATTGTTTATTATATAATTGTTTTTAACTGTTTTTTAACTCTTTTTATGAAGTTGAGCATTGAATTTTGCTATCGTTAACCGTTTTGAGTTGCCCAAGGGCTGAGAAAAGCGGTATATAAATGAAGTAAATAATAATAATAATAATAATAATAATAATAATAATACAGAGGAATTTTCATAGTATCAGGGCAAAAAGGTTACTGGTTGCATCCAGCTAAGCCAGTCTGCACAGAAACTCTTCTGCTCGGACAGAATGTGGATCACACCCACATAAAAATATTTTAGCATATTCTTAGCCTTCAGCATCCCATGTCTCTCCTGCATTAAATGCTTCCCAATACCTCCAATGTGCTATGGGATAATGCAACGGCAGCTGCACAAGTATCTGTATTAATGGCTTATTTGTCAAGCAAGAAACATGGGGAGGGTGGCACATTAACAATTTATAGGGAAAACTGACATTATACCCACACTGCTTACATAATACAGACCAACACAAAGTTTGCATTGTTTCCTGAAGTATTGAGGAATAGGATTCTAAGGTTGACTTTTGGTTTACTAGATTCTAGGCATGTGCATTTGTTTGACCCATTTCGTGTCCTGGCTTTAGTTGAGGACCCTGATCCATTTTTGGAAGCCTCCCAAAACTGGGAGGATTGTTTTCAGTTGTTTCATTTCAGGGCCCAAAAATCGGACCATTACAGGGGGTCTCACCCACTGGCTCCCCTTCCTGATGTGTATTCTTTTTACCTGACACCTGCTGTTTCTACTCCAGAGTAAGAGAGGTGTTCGGCTGTAGGCACTGCCAGGCATGTATGCTTTTTGGGCCTGCCGGCATGCCTTGCCACACATGCAAAGAAGCACGTGTGTGGCGGGGTGTGCAGGCAGGCCCGGAAAGCACACATGCCTGCCAATGCCTGCAGCCAAGCTTTTTTAACTCTAGAGTAAGAGGCTTTCAGCTGTAGGCCCGTCCTACCGCACACACCCTACCACACTCTCCGAGAGTGTGTTTGTGACGGGGCATGCAGGCAGGCCCAAAGCATGCCTGCAGCCGAGCTCCAGGTCAGCCTGCCTGCATGCCCCATCACACATGCCCTGCCACACTCTCTGAGAGTGTGTGCATGTTGGGGCATGCAGGAAGGCCTGGAGTGTGCTTGTAGCAGAGCACCGAGCCTGCCTGCACACCCCACCACACACGCACTCTCTTTCCAAGGCAAGGAGGCAAGTTTGGATGCACATGAAAGCAGGCTTTCACGTTGAGTAGATTTTTGTGTGGGAAGGGGACTTCCTGTTTCATGCTTCTGAAGTAATGGAAGACACAAAAGAAACAGAGGAAACAGTAGAAACTAATTTCGCACACAAGCCTACTAGAGTCCTCCTTGATTTTTTCATTTTGTTCAATGCATCTACTGTATTCTTCCAGAAATCTGGCACAGCCATATGCTGAGAATAGTACAGTTTATGAAATACTGTAAATGGAAACACTACACCAGGTACCAAGACACAAACTAGCTGAAGCAAATCCAAATTCCTTGAAACAAACTAGGCAAAACCAGAGAGTGAGAAATCTGATGGTAGATGAAACTTTTGCTCATTTTACCTCCTCCCCAGAAACACTCCTCAAATAGCTCTGAAACTTTGGCCATGAACTGGTATTTACCTGAATTGTTCTCCATAACAGTGTAAATCAGCTTGCACACTCTTAGCAGTAGCATAACTTTCTTTTCAGGAGAGTACATTTTCTGCATGGTCATGAACTTGACCTTAATCTTTTCAACATCTACAAAGTCCGGTGTTGGAACAAACACCCCCAGCTCCTGAGGATTTCTCTGTCGGACAAGTTGGAGGTTCTCTTTCAGCTGCTTCCAGGAGCCGTCAGCAGTATGGAACTCTTTCAGCATCACATCAACATGGCCCTTCAGGGGCTTCAGGATGCATTTATGCATGGCTTTCTCTAACACCACATCTGCAAAGACACAGGAAAAGCTCAGTTCGCAATATGGCAAAGAAACCAGATTTTTGTTCTCTCAAGAGAGAGAAAGAATAGAAATGATATAATGAAGTCAGAATAACCATTCGGTTAGCAGTCCAGAGGAATTTTAATGGCAAAACCAGGTTTCCATATGCATTTTAATGATCTACTGTTTTGCCTTTATTCATACTAATTTAGAAAAGACGGATCTGTAAAATAAATAGTAAATTGTACAAATTACAACCAAGGTAAACTTTTAAGAATTTTAAGGTGCATCTACACTATAGAATTAATGCAGTTTGACACCACTTTAATTGTCATGGCTCAATGCTATGGAGTCCTGGTATTTATAGTTTAGTGGGGTGCCAGCACAGAAAACTAAAGACCTTTAAAAAACAGAACTCCCATAACTTCATAGCATTGAGTCATCAGTTAAAAAATACTCTCAAACTACTTTATTTCTACAGTACAGATGCACAGTTAGAACATGTATCTCCCTGGATAAGTCCTTCTAGTGCGCTTTTTGTATTCCAGGGTTTTTATCGGAAACTACACAGTTTGATTTTCTCAAAATGAATATTTATATTTTTACACCTTCCCCGCAAAAAGAACCCATGAACATAAAATGCAGCTGTGTTGGGTGGAGAATTGGTGATAGAGATGCACAAGAGTAGAAAAAAAAAGTCCAAAGTGTACTCAGATCAAGTCTGTGGGCACACTGGGTAATGTGACAAAGTGTTCCAAATGATTCCAAGAAGTGGGTTGTTTTAGGTTTTTCGGGCTATAAGGCCATGTTCTAGAAGCATTCTCTCCTGACGTTTCACCTGCATCTATGGCAAGCATCTTCAGAGGTTGTGAGGACTAAAAACATTTCATGTAACTTCTCCATTTGAGTATTTATGGATGAAAAAGTCACTTTACCATAGATGCAGATGATGCAGGTGAAACATCAGGAGAGAATGCTTCTAGATGCAGGTGAAACATCAGGAGAGAATGCTTCTAGAACATGGCCATATAGCCCGAAAAACCTAAAACAACCCAGTGATTCCAGCCATGAAAGCCTTCAATGACTCCAAGAAGGATTACAAAAGACAAGTAACTTCTGCAAAGATACAGAGCACAAAGCAGAAGCTGAGTTTTTGAGACCAATACAAACCATACATGGACAATAAAATGCCCACTGCAGAGGAAAAAAATATGACATGGAAAGCATACACACTACAGGTGGTGATGATCAGAGAATGGTTGTCCCCAAAATGACAGATAAACAAGCTTCAGATTAAAACAAACCAGATTTAATATGGCTGTCTCCGACTCCCAAAAGTCTAGCCAACAATGGCAAGGATCCTTTTTCTTTCCAGAAAATAAAATAAAACAAATATATATACAGTAAAAAAAAAATCATCTCGAAGCTGCCCCACACACTTTCTTTCATATCTGAAATATGTTAATGAGGGATGCAGAGGTCTTCTGAGGAGAAGGAGATGGAGAGGCAGCTGAAGACCAGAATTTCACTTTCAAGGTCCTCAACAAAAGACTGGTTGGTTGAACAAACAAACAAACAAACACTGAAAATTACATATGTAAAGTGGAGGGATGGTTCACAAAGGGCACCCAGAAGCACAGTGGAACCTATAGTTGGAACACTGGTAACTGAAGACTTGTAGAATCAATTTCTGCCTTGTCCTAGCCTTCATCACACTACAGAAAAAATCTATTTAAAATCCAATTTCAACCTCCTGCAGAATTCTGGGGTTTGTAATATAGGGAGGAGTCTTTGACAGCCTCACTAAACTACAAACCCCAGATTTCTGCAGGAAGCAGAAACTGGATTTAAAGTGGATTCATTCTCTAGTGTGATGAAGTATGGCAGTCTGTATAACACTGACCTATCAATATAGATGCAGCACACCAAGGACTTGGTAAACCTCCCATTTTTTGTGCCAGTCTAGAATAACAACAAAGGGATGAGGTACATATGTGGTGGAGCATACTTGCTTTGGCCAGCCACATCCCAGGTGCATGTTTTCCTTTTGCACAGGATGTTTAATTGAGGGTGGCATAGGCTCAATGCCAGATTGCCAATCAGTAACTATTTGTTAGATTCACTTGTCAGGTTACAAATACCAAGCACGTCCAAGAACTACAGATCAGACTGATTTGTATGCTATTGCAGCACCAACTTTGTCTTTTGTGGCCATTGGTGATTCCTTCTCTCCCCCACAGCCTGTGTTTTAATGAGGAGCATAAGAAAAAAATGATGGTCTAACAAATAACACAAATAAAACAATCATTTTGAAACCTACTGGTTTCACCATTTTCCCATTAAAGTGTTAAAATATAGCTTCAATGGTGCTTTGTTTCTATGCTATTTCAGAACACTGAAAGGGAAGCTGCTCTTGCTAGGCTGGGACCATCAAATTCACTTCCAAAAATGAAGCCACACACCAAGAAACATTAATTTCTTGGTATATGGCTTGCTGTAAGTTTTTCAAGCTGTATGGCCATGTCCCAGAAGCATTCTCTCCTGATGCTATATGGTTTTTCTGCCCTGGAAAGGCTGCCCAAACACACGAAACTGCTTTGATGTACATTCATGTTTATATTTAGCAATACAGAACTGATCTTTGCTTTAATATTACGCATGATTCCATAGAGAATCCAGATTTCAGGGATATATTTCTACTTGAACGTGAGCTGGACTTCAATTCCCTACTTAGGGAATTCCTCTTCCATGCTTCCAAGTTGCTCTCCCAACCATCAGGGCTATTCTTTCATCCCAAGAAATGCTTTCCAGTGACAGCTTTTCCAACCTTATTTCCTTCTCCATGTTCCAACTTTTAATCCTTTATTTTAAAGTCTAAACATTCCAAAAGCCTTCATAGTCTGGAAGAGCCCTGACCAAACCATTTCTGAGACCCTGGGATATGACTCTGCAGCATGCTGCAAACTGCAAGGTATCCTGGGGAGTCTCTTCAGTAAACTGTTTTCACAGAAGCCTGCAACCGGGAGATGTCCTTTCCTAGCACCTCAGAAACAGTTTAGCCAGGGAGTTGCTAGGTGGTGAAGGTAGTTTGAGATGGCATCATCAGTTATAACTGTAACACAGAGCTCTGTCATCATAGTTATAATAACAATATAGGATCTCAGCCACTGACTATTCTGGAAGCATTTGATTATTGCACTTATTCACAAAACATTTCTTGAGCACAGTATTTTTGTTGTACGACCACTCTTCTGAAGAACCTATAGCTGATTATATACCATATTTCATTGCGTAAGAGTCACCATCACATAATAGCCACACACACCCTCCCATTTGGGGTAAAGTTATTGTATTTAAGAATGTCTTGAATAATAGTTGTACTTTTAGTTCATGACTGTAACTACAGGCAATCCCAAGTTACAAACATTTGTTTTACAAATTATTCATAGTTAAGAACAGGGGTGAGACAACAGGAAGTGAGAGAAATCTAACCCCCAAAAGGGAAATGCACTTCTGAAATTTATTCATTTATTTAAAACTTTTATTTTAAATGAAAGAGATATCATGGAAAAAAAGCTGTCTACTGAAGTCTTATTCCTAATCCTTGTTTCCACAATGAGTCAAATTTTAAAAAATTGAATTTTCACAGCAACAGAAAGTGAGGTGAAATCTTCTGAACAGGTGCACAGACAACAACACAAACTCCACAGGGGTGATAACCCTTCCCTATGAGATCTAACGTTGTTTGGCTGAAGTTATACTTAAAAAACAAATCTGTTCCGACTTACATACAAATAAATTTAAGAACAATCATACAGAACCCATCTTGTTCATAACTTGGGGATTGCCTGGGACAGGGCAATACTCGCTCAATTGCTCTTCCCTCTTGCCACAGAGCATTGCCTTGGCCAAGACAACCCTCCAGAGTTCACCCGCCTGATTGCCTCTCCCTTCTAAATCAAGGGAAGCCCCCTAACTGCACCCCCCAATAAATAAAGGGGGGGATCACGACTATTATCTGATTAAATACTTTTAAAGGTATGGCACTGGTATACAAGGCACTGTACTTCTCTTTGGGGTTAGACATGGATGGAGGGAATTACTTCACAATGGTGAGTATAGATATAAGATGCACAGACTGCAAAGCTGGAGTTGTGATAGGTTGGAAAAACCCGCAGCAACATTCAGGAAAACATAACTCTGTTTTCAAAATTATGACATCATTACCAAACACTAAAATAATCTGTTGGGATAGCAGAGTTGAGATTATCTTCTGTAGCCATGAAGGAACTTTGTTTTTGTTATGACTCTAGCTGTAAAAATCAATCCTTCCTTCCTTCTCTCCCACACACAAGCTGCCCCCACATCTGAAATCTGTGAACAATTGCAAGACTGTTGCATAGATATCAGGCTACTATGTACAATGCACAGTCAATATTTGTAACCTTGAATGTCTATTTGCATCTCTCAAAGATAGGAGGCACTTTATCAGCTGCACATATTTTGGCTCCTTCTAAGCTACATGTCTCTAATATTTCAGACACCTCTCTGAAACCAAGGGCTCAGTGACCTCCTGCTTCTTCCTCTGAGTTGTGAATAACACTTTACCAGTAAAGGTATGCTATAGTTCTAGATAAAAATACAGTAGGTTGTTGTAGGTTTTTCCGTGCTATATGGCCATGTTCTGGAGGCAATTTTTCTCCTGACGTTTCACCTGCATCTATGGCAAGCATCCTCAGAGGGAGATGCAGGCGAAACGTCAGGAGAAAAATTGCCTCCAGAACATGGCCATATAGCCCGGAAAAACCTACAACAACCCAGTGATCCCAGCCATGAAAGCCTTCGAAAAATACAGTATTTTTTTCACAATCCTTTTTCAAAGTTTGGAAAGAATTTAAGTGCATTTCAAAAAAAATCCTACAGGTTTAGCACATCCTTCTCTTTACATCAGCACCTCCCAGGCTAGGCTAAGGATTTGATGCAAGATGTTAATGGAGGGTCGGCATTA